GAGAAATTCTTGCCGATAGAAGGCTCCCTCGTCTTGTGGATCTGGATATGCGTGCCATAGGGCTCGTTTTCTCGCTCGCAGAATCTCGTCTGGGCCAGACATTACGCATCAACACGCCTCGTCTGGTTACCGCTGCGTTTACAAACATCCATTGCCTTGTCAAGGCAGGTTATAACCTGCGTTCGCTCTCGATCACAAATGACAGCGCCACCTGGAGCTCGTCAGACGAGATCGTTGAAATGTTGCGCGAACATCCTCGATTAGAAGTTCTGCGACTTTCTTTCGATGCAGTACCTTTTTTGCAACAGAGTCGTTCGCACCCGGCCGAGGCAGACCTCCGTCACCTCAAACTGCTCTGTGTGGCCTGCACCACGCTAGATAATGGCCAGAGATCGGGGAATATAGCCGAGCTTCTTGGAGCCTTATCCATTCCTTCATCATGTATCTTTCATCATTTGGACTTCTCCCAGCGCGGAGATGATATGCATTGGCGAACATCGTTCGATATCTTCGCAGCTCGCGTGCGCGAAGTGAATTACGATGCCCTCACTGTGAGCGCCAGCTCCGGATCGCTCCTCGGTCCTCCCTTCGTTGCCAACGTCTTCTCCACCGATGACCACGCATGGCCGTCCCCTCGCGATCACCCAGACAAATGGCGCAGCAAATGCTGCACCGACGACGCTCTTGCTGATAGGAACGTGGTGCCGGGAGTGCATTTGGCGGTGTCGAGCATATGTAACTGGAAAACCGAAGATCTACTATCAGATTTCATCCCACGTTTGCAATGTGAAGAGATTACGCATCTCACCCTCCGTGGCCTCGACGACATTCGCAGGATAGACCATCCTGATCTTCGTACCGCACTGCGGCCCTTAGCCGCCGTTCAGTCTCTCTACATGCCCACGCGCTTCCATCCCACTTCGCTATGGCCAGATTGTTTCGCACCGATAGAACCAGGGATCAAGCTGCCTCGCCCTACAGCATCTAATGCGGTTCCCCCTCTTCCCGCCCTCCGTCACGTCATTGTACACCAAGAGAACATTTACACGGGCTGTCCCGAGCAGGATATAGGGCTGTGGTGGTCGGACCTTTGCGACTGGCTCAAGGTTCGCAACGAGCGACTCGAATTGCTCGAACTGAGGGGCGATTGGAAGAAGATGGGTCCTGCGCTGAGGGTCCTGGACGAGAGGCAGCTATCCATTGCGAAAGGACTCGTCGGAGAGCTGAAGGATGAGCGCATTCTGCCATCGCGCATGTGAATGGATCCGGGAAGGATTGGGTCTCATGCGACCCCAGTATGAAGCATAGCGAGCATATGATACATTATATTTTGGTTCTCGCTCAAGGAAGTATGAAGAGTATCGCGCTAAGTATTACGCGTAGTAAGTTCATAGTACACATATCAATCGATCTCGGGATTCGGAAACGCAAACGATGTAGAGAGTACGGATGTGGGGGGCGGACATGATGATTGGGAGTAGTAACGCGGTAGAGATGATTGAAAATTGTAACGAGGTAGAGATGGCAGACAAGAAAAAGAACGAGGCAGACAGTGAGTAGACAGAGACAGTGCACAAAAACAGGTGACATAGCGAGCGAGCGAGCAAACGAGCGCGATAGCAGGCCAGGCAGACAACGTACTCCGATACGACTCCAACAACACGAGCTTTAATATCCAGCAGACTGAAGCTCCTTCCGACACCGCAATACGATCCTAGATCCGTTATACGATCCTTTCATCGTTCATCCAACACGATCCCCGATCCACCACGACCTCTCCGTACAACACGACCTCTCCGTACAACACGACCTCCTCCACCAACACACCGTGGCCTTCTCCACCAATATAACACCAGCTCCTCCAGCATACTCCTCTCTCCCGAACAAGAGGCGCCAGCACCTCCCACCTCAACTCGCATTCACAACGCTCGCCCTCCTCGCCCTCATCACATACGGCAACGCATGATCGTCCGCCTGCGGCACCGCATCATACGCATCGAACGTCACACCCGGTCTCCTGCGCCTCCTACTCCCCCTCTCCGTCGCAATCGCGTCCGCCTCTGCAGCGCGCCTCCAATCGTGCGTAGCTTGAACGGGATCCCTCTTCGGCGGCGCCACCTCGCGTACGGACGCAGCGGGCGAGGTCATCACTGTGCTGTCGCCCGCATTCGTACCGTCTGCTGCGTCGAGTGAAAGATTGGAGACGGTGTGGTGGCGCCTGGCGATGAGCCGGAAGATAGCCGCGTTCTTCAGCGTGCCCGAGGACGAAGGCGCCCTGTTCAAGCTTGGCCTCTGTGTCTGGGTTGACGCTTGCGATTGCGCCTGGGGTGGAGGGGCCGGAGGAGGGTGCGGATGTGGAGGTGCACTATGCGGCGGCTGTTGCGCCTCGCGATGATGCGACGACGAATGCGTCCCCTTCGTCCTTCGACTCGCACTGAACGCCGCCGCCGGCCCCTGCCTATCTCTCCCCGTCGGCGCTTCACTGTCACTCTGCGCACGCAAACTCGTCCTGCTCTGCTTGACAGTAACGGTAACGCCCGGTGCACTCCTGCTAACGCCCGGCGCCGTCCCGGATCCGGTCTGCGCTTGCGTCTTGGAGCGGAAGAGCCCGCCGAATATGCTGCCTCGTTTGGACGTCGTCGATCTGCCTTCCGGTAGACTCTGGCTCGTGGTAGTCGGCTGGAGGGGATATCCGTAGACAGGCGGCAGCTCGCCGGGCGCCGCGCGGGGCGTAGGGCCCAGAGATGAGGGAGTGTTCAAGCTCCCGCCATCGTCGGGGCTCCCCGAGGCTGTACGGTCGGGCGCGGGTATACGGATGGGCGCGGGCGTAGCGCCGCGATGGTCGTGCGATGTGTATGTTTGGGCATAAGTGTATGCGTGAGATGTAGATTGCGAATGCGAATGGCCGTGAGAGGAAGAAGGGGCGGTTGCGCGGACGGGTGTAGGAGCGAAGTATGACTGCTGTTGCTGTTGTGATTGTTGCTGTTGCTGCTGTTGCTGTGATTGAGAAGATGAGGGTTGGGCGGCGGACGCGGAGGCCGAACGGTTTCGTCGTGATGAGTGTGATGTGGTAGAGTAGGCGGGTACGGGCACGGCCCGCGGAGAAGCGACAGAGTTGACCAGCGTGCTCTGGGGTGTAGTTGTCCCAACGAGCGTGGTACTTCCTGTCTCGTGCGACGCGGTGCGCTGCTGCTGTTGAGCTTGAAGCTGTGTCACAGACGGGCTGGGCAGCGTATGCCCTCGCGGTGATGGGCGTTGAGGTTGTGTAGATGTAGGTGCATTATGATAGCTGACTTGTGCTTGTGGTTGAGACTGAGGCTGTTGATGGTGAGCGTGGGAGGCGTGAGCGTGGGCGTGTCGGTCGTGAGCGGTGGAAGGTGCGTGAGAGGGTGCGGGCGTCGGGGCATCGCGCTTGGGTGGCGAAGGCGGCTTGGTGCTCGCGCTGCGCTGTGGGAGTTCATTTGCGCTGCCATGCCTGCGATGGCGTCGGCCGGGAGAATCGCGTTCATCTGGAAAGGCGCCGGGAATGGCCTGTGGCGGGGAATGACGTTGTGGGGGTGAGTGGCGCGTGCGAGCGGAAGACGCGACGGCGGGGACCTGGTGTACCGAGGGTGAGGGCACATGCGAAGGCGCGGACTGCGAGTGCTGCGGTTGAGGAGGTCGAGGTGGAGAAGAGTTGAGGGAGGGTATGCCAGTGGCGACGTGAGAGACGGATCCGAGATTGGACTGGGTCTGGGTCGGTTGGACAGGAACCGGTGGAGGTCGAACGGGTTGAGGGGCAGCATGAGGCGTTGCCGTCGCTGGAGGTGCGGAAGCCGCGTGGTGGGCTTGCATGAGCGCCTGGAGGTGGACAGGTAATTTCGCAGGCTGTGGAGGGGAACCCTTGGGCGGATCGGGAGGACCTTCGCCGGCGGTGATGCTCACTACGGGCGATGGGGTGCTCTTGGTCGGCGTCGGGGTGGGGACCTTGACGCGGCTCTTGGGCTCCTTCTCGCGGTCTTTGCTGCCGCTGCTGAAGAACCAGTTTGCCATGTCACCGAACATGCCCTGAGGAGTCGGGCGTCAGATTGGAGAGAGATATGGGGATCAGAAGCTGTGGCGCACTCCTTTGTTTGATCGCTGTGTATCTGCGCGATACAAGGGCACGCCTGGCGGCGAAGGTGCGGATGCGGGCGGTTGTTGAGGCGCCGGCTTAGAGCGCGTCTTTGTGCGGTGATGCTGTACTGGACAGTCAGCGAGAGGTGTACATATCGAGATAGATCGGAAACACGGACATGGGCGTGTTCGCCGTCGCTGCCAGAGACGGCGTAGCCGGGAGGATAGGGCGCGACGTCGTAAGGCTTTGAGGGCGCCTTTGCCGCCGGCTGTCTGTTGGACGGTTTGAGGGTCTCGCGCGAAGAGGCGGGCGCGTTGTCAGGATAGACGCGGGCGTAAGATGCTTGGGACGAGGGCACGACGGGTACACCTTGCTGGCCAGGCGAGCTGTTGGCCTGGCCGGGCACTCTGAGCCTGCGCCGTTTGGTGCGCTCGTCGTCGCTCTCGTCCTCCTTCGGCTTCTGGGTCTGTTTGCGGTAATCTCTGCTGGCCGGCGGGGCTGCCTTTGCCGCAGCGGCCAGTGCCGCCTCTGCCTCTCGCTGTGCGGCCAGCTCCATCTGCTTCTGCCGCTCGGCCCGCTCCCTGTGCCGCTCTTCGCGTTTCTTCCGCCGTCGTTCTGTTTCGAGCGCTTCTGCGGCCTCCTGCTCCTGTTTCTGCTTGGCCTCCTTCTTTCGCTGCCTGGCCGCCGCCTTCTCCGCCTGCCGCGCCTCTTCAGCCTGCTGGTCAGCCCGCTGCTGCTGCTCTGCTCGCTGTCTCTCCCGCTCCTTCTCCCGTTCCCTCTCCTGCCGTGCTGCCACTCGCGCTGGATCGTCGCGCTTCTTCTTGAGCTTCGACACCGGATCGCGTTGCCGGCTCTCCGTTGGCGGCACGGGTACAGGCATTTGGGTGTAAGAAGCAGAAGCAGGCGGTGGCGCGTACCGGTCTGGATATTGTGGAGCGCCGCGCGCCTGTGATGGGCCAGCACCCGCACTGCTGGCCGGCACGCCGTAGGCAGCGTAGATGCCCGGATCTGTGCGCTGGCGGGTGTGGCCGGTGCCGTGGGCATGGCCGTGGCCGGCGGTGGAGGCGGCGTCAGAGGAGTAGCCCCTCTGGTGGTTGGACGGCCGGTGTTTGCGCGTTGTTGTGCTCGACGAGGGCGGGACGAATATTGTGGAAGGCGTGTCTGAACTGTATCCGACGCGGACGTCTACTTTCGGGCGCCAGTACATGTCCTGGGCGGCGCGGACAAGCCGCGGGCCATACAGCTTCTAAATGGTACAACACAAACGCGACACCCGCGCGCGATGGACCAGTGTTCGCAACGAGGCAATCGCCCGGCGCCTTTTTCCTTCCTTTCACCGGTCCATCACCACTACTCATCATTCCCAACAGTTCACATTTCATTCCATCCATGACTACTAGGCGTGTACGCTATACAAGTATGTAGATATAAACGTGTATGCCGACGGGAAGAGTCAGCGACCCGAGAGTGGTATGCGGGCCTGCCGACTGGCAACCGAGGGCGGTGCCCAGGGCGCTCGCCTGATCCACGCGCGCCCAAGACGAGCACGCGAGGAGGGAGAGCGCCAGGACCTGGTCTGCCACGATATTGACTCATGAACCGACTGTGAGACAGCAAAAAGCTGGCGAGGCGAACCTCCGCGTCGGGAGATTTAAGGAATCGTGGGGGATGCGTATGAAAGGTTCGGACGGGTGGAAGATACAGTAAACGAATATGTATTGTAAAGGGAGACGATGGTGGTGCGAGCTGGAAGAAAGCAAAAGGTCGAAATTGATGGAAGAAATAGCGAGGGACGATCAACACGGCCAAACAAGGCCTCTCGTCGCTGATTCGCAAGCGAGACGCGAGTCGCGTTGAGCTCCGACTGCATCTTTCCTTCCTCCCCACGACCCCCTTCCGTCCGCTCCTTTCCATCCATCAACACGAATACTGGATAGAGCGGAACATCTGTAATAGCCTCCTTTCAATTAATCTGACATGGTCCGTATACGCCCGTTATCTGGCGCGGTGGCGACACAATGTGGGCTCACGCGGCGCGCGCGTCATAGACAGACATGGACGTCCTCGACGAGAAGGCAGGCAACGGCCAGCCCGTGCTCGACATTGACGAGCCCGTCTCTGTCAAAGATCGTCAGTATATTACCCAGTATAATATCGATCTGTCGAACTGACGCTGGTCAGACGATGCGTTTGCGGCCAAGCACATGCCTGATCTCGGCCAGGACATCAAGGAGTTCAAGGTCTTCACCTGGCCCCTCACTAAATGGAAATCGCTCGACAAGAAATTGCACAGCCCCGAATTCGAGTGCGGCGGTCACAAATGGTACACCCTTCCTCGTCTATCTCCACCGTCCACTCACCCGATTTCATCAGGAGAATCCTGCTCTTTCCGTTCGGCAACTCGAACGCACCACCAAACGACACCGTCTCCGTCTACCTCGACTACGGCGACCCGAAGCGGCCGCAGGAATGGCACGCCTGCGCCCAGTTCGCCCTCGTCATCTCGAACCCCAACGACCCCACCATCTACACCGTATCCCGTGCGTCATCCTATTATAGTCACGCATCCCACGAGACGTTCATTTTCGTACAGACGCACATCATCGGTTCATCGCGGAAGAGTGCGACTGGGGCTTCACGCGTTTCAGCGAGCTTCGCAAGCTGTTCTCCGTACAGGAAGGCCACACGCGTCCGACGATTGAGAACGAGGCCGCAGATGTCTCCGTTTTCGTTCGCGTGCTCGAAGACCCGACAGGTGTGCTGTGGCATAACTTTGTCAAGTGCGTGCACCCCTACACCGTGTCCGGTGTCTAATCATAGAACCCTCATCTCATCTCGGATGTAGCTACGACTCCAAGAAGGAGACCGGGTACGTGGGCCTCAAGAACCAGGGCGCGACGTGCTACATGAACTCGCTCCTCCAATCGTTATATTCCACGCGATACTTCCGCAAGGCGCGTATCTCTCTTTGGTTTGTCATCAGCACGCGCCTCTTCAATGCTGACGCGTCTGGCGCATCATTAGGCCGTGTACGAGATCCCGACTGAAGATGAGCATCCCACACAAAGCGTCGCCCTCGCCCTGCAACGCGTGTTTTATCACTTGCAGACAAGCGATCAGCCCGTGGGGACGACCGAGCTGACAAAATCGTTCGGCTGGACGTCGCTCGACAGCTTCTTGCAGCATGATGTGCAGGAGTTTAGTCGTGTGTTGCTTGATAAGCTCGAGATCAAGATGAAGGGTACCAAGGCTGAGGGCGCGATCGCGAAACTGTTCGTCGGCAAGATGAAGAGTTACATCAAGTGTGTCGACGTCGATTACGAGAGTAGTAGGATCGAGGAGTTCAACGGTGCGTCATATTCCATTGCGTGTGTGTCTTGTGTTGTGCTCACGAGGGGACGTTTACAGACTTGCAATTGAACGTGAAGGGGATGAAGAACCTCTACGATTCGTTCAAGGACTACATTCAGGTCGAGACGCTCGACGGAGAGAACAAGTACCAAGCCGAGGGCTACGGCCTGCAAGACGCCAGGAAGGGCATCATCTTCCAGTCTTTCCCTCCAGTCTTGCATCTCCAGCTCAAGCGCTTCGAGTACGACATCCAGCGCGACGCGATGGTCAAGATCAATGACCGACACGAGTTCCCATTCGAGATAGACCTCGACGAGTTCCTCGACGTCGACGCCGACCGTTCCCAGCCGTGGAAATACCGTCTTCATGGTGTCCTAGTACACTCCGGTGATCTCCATGGCGGACACTACTTTGCGCTCATCAAGCCTGACGCGAAGGAGCGCTGGCTCAAGTTCGATGACGACCGCGTCACGCCTGTAACGGACAAGGAGGTACTCGAGGAGAACTACGGCGGCGAGCCACTCGGCTCCATCGTCCCGCCCGCGCAGCAACAACAGCAACAGCAAGGCCAACGCGGTCAGCCGCGCGCGATGAAGCGCTTCACGAACGCGTACATGTTGGTGTACATCCGCGAGTGCCTGCACGACGAGGTCTTGCCGCCGTTCAGGGAGGAGGATACCCCGGCCCACTTGAGTGCGTCGTCCTTTGGGTCTGGGCGCCGATCGTACGCATCTTTTCTAATTGCTTGCCTGTGAACAGAGCGACGTCTTGACGAGGAGCGCCTCCAGCTCGAGGCGAAGCGGCGAGAGCGGGAAGAGCAACACTTATTTCTCACTGCCAAGGTCAGTCCCCTCTCGCCTCGTTCTTGTTCACAGGTATCAGACTACGGGTGCTGACACGAGGTGTGTGTGCGCAGGTCATCACGGACGAGTCGTTCGCCGGACACGAGGGCTTCGACCTCGCAACATTCGACGACAAGAATTGGCCGCCTTCAGAACTCCATACGTTCCGCGTTCTCAAGACGGAGCCCTACTCCACGTTTAAAGCTCGGGTAGCCAAGTTCTTCGGCTACGCGGACAACCAGGTCCGGCTCTGGGTGCTCGTGAACCGCCAGAACAAGACGGTCCGGCCGGACACGCATATACCGGAGAACGAGCAGAATCTGACGGTGGATGTGATCAGGAATAATATGGCGGCGAGGCAGACGGATTTGAGGTTGTATCTGGATGTTATACCCGATCCGACTAAGGTGCGTTTCCATTGGACATCCGCTTGTTTTTGGATGCTCATTGCGTGTGTAGCCCGAGCTGCCGCAGGGATGTATCATGGTTTTCCTCAAGCACTTCGACACCTCCAAACAGACCCTCCGTGGAATCGGCAAATGTTACGCCCAAAGGACCGCCAAAGTATCCGACCTCGTTCCAACGATCAACGAGCGCATGCGCTGGACGCCCGGCACGCCGCTCAAGCTGTACGAGGAGATCAAGCCGGGCATGATCGAGCTCATGAAGCCCAAGCTCACCTTCCAGCAGTCGGAGATCCAGGACGGTGACGTTATCTGCTTCCAGGTCGAGATGAAGGAGCAGGAGATCCACGATCTTGAGGCACAAGGACTGTACTCGAACCCGATACAGTTCTACGACTTCTTGCAGAACCGGGTGATGATCAACTTCAGGCCCAAGTACGACGAGATCAGCGACGAGAATAAGGAGCTTAGTATCGTGCTCAGCAAAAAGCACACGTACGATATTGTACGTGCTTTCCCCCTTCGTTCTCAGATGAAGGCGCGATTCTAACATTCTGCTGTAGATGGCTGCTAAGGTCGCTGAGCAACTCGGCTGGGACCCGATCAAACTGCGCTTCACGACGACGCACGCTGCGAATGGCGCGGCCAAGGCGATCCTCAAGCGCTCGCTGAACCAGAGTGTGCAGGAGATCATCTCCCCCGCATATGCTTCAACCGCCGCGACCGTCGTTCTGTACGAAAAGCTAGACGTCTCCATCGTCGAACTCGAGACGAAGCGAAGCCTACGCGTCGCATGGACCGGCCTGCACAACCGCGAAGAGTCTGCGCACGCTTACCTGCTGCCCAAAACCTCGCCAGTACACGAGCTCGCGGACCACATTGCGCACGACGTAACATTGAGTTCAGGCGGCAGCGGCAAGATCCGTGTGTTCGAGGTCGCGAAGGACGGCAAGACGCAGAAGGAGTTTACGGGGAGCGAGATGATCGGCAACATACCCGATCCGGTCGATCTTTATGCGGAGGAGGTGCCGTGGGAGGAGCTGAGCGCGGAGGAGCACGACAAGATCATTTCCGTCTTCCATTTCTCGAAGGAGGTGGCGCGGACGCATGGGGTGCCGTTCAAGTTCGTCGTCAAGCCCGTGAGTTTTCTTCCCTGCCTTCTTTATATGAACAGCATACTGATGGAATCGGTCTACAGAACGAGAAGTTCTCGGAGACGAAGAAGCGGCTGCAGGCTCGGATGGCGGTATCGGACAAGGATTTCGCCAAGTACCGGTTCGCGCTCATCCAGGTCGCGACGTTCAAGCAGCCTTCGTACATCGAGGACGACGACACGATCTACGACCACAAATGGCAGCCCGACGACGCGCTCGGTCTCGACCACGTCGACAAATCTGGCAAGACGCGGAACGGCGCGGGCGAGAAGGCGATCGTCATCCGTGGTTGAGCGCGGTATAGACGCTTGTTTGTACTATATGTACCAGGATATTATGCACTGCGCTGGTGCTGGTCGTCGTTGCTTGTTGTCGCTCGTGTCGTCGTCGTCGTGGCTTTCCCCCGCTCGATCTCTCCCTCGCCTTCGTGCGATACCTTCTCCCATATCCCCCCAACGTTCCTCGCACACGCTCTCGCCTCGCTCGCTACGTACCGTACATACCTCGTTCTGCTCGTGACTCTCCCCATCTCTATTCTCTACTTACGGCTCGCTTGCACTTTGCTCTCGGACGGACGGCGGATGCGGGTTGGTTGCGGCCCGACTGGGTGGTTGGATGGGCTTTCTGGCGGGGAGGGTATATCTTGTTCTGGAAATAAATTACACGGAGTGCGGTGGTGGTGAAGTAGGTACATTCATGTATGCAATCTCAATCCCTGTAGACTAGCAGAGTTTCCCATCGACTACTTGCGCTTCTTGTTTTTCTTGGACTATTCGATGAAGATCAAAGTCAGAGCCTGTTTCAGGTATGGAAGCAGTGCGAAGGGAACGTACTTTTGAAGGCGAGCGGGGACCTTCGCCATCCGAGGTGATGTTGCCATCTGATGCGGCGGATGAGGGTGGCGCGAGTGTGTCTGAGGGGACACGGAGAGGGCTGCTGGGTGTTTGAGGTGACGAGGGGAGACGGGCTTTGAGACGATCGGCGGGCGTCTTCGGTGATGCGGGTGTACTGGGTGGTTGTGGCTGCACTACGACCGGTGGCGGCTTGCCATATCTTGCGTCTAGTATCGTTTGAATACGTCAGATCATGTATACCGCATCTATCGAGAATCGAACTGACGGATTTCTGCGCGCATCTTGGGTACGGCTTCAAAGACGGCTTGGACCTTCTTGCTGTTGACCATCTCGCTCGCGGTGTTGAAGATGATGCCTCCCCATCCTTCGACAAAAGTGTTGGCCTCGTGTTGGACTTCAAGAATCTCTGCCTCCATCTCCTTCTCAGCCGCGAGTAAAGCCGTCCAGATATCATCGCCGAGTAATCCCTTCTGCAATAAAGCCTGCATTGCGGGCTTGTCCTCGCGTAAACGCACGATGCGGTGTACATCTTGCATCGCGCGGCGGATAAGCGCGGCCTTGAGTAGAGCGTCCGGCGTGGGCGGGTCGAGTCCGAGCAAGGTCACGTACGTGTCCCGCTCGACGTGGCGCGGAAAGTACGGTGTGATCTGTTGCGCCGCCTGCCTTTTACTGTACGCCCTCCCGAATACCAGCAGACCGCCGACCAGCACGAGCAGATAGAGCACGGGTACGAGCACGCTCGCCATCGCGACGAGGAGATAAACGTGGAGGTCAAAGACAAAGTCGATCCCAAACGCGATGACCGAACGCGCGATGTGGCAGGCCGCGAAAGCCACGCACGTCTACACGGACCCATATGTTCATCCCCGTTCTCACGCGGTCTGAGCTCAGGTCCCGTCGGCTTACCCCGCATCAGCTGAAGCGAGAAGACTGTCCATCGTGACCTCGCGTACCCCAGTCCTCGTGAATATCAACATGAGAGTCCGTCGCCGCCACCCCGCACTTACCCGACAACTACCATGTTCGCAAGACTTGCTAGGCCCCTGCGCTCGACCGCTGCTGCTCAACGGCGCCTTGCCTCCACCAAGGTGTGTGGCGCGAGATCATGGCAGTCTATACAGAGGCTGATCGCGTACTGCAGACCCTCCGGGAGACTCTGGAGGAGGTCATCCCTGCTAAGCAGGCCGCTCTGAAGCAACTGGTAAGCGCGGTTGTCGGCGCAGTACTGCTCGATTCTGAGATATGACTACAGAAAGCCGAGCATGGCCACAAGAAGGTCCAAGAGACCACCGTCGAGCAGGTCATTGGCGGCATGCGCGGTATCCGTGCTATGCTCTGGGATGCCTCCGTCCTTGACCCCAACGAGGTCCGTGCAACTCTATCCCAATCCCAAGCTTAAGCGCCCTTCTGATGCTTCCCTCGCGTAGGGCATTCGCTTCCACGGCCTCTCCATACCCGAGTGTCAAGAGAAGCTGCCGGCCGCGCCGGGCGGCAAAGAGATCTTGCCGGAGAGTATGCTCTGGTTCCTCATGACAGGACAAATCCCTACACCCGAGCAGACCCGCCAGCTTTCTGCCGAGCTTGCTGAACGCGGAGAGCTGCCGAAGTATGTCGAGCAGCTCATTGACTCGTACGTCTTTCTATCCCCCTTGTTCACGCGCCAAGCTCGTTTAACGTTGTACCATCAATAGACTACCAGAGACCTTGCATCCCATGACACAACTTGGTATGGGCGTAGCTGCACTCAACCACGACTCGCACTTCCAGAAGGCGTACGAGCGCGGGGTCAAGAAGACTGAGTACTGGACACACGCATACGAAGATGCGATCACGCTCATCGCGCGCTTACCTGCTCTTTCTGCGCGTATCTACCGCAACATCTACATGAAAGGCTCTGGGAAGGAGACGCCGGCCATTGACAAGGGCAAGGATCTCGTCGGCAACTACACCAACATGCTTGGCTTTGGCGCAAACGAAGATCTTACAGAGTACCTCCGTCTGTACATTGCACTCCATGGTGACCATGAAGGTGGCAATGCTTCAGCACATACTTCTCGTGAGTTGATTGTGTCAGCCATACAGAGGCTCCTATCTGACGCATATATGTAGACCTCATTGGCTCCACCCTGGCGGATCCATACCTCTCATACGCCGGTGCACTATATGCTCTCGCTGGTCCTTTGCACGGGCTTGCCAACCAGGAGGTTCTCCGTTGGCAGCTCGCCATGCAGGAGAAGCTCGGCGAGGAAAACATCAACCACGACTCGATCCGCGAGTTCCTTTGGGCGACGCTTAAGTCCGGCCAAGTCGTGCCAGGCTACGGTCACGGTGTTCTTCGCTCCCCAGACCCTCGCTTCATCGCTCTTCAGAAGTTCTGCGACGCGCGCCCAGGACTACTCGCAGACCCTACCGTCAAGCTCGTGAAGCAGACGTTCGAGGTCGCACCGGACGTACTCAAGGAACATGGCAAGAGCAAGAACCCGTGGCCGAACGTCGATGCCGCGAGTGGATGCGTGCTGTACCACTATGGGCTCCGCGAGTTCAAATACTACACGGTCATCTTTGGCGTGAGTCGCGCACTGGGCTGTCTCACGCAGATTGTGTGGGCTCGGGCCTTGGGTCTGCCGATTGAGAGGCCCAAGTCGCTGTCGATCGATGCTTTGAAGAAGGAGATCGGCGTGTAGGCGCGGTCTCCAGGTGTACGATACATGCAATTGAAATGCGACTCGTCCAACAATGTAACATCCTATCAATCACATCCATTATCGCACGAATGTCCAGAGTCGTACCATGAAGAGCACCCCAGCCACGGTGCACAAACCACGCATCCACCCAAACAGAGTAGTCAAGCGACGCTTGCGCACCCAAACATCTATCTGGTCGCCGCGCACAGTGTAGTCCGCCCACCGCGGCCACAGCGTCAGCCACCAGAATAAGGTGATGGGGCCTGGGAAGTTCGAGAAGACTTTCCCGTTCCCGCCGGCCCGATACCAGGACGTGCATTGTACGAACACCGAGCTCATCATCCGTGCGGAGAGCCACTTGTTGTAGAGCGCGGTCGCTTCGTGCGTCGGCTCTACGCTGTCAACCTCTCCGGAGAATAGGCTTGAAGAGTTGAGTGGCGTAGTTGAACTGCACTTTTGTGAGCTTCGGCTCGCCGTGTGTATGATCAGAGGCAATATACGTACCTGGCACTCCTCGCTGAAGACGACGGAAGCATGACCTGTGATAGTATTCGGGCCTAGACATCATCGCTGAGCTGAGCAGTACAAGATGTTGACGGGCGAAGGCTACCTTGTATGAGCATGAAGTTGGGGAATCCGGGGACCGTTGAGCCGAGATAGGGCGTGGGACCGCTCGGCTCCTCGAAGTAGTCGTTCAGAGTCTTTCCCGAATGACCTTGAATCTCAATCGGGTGCTTGTCCTACGTGCATCTGGTTAGCAGATACTCGTGCGAAGAGTGCGTATTTCAGCGTACTGTTACAAAGCCTGTCGCGCAGATAACCACGTTGCATAGGCGATAAACGCCTACCGGCCAAGTTAGCGAAGGGGAGCTTCATCTGGGTGAGCCACTCACCTTCTGTATCGTATATGCCGCCCTCGTTTATCGCATTGACTCTATTCCAAGCGGGGCGTAGTGTTAGGGATGTAGAGACTTTAATTCGTTATCGAAGATTAGGCGGCGGCAACCGAGATCTACGACGCGTCATCTCCGAGCTCTGAATACAGCTACCACCAGAGAGATGGCACCTGTCGCAGTCTGATATCATCTTGTTTAGGTGCTCCTTGGGTTCATGCTAAGAAGATAGCGCTTGAAGGCCTGGGAGCGCAGGAGCGTGCAGCGTCGGATGTGAAGACTGGAGCTAGACAGATTGAGAATAACGCATTGGTCGCTACCTCAGACACCCGACATGTCTTCAAGTGAGGGTAGAGTCCATTGACAACCTACAATCATAGCCACTTGTGCCATCCTACGCGAAGTATAGTGAGTATGTTCTCCGATTGACAGGGATCCGGATGCGCCACAATCCCACTAGCACAGCGCGTGTGCGACAGCGTAGGATTCAAGCTTGAGAGCAGGACATATTGAATGTAGCCTTGGGCCCATGAATACCTGTGCTGTAGACTTGCTTCCTGGACTCGACGCGCGTTTGAAAAGATGAGTAGCAGGCATGAGCTTCACCCCAGTACGTCTTCTCGAGCTTGGCCGAAAGCTTACGCCACTTGACCGGCAGTGGAGACGAATCGCGACTCGTCTCAGGTAGCGCAGGACAACGATTCTAGCCTGCACGGAGCGTGGACAAGTCGACGCGTCTGTGCGGCCAGTACAGTCAACGGCAGTCAAGCGCTCCTATTGCATTTCTGGAAAGAGTATGGCTATAGATGGTTGACGGTCCCGTCCGGTGCGGACCATTCGCATACATTGAGTCAAGTCGTGTTGAGATGTGATGCTATTATGTGTGGATGAGCATGAGGTGATGGTCGGAAGAGGACGCGGACGGACGGGGCGGCGGGAATAACCTGACGAATAAGGGCGTCGTGGGAACGCGGGACAAACCGCGGCGGTGTATTTCTTGGACGGTTGTCGTTCGTGTCGTTCTCTTCCTCAACCCCCACTCAGTCTCTCCGCCGTCGAGCAAGTAACGATGCTCACCTCCCGTGGCGTTCACCGTCTCCCCCGCGCTGCCGCCGCCGCAAAGACCGCGGTCCGCAACGCCGCCCTCTTTTCGTCGGCCGCGGCCGCGACCCGCGTTGCTGCTGCTGCTGGCCAGACCAGCTCTGCTGCTCGCCCGGCGCGCGCACAGGCAACCCAGCCCGGTTAGTGGTACCGTTTCTGTATACAACAATACAATTTCTGACGCGTTTCCTGTCCATCTCCGAAATTCCAACCTCCCACGTCACATTTCCGCCAACAGCTCGTTCTTACGCTACCGAGTCCAAGGCGGTCATTGGTTCAGTCAAGACTGTCATTGGTGCCGTCGTCGACGTCCAGTTCGAGACTGACGACCTGCCGCCCATCCTGAACGCGCTCGAGGTCCAGGACTTCCACGGCGGTCGCCTCGTCCTCGAGGTTGCTTCTCACTTGGGTGAGAACTCGGTCCGCACCATTGCCATGGACGGTACCGAGGGTCTTGTCCGTGGCCAGAAGGTCATCGACACCGGCGCGCCCATCCGTATCCCCGTCGGCCGCGAGACGCTCGGCCGCATCATGAACGTCATTGGCGAGCCCATTGACGAGCGTGGCCCCATCAAGGGCAACAAGCTCAGCCCCATCCACGCCGAGCCCCCCGCGTTCGTCGACCAGTCGACCACCGCCGAGGTCCTCGAGACCGGTATCAAGGTTGTCGACCTGCTCGCCCCGTACGCACGTGGTGGCAAGATTGGTCTCTTCGGAGGTGCCGGTGTCGGCAAGACTGTGCTCATCCAGGAGCTCATCAACAACGTCGCAAAGGCCCACGGTGGTTTCTCCATCTTCTGCGGTACGTCTCGTCGCTGAGCTGGCGCGTTCCGGCTCTTCCCGCCGCGCGTCGGGAAAGTTCTCACGCTGACGTCTACTGCGCAGGTGTCGGCGAGCGTACCCGCGAGGGCAACGACTTGTACCACGAGATGATTGAGACCGGTGTCATCAACCTCAAGGGTGACTCCAAGGTCGCGCTTGTTTTCGGTCAGATGAACGAGCCCCCGGGTGCCCGTGCCCGTGTCGCCCTTACTGGTCTCACCATCGCCGAGTACTTCCGTGACGAGGAGGGCCAGGACGTGCTCCTGTTCATCGACAACATTTTCCGCTTCACCCAGGCCGGTTCCGAGGTGTCTGCCTTGCTCGGTCGTATCCCGTCTGCCGTCGGTTACCAGCCTACGCTCTCCACGGACATGGGTGGCATGTGCGTCACTTTCTTTACGTCGTCTCTATCACCGCAGCGTGCTGACATATTTATATAGGCAGGAGCGTATCACCACGACCAAGAAGGGTTCCATCACCTCCGTGCAGGCCGTCTACGTGCCCGCTGACGATTTGACGGACCCGGCTCCCGCCACCACCTTCGCCCACTTGGACGCCACGACCGTGTTGTCGCGTGGTATTGCCGAGCTCGGTATCTACCCTGCCGTCGACCCCCTCGACTCCAAGTCGCGTATGCTCGACCCCCGTATCGTCGGCCAGGAGCACTACGAGATCGCCACCGCCGTCCAGAAGATCCTCCAGGACTACAAGTCGCTCCAGGATATCATTGCCATTCTCGGTATGGACGAGTTGTCCGAGGAGGACAAGCTCACCGTCGAGCGTGCGCGTAAGATCCAGCGTTTCATGAGCCAGCCATTCCAGGTCGCTCAGGTCTTCACTGGTTACGAGGGCAAGCTCGTGTCGCTCAAGGACACCGTCCGCTCGTTCAAGGAGATCCTCACCGGCCAGCACGACTCGCTCCCTGAGTCTGCGTTCTACATGGCGGGCACGATCGAGGATGTCAAGGCCAAGGCCGAGCAGCTCGCCAAGGAGCTCGAGGGCTCGTCGTAAGCGGCTCTGCGTTGTCGGACTGGGTCGGGGCAAAAGCGAGTAGCATAGATTCCTGTCGTGCTTGTGTCTTGTTGCGCGTTTAATATCAAAAGCTATTCATTACATTCGGAGTGACCATATTCAGTGTGAGAGAAAACACAAACATCATATAAGTAAGCTAGGCCAGGCTTGTAGCAAGGATATTCGGCGATAAAATGGACGACCAGAGCCCAACGTGGCGAGCACCTGACCGCGTTGAATGATTTGGACGCGTCGAGACGCGCTGCAGTTGTGGTTCCGGTTCTCTCGCGCACCCATCTCCTTGACTTCACCACGCCTGTAGCTGCTTCACTGTACTATCGAATCGTATGGGTGACTCCGAGGAGACGACTTTGAAGTCCAATGGGCTGCTCGGCGGAGGCGGCATGAAGCCGTTGAATCTCGCCGCCTTCGCTGCCGGCGCGCAGAACACACAACCACTGGTGGACGCTACCAATACCCCGCCCCCTGCACCAGATGCACCACGATCACCCGTGAAGGCGCCTATAAGGCGCTCTACACCTCCGCCTCAACCAGTTGCTGGCCCGTCTAGACCGACTACACCACGGCGGACACCCCCGCCGGCCAGCCCTCGGCGAACGGATGATTCGCCCATGCGATCCAACGGGCTGCTGTCTATGGTCAAAGCACCTGCTCCTCCTCCGGCAATAGATTACGATGACGAAGGCAATATGCAATGCGAGTCCCAAGGCACGTACAGTATACCCTCCCAGCCGATGCCATCTAAACATGCAGTTTAGAAACTGAACTGAATACGGAGATGTCTCTTCAGACGAGTGGATTACTGGGCAGCATCACAGAGCCTGACCTAGCTTCTGCGGAGGAGCTGGCTGCGCAGCTAGAGACGGGACGTGCGTGCACTCCACATGATCTCGACCACAACCACTGAGATCATCTTAGCGAGCACAACCCAAGACGAGGATGACTTCTCCCTGCAGTCAAATGGTCTGCTGGGCACTTCAGGCTTAAGACCTAGTGGGAGTGGGAGCAGCAATAGCTCCTTGCCCATCGACCCACTTACTCAAACCCAGTCCCAAGGTACGAGTCAGCGACTTACTCGGAGGCATGGCTAACATGAGCACCAGATGCTCTGCCCGACATTCACGACCTTCTACGTCCCTACGCCCGTCCCACTGCGACAACCACACCAGTCCGAGCGGCGCACAATCCACTGCCCCGCTCCTCGGTCCGCGCGCATACATACGACGGCAAGCCGCTCTTCATCAGGCGCAAACAGGCGTCTTCACCATATGCTACCGTACGTCCATTCTCTCCCCAGCTATACAGCTTGAACTGAGCATTGTTTTCGCAGCGACCTGCACCCGCGGCGAAAATGACCAACCTCCTGGATGTACCTCTACACCGACTCCTCGACGAGCTGTCCGTCTCAGCCGCCCGCAAACTAGCAGCCGAACAAGACGCCGACGCCTGTACAACCGACGAGCCGTCCCAAGACAACTCCCTCTGGGTGGACCGCTATCGCCCACAACGATACACCGAGCTCCTCGGCGACGAGCGCGTACACCGCGACGTCCTCGCTTGGGTCAAGGAGTGGGACAAGTGCGTGTTCGGACGAAGCAGCAAGGCTAAAGCGCGGAACAAGAAGCGCGCGAGGGAGGAAGAGACGCAGGGTGCTGGATTCGAGGCGCCGAAGGATGAGTGGGATAGGCCGCAGGAGAAGATGCTGCTGCTGTGGGGTCCGCCAGGGTTGGGCAAGACGACGCTTGCGCATGTTGTGGCGAAGCAGGCGGGGTATACTGTGTTTGAGATCAATGCCAGGTGTGTCCCTATTGTTTCTTGACGGTTGGTACACCAGACTAATGCGTGATTATCAAGTGATGCTCGCTCAGGACAGGTCGTCGACGAACGTATACGACCTGCCGTAGAAGCCGGCGCCAGCGTTCGCAAAGACAGCAAACCCACGCTCGTAGTCATCGACGAGATCGACGGTGCAACCGGAGGAGGCGACAACGTGAGTACCCACCACCCTTCATGGCGATTCCTTACTCACTATGTCAACAGGGTGCCGGCTTTGTACATAAGCTCATCCAACTTGCCATGGAGAAACCCGCCAAAGTTGCGCGAGGGAAGGGTAAGAAAGACAACCAAGGCAAACGGCCGCTCCTACGCCCCATCATCTGCATCTGCAACGACCTCTACGCGCCCGCCCTATCCAAGCTCCGACCCATTGCCCGCATCGTCAAGTTCTCCCGCCCGACAGACCTGCTTCTCGTCAAGCGTCTGCGGGAGATATGCACGAACGAAGAGCTACATGCCGATACGAGGGCTTTAGGCGCACTCGTCGGGCTCGCGCAGGGCGACATGCGTGGATGCCTCAATACGCTGCAGATGCTCAAAGCCAAAGCCGGCTCGCGTGCTGTCTCCGAAGCACAGGTCCGTTCGGCCGCGGCAGGACTCAAGGAAGCGGAGGCAGGCTACGTCGCCGTGCTGAACGACCTCTTCGCGCCGCTAAGCAAGAAACGCGTAATGGATATGGGCATGGGCGAGCGCGAGCAGGAGAAGTACGTCGAGCGCCTCGCCCGTGCTCTTGAGGGGTGCGGGGCGATGGATCGAGTCGCAGGAGGCGCATTCGAGCATTACGCGAAAACGCATCAACACGACGCTACGTTCGCGCGATACATGAAGGGCCACAAGTGGTTGCTAGCCTACGACACGCTCTCCGGCGAGATGCGTTCCGAGCGCGAATACGCACTGATGCCGTACCTCGCGTACTCGCTCGTGCCGTTCTATCATTTGTTCCAGGAGAGGGGCGGGATGAGGGTCGAGAGGCCGAAGGCTGATTGGGAGACATTCCAGAAGATGAAGGCGAGCGAGGAGATCTATGCGAATGTTGCGAATGCTGTGAGGAATGGAGGTGCGAGGAGGGACGGGGCGTATAGGGATCTCGTCGGCAAGGACGTATTGAGGTTGGAGTTTGCGCCGTATCTCAATAGGATCATCTCGCCGCCATTACGACCCGTGGGTGCATGTCATATCAATGTTTCTATGTTTGTGCTAACGATGTGTAGGTCAATAGCCAGGTCATCCGCCCAGAGGAGAAAGCGATCCTGTCACGGCTTGTCAATGTCATGGTCTCGCTCGAGTTGCGATTCGTGCAGGAGAAGGCAGAGGATGGACAGCTTATCTATCGTCTAGATCCGTATGTTCAAGTTTTTTGGTATCATCTGCTTCGAGCTGACTTGCTCTTAGACCTGTCGACATCTTCGTCACCTACGACGGCAAGCGTGCAGCCGACATCCGCGTCTCCCGTTACGCCGTGCGGCATCTCGTCGCAGCTGAGGTACGTCCGAAAGATACTTCTCAACAGTTAAGAGCTAATCGCCTCTCGATATAGATTGACGCCCAACTTATCGCAAAGCAAGCGGACGCCGTCGAGCGGACAAAGTCTGCCAAGCCCTCTGCGTTCTTCGGTAAGAGCAAGATGCACGACACAGAAGACATAGGTGATCCCGATGATACGCCAGACGACGCAGAACCCGGCGAGGGAACGCTCACCAATGCTCGCCCCGCCAAGCGCACGAAGGTTTCGGGGGCCGCGGAGACGATTGATATCGCGGACAAGCCTCCAGTAGACTTCTTCGGTCGCCCGATCATCGCCAAGCCTAGTAAGGGCAAGCCCTCGTCAAAGGCGCAGCATGGAGCTGCTGCTATACCTATAGCCGAGAGGCCTTACCGCGTATCATATCGATTCAAGGAGGGCAACTCGGCTGCTGTGCGCAAGCCTGTCAAGCTGGCTTCCTTCTTGTAATCTTGTATATCATCGTCCACTGTCATTGTCATCGATCTGTACATCGCACGCATCTCATTATCGTCTAGCTATACATGTATTATCACGAAACGTTCAAGATGGTTCACGATCGAGTCTAACTCAGTTACTACAGAACGTAAACGAACTCTTTGTTCTGCCTATCGGTGAGGTCGAGGAACGCCTTGTCAACATGCCGCGTCTCCGTGATACCCTGCGGATTCTCTTCACGGATGTATGCATCCTGTAGATCGTCTTGCGACGTTGCCGATGCCGCGCGTAGGCGGTTCTCACGAACAAGGTACTGGCGGGTAGCGAGCATGATGATGCAGCAAAGGAACATGGATCCTGCTAGGATGCCCCACGGAACGTCGTTTCTGTGAGGATCGTGAGAAGTTGTGCATGAGGCGAAGAAGCGTGACGACGTACCGTGGCTGGTAGCGAGCCTTCCACATCTGAGGGCCTACTGCGTTGCCCAGACCATAAGCGGCAAGGACGATAGCATTTGTCGTCGTCTCTGCTCAATATGATCAGCTCTATCGGCGTCGGATGCGCAGTAAGGCAAGCTCACTCTTTGTGTGACCTGCCGTGATGACATTCACCCAAGCCAGGAAGATGGTGAAGGGCGCGAATGCGCTGACTGTGGGGCGTAATCAGCGTCTGGCTGGATTGGAAGATCCAACTGAATGCGTACTGGATAGCCAGTAAGAGAACAGGAGTCCGACACGCTTGTGGCTAGAGAGCGTGGTGACTAGGATGGCACCAAGGATGGCGATGCCGAAATAGATGAGTGACGTCCAGACACGCCCATTGCGCCAGTATGAGGCGAGAACCACGGCTGTACCGATCACGATGACTATTGTCGCGTTAGCGCTTGCGGATAGTCGACGGTAAACAGGTACGCACTCTCAACGAGGCCATCAACGCAGCCAATGAGGGTTGTCTGAATGGGGGTAAACCCGAACTGGCTGACGATGATTTGACGTTGATTAGTCAACTGGACATTCAGTGCGCATCAGTACGTATCCCAAGTCAAAAGGTTATCACGCACGGAGTTGACGAGGTTGAATAGGGCGGAGAACAGCGCTAGCATCCAAGTCTTTGGATCCTTCAGCGCCTCGACGAACTGGGCGCGCTTGAAAGTTTTGTTTTCGACACCTGTCTGGTTGACTCTGAGACGCTGTACGGCTAGGACCCTCTCCTCGTGTGTCAAGAACCATGCAGTTGTGGGGCTGTCGGGGAATAAGAACCAGAAGAGGGCCGATATGACGAGCGTGATGAGCCCGGTTACAATCATAAGCCTGATTGGAGAAGCGTTAGTCCGGGACGATATTGAACAAGCTTGACGGCGTACCATTGCCAGGGCAAGAAGTCGCCGGTACTGGTGTGCAAGAGTCCGAAGGCAACGAAGCCCAGAAAAATGATCGCAAGACCGTTCATGAGGACTGTTGCTAGTCAGTCAGAGTCCCCCGCCGGGTGTTCGGAGCGTACATACACCAATAACCAACTCGTCGCGTCTGCTCTTCACGAGTGTAGAACATGGAAGTGACCTGCGCTCCGTTCAGTATCCGAGGCGATCCACAACGAGGACGTAGAACAAGCATACCAGAAGGAAGCCGGGGGTGATAGCGCCTTCACAGATGCCGAGAAGCAGTCTGACCGCCAGCAATCCACCGAAAGAGTGGCATGCTGCGTGGCACAGCAGAATGACTGCCCACAGAAAGACGTTGATCCTGCTCGAGCCTGTGAGATCGATGTATGATCCCTCCGTGCAGTTCGGCCACTCACGTCATCCACTTCGCAACCGGGAAGCGCTGAAGAGCCCAGTTTTGCGGGTACTGGAAGACCAAATATGAGATGTAGAAGACAGTGCCTGTCACGCGTCATACGTCAGCTTGTGCAACAGGCGTGCGATTGAAACTCACCCAGCCAGTTGAATTGATTCTGGTCAAGATGCGCTCCTTTGCTATGCGTGAAGTCAGCAAGTAAGTTCGAGGTGGTCATCAATGATACCCACATGATGCCCAGCGTAGCGCTCTGACCGAGTGTCGTTTTGTCCACGAAAGTCATGCTGAGGTAGACGCGCTGAGCCCGAGCAGTATGCGCTGCGAGGACGGATGACGTACAGGTACATCACTATAGTGTGCCAGTAAGTCCTGAGCTCTAAACGAATAGCCAGAGGCAGCACTTACAGCACATCAGAGGCATTAGGTGAAGGTCAATCTTTCTCCTGCACATCTGTTCAGTCTGTCTCTACAGCTGAAGCTCTATGCTAGACATACCTTAACTTCGCGGCGGCTGCCGGATCGACATTCAAGTCCGCACCGGCCGTCAACGCGGCAGCTGTATCCACCGCATCCTTGTCGAAAGCCCGGCCGTGCGTTGCGCTACCTGTGGAGGGTGCAGACTTCTCGTCCTCGTACGCGTCTTCAGGCCGTTTCGTATCCATGCTGGAGAACCCAGGAACTCGAGGGTGATGGCTCGAGAACAGGGTCCCGGGTATATATGCATCTTACCGCGCAGCCACGCATCCCCGAGCTTCTAGGAGATGAACGATCTGTGAGAGAAGCAATCCACCTCCCCGCTAGGATAGCTCATCTCCATGCGGAAGGACAACGGAAAGAGCTGAGAGCCATCAGAGCTTCGAAGCGTCAGCGTAGCACGCGGGACGGCACGCGGACTCTCGACACGGCTCAGCAGCATATACCGACGCGAAGATCCCAGTCCTCTTCGGGCGCAAACAGGGACCCATCCTGGCATTCGACATCGTGTTGCTGAGAACATTGTCTTGACAGCTTGTCAGGCTGACAGCTCGCTAGACCATTTCGGCGTAGGATGAAACGAAAGCTCTGCCTACTATTTCCTTAATATAGGCGACGATGAAGTTTTTCTCTTGGAAGAAGGGGATGTTGACCGCCATGATGGGCATCCTCGAGGTACCCTTGTCCGTGCGAGCCGGCCAGACCTCGAAAGGTGTAGAGCTCTCGCAGCCTGTTACAGGCGCTCCGACGAGTTCGGTATTCGGACCTTGCGCCTGCTGCATATCTTCACAGCATTCAAGCAAGTTGGATTGCACTGAGGTCTGAAGCGAGGCTTCATGTAGGCGTGTATGTGGTGCGGGTGCAGAGAGACGGCGCACGGACGGCGCAACAATGCATCTCCCATCAAAACAACAGGCACATCCCACGTGTCATGGCTCCCGGGAGATTGGCCGGCGTCGGTGACAAGGGCGCAATTCTCCGTCCTACACTCATCTTGCGCCGAGTGAGCTTTGCCGGGCGTATACCTTTCCAACGCACGAAGGCGTAGAGTTCCTGTGTGATAGCTCCAACTCAGTCTCGGTGTCTCGAGTACGGTGCCTAGATGTCTGGAAAACAGGTTAGCCAGCACACCAAAGAGTGGGTGCTCGGACCGGAGAGCGAGTATCGGTTTGAGCTCGACCCAAACACTTCGTTGGCTATACGGGTCTGTCTCTACTAACGAGAAGAGGTTGCTCGTGTCAGTTGACCCCTTGCACAACAGCTTCTTCGCGGACGGGCGGAGATATTTGGCGCAGAACTAGCTGAGGGTAAAACCTACCTCTTCGCTTATGAGTGTAAAGCCGCCGTGTATACGTGGCAAGGATGCACTTTGGAGATGAGTGTATCTTAGACTTTATGCTGGGCCCTGATCTCACAAGACTGGTATGCACATTACAGGTCAACCGTCGACGGAATATGTATCAGAGGAGACACCAATGTCTGCTTATGCGAATGTTCATGTGGCCCTTGAGAAGATGCGCTTACGCGCCCAGTGTGTTGTGAACGGCTCGCCCCCACCACCCGGTGACGATGATGGGAGTGAGCCCGAACCACCTCGCATGCTGATCCTAGGGCCGGAGAACTCAGGCAAGACTAGCGTCTGCAAGATTCTGACGAATTACGCCATCCGAGCCGGTCAGGACTGGGAGCCTATGTATGTAAACGTTGACCCGGGCGAGGTGAGCAAGCTGTACATGATTTGGCGCCTGTTCATGCTTATCCTTTTGTGCGCAGGGCGGTTGGGCCGTCCCGGGTGCGATATCGGCAGCCTCTGTGTCTGCCCCTTTACCGACCGCGTCACCGGCCAATCCTCTTGGTAATACAGCCACTTCTTCCCCTTCAACACTTGCCACAAATGCCCTCTTGCCCCTGGTATACTGGTACGGCCATTCGGACACCAAACGCAACCCTCTACTATTGGAGCGTTTAATCCGTAACCTCGGTGACATGGTTAGCGAACGCAACGAACGTGATCCAGAGGCACAGTTGGGCGGCATCATTGTTGATACGCCGTCATCCTTTGCTTCGTCTAGCCTTGTCACTGGAGCAGATCATCGACACATGCTCATACGCGCCTGCGTCGATGCTTTCAAAAGTGCGGTGATTATATGCTGGGGTTTGAATAACATTAACTCTGCACAGTCAACGTCATTCTTGTGGTTGGTCACGAGAAGCTGAATGTAGAAATGCAACGCACTTTTGGGAACCGGATGCATGTCGTGAAGATCCCGAAATCCGGAGGGGTACGTTCATTCACTCCTGTATCAAGCTCCTAGTAACTGACAGTCGTAGGTTGTGGAGCTAGATCTCCATTACCGTACTCGAGTTCAAAGGTACCAGATGCACAACTACATGTATGGACAGGCCTTCACGCCGCCCGAGGGCCTTGGACTGATGATCAAGGGGACACCCGGAGGAGAGAGCGCCTTGGAGGAACATCTTGCTCCAAGTAGCGTGGTAATCTCAACGGATGATATAGTCATATATCGTATCGGGGAAGGTATGGAGGTCGCAACGAGTATCCGCGCGTGCACTCTCTGACTCAATTCATCACTCAGAATCAATGGCTCCTTCATCAGCCCTGCCGATTGGTGCAACTCGAACAGTTTCGGAAATGGTTCCGGTCAAGATCGATGCTGCAGTCTCCGGTGCTCGCCTCCAAAATACCGTCATCGCTCTCCTGGCTCAGCCCAGTAATCCAGAAGAGCGTGAGCGCTATGATGAGGAGATCTTGGACATGACAGTGGCGGGTTTTCTTGCTGTGTACGTCTCCTTATACTTGCATGACTTGATATGGACTGACTGACAATCGTTCAGTACCGGCGTGGATGCTAAGAATCGCAAGTTAACGGTTCTCTCGCCCAATCAGGCTATCTCCTTCGCAGGCAGGACTGCCATTGCAGGGTCATTGGAATGGTCGGAGCAGCAATGATTAGACATTGTTCAGAACGTAGAATGTGTGAATGACAGTATGATACATATGGTTTTGTGAGAATTAAGGACTACGGGCATCATGCAGGTACAGGTGACGATGCAGAAGATGAATCGCTGGAGTTGCTACCATTGGAATCCGACTCCGTGCTGCGGCCTGCGAGGGCCGGGCGAACGAGGCCACTGAACAACCGCACCATATTTGGGCGTTTCGGTTGGACCACACTGAAGGGGATTTTGAAAGCTGTCCGGCGTGCGGACTCGAGGATGAGAAACGTCACTATAATCCACACGTTAGCGCCAGACAAAGAGCTCGGATGAATAGACTTGCCAATGAGATGGACATCCAATCCCACCGTCGCAGGGTGGCCGTGCAGTTGGAGGTAGTCACACCCGACCTCAGTGCGGGAACCATGACGCAGTCCACCTTCTGCAGTGACCGACATGTTTGGTGCCAGCGCAGCAAGGAGAGAGCCATCTTGGTGACGAAGTGATGAACGGTTCTGGCCTCCGCGCCATGTCGCGTCGAAACGCGCAACGGGAAGTTTGCACCGCGCTTCGTTTGCACCTCCCTCAACCACTCGCTCCCACGAAACATTGGGATCGCCACAAAGGTCGGCAAGGCTCAAGCCACCGTCTCCCTTGAAGCGCTGAAAGTGCACACGCAGCGGCCGTCCATGCTGACCCCACACGATGCGGGCAACTTCTCGGTTTTTGTGATCCGCGAGTATTGTCGTCTTGCACAGGACGTAGTTGGCTTCGTGCTCGATGGAGTTCGGGGGCGCATTCTCCGAACGCACGACATACAGCAGCTTGTCCGTATAAGCGTCAAGGATGTCGGTCGCGTAGAAGGATTGTGAGTGGAACTTCAGTAACGACGAAGGTGGTGCCATGGCTACCGTGCAAGGGGCGGGTAGGAGGGGATGGGATCTCTTGGACAAGACTGTCGGCCAAGAACAGCGTCAACCTCGATATATAGGCGGGGTATCCACAATCTGACGTGAAGTGAAACCACAGTTGGCCCTTCATTCATCAATGGGCTTCCCATCAATGGTCCAAATCCGCATACGACCACACGAACGTGTGTGCCCATCAGTCCCACCCTGCTCGGCGGGTGGTTACACAATGGCGTATGACGGTGGCTGCAATGTGCGACTAAGGATAATCAACGGGCGACCTCGAGCAGGCGATATCGCCACCATATAGCCATGTGCGGGCTATACTAGTAAAAGATAGCACGGTAGGCCTCTAGCATAGGTTCAACTTCGTCGGGCACTTATCTTCGTCCGCGGACTGTATCTCGCTATCGGCGGATGTCCTATCACCAGTTTGAAGATGCGGACTGTAGCGAATGCTGCAACTGGTTTCATTTGTCCAAGGTCCGAGGATCGTATTGTACCATAGCTGGACGCGATTGCGGCCGCACCTTTATACGAGTTCTTGTCATGATCCATTGTCGAGACGTTTCCAGGCAAGTCAACTAAGCCATGTCACACTGGCTTCACATGAGGACCAGAAAGGGTATAAGAAACCCATAGGAGGAACATGTGCTGAGCGCGCTCTGATGGCGGGAAGAGACAAAGCGTAGCTTGAATATGACGGCGGTGATGCCCGCTGTCGCGTCGCACGACGCGCGACTTCCTTCGGGCTTGCAGTCGTTTCACCACCAGTCGCGTCTACAGGCGTAGTCTCCGGATCACTTGTGTTCACTACACAAAAGCATCCGTCGCCGGTGATGCCTGAGGTGATACATGATGTTTGCCTTATCTCTCGCGTTCACGGAAAGCGGCGCGCGGACGGGATGCATACCCTTAGTAGTGATGATCCATCATCGTTCCCGACGTGTCTACAGTCGCCGGATGGCGATGGTGATATGCCACACGTCCGACGCGATCGCTTGATCGCGAACATGACATACTGGATAACGTTGTGTATTGGATCTCGTGGAATGTGCCCCTAGTGACTCAGCTCTACATGTCTCGTCTTCAGGCCAGTACTCAGTACCCTCGACTTCTGGCCTGCGCGTATATAAGGCCTCTCGCCGGGCTCTCTTCTTTCATCACAACCACTGCACACCTCTGCTCTATCTTTGTATTTCATCGAATAGATATGGCTGCTTTAACTGTCCCTTGCACACAAGTTGATCCCGAGCAACGCGCCGGGTTGAAGGACATGGGGAAGATGGAAGTTGATGTAATAGATTTCAGCCGTATGAAAAGCCCAGGTATGCAAGCCTCTCTACCAATTGGTGCTCTCACTGACCATGGTACAGCTTTAGAGGCATTATACAAGCTGAACGGTGGTGGCACACGCCAGTCGGAGGTACCCATCATGTCGATAAACGCCAAACGCAGTACCCATAGTGTTGTCCTCCCCTCCACCACGACGAGCATCGGTCTTCGCGCTTCCTCCATTCCTTCTTGCTCTACGCTCCTAGAGCACGTCGAAGGCCACGATCTCTCGAGCGACTCAAGCTCGGACCCGGATTCCGAGTCTGACTGGTCCGATATCGACTCGGACCAAGACTCGAGCTCGGACGGCGAGGAATGCGACGAGGCTGACCCCTGGACGAAGGCCTCGCGCCTCAACGTCACATCCTCGGCGACTCCAGACAATACGCCGATCCTACCAAATGAGGCGCATTCCACCTCACCCTACACCATCTCCGCCGAGCTACTTTCGACCAGACTCTCGCATCATACAGAGAGACATATCATCTGCTGGACTTGCGGTGTCACTTTGAAGCACGACCCTGGCTGTCGTAGGAAACACGTCCCCTCCAAAGTTCGGGTCCCTCTTCAACCTGCACGCGAGATGGCTTTCCCCAAACCCCTGCCTGGCATCCGCGAGTGCGAATTCGAGCTACCTGAACCCGCCTCGCTTCAATTCTCCCAATCCTCTACCTTCATGTGCACGCAATCTGCGAGCATGACGATGTTGGCCCGCATCGCGGCAAAGGACGCGCAAGCTCGGGAGAGCATCTCGGTCGCTACTACGACGACGCGGATGATCGCAACACCGGTCGAATGTGCCGTCAAGTTCAATAGATATCTCTGGCGTGGACTCACACGCCCCAACACCTCCCTTCATGACCATACATCCCGACCTGGTCTATTCGACATCTTTCCCCACATCACGCTGGTCGATGCGGTTGCAGCTCAGTGCTGATTACCAGCTCCCGCTGATACATCCCCTTCATGGCTAGCTCTCTTCATGGACTGGCGACGCGATGTCTCTGATCTTGGACTGGCTGAAGCTATGGACTGTGCTCTTTATACTGGACTAGACGACCCTCTGGCAACCTGTCACAGATCTCAGGCAACACTCTTGCGGGCGAGGATTCCAGTCCTCTCCTCCATCGGTCGTAGTTGTCTCTCTTCGTCGGTCGTGATTTCCTTCCTTCAGTCGTGGTCCTTTTCCTCAGTCGTGGCTTTCCTCTCGTCAGTCGTGGTTTTCTCCTCTTCAGTCGTGGTTTTCCCTCTTCAGTCGTGATCCCTTCCTTCAGTCGTGGTCTCTTCATCAGTCGTGGATTTCTTTTCATCAGTCGTGTCCGCCCCACACCACCGTTCCTGCAGGCGGTGGCACCCGTTTCTCATTCACACTCATTCATGCGCAGGTCTGAGTGGGCTTGGGGACCGGGCGGGGTTCTTTGATGCAGCATTGCCAGCGTCGCCCAAGGTTCTCGCTCGGCGGTCTGCATCTTTGAACTCCCTATGGCAGAAGAATGGGACTACTTATTGCTTGTGACAAGCGCTCATGGCACGCGTCAGCAGCACAATGTAGAATATGTTGATGACTACGGGCTACAGGCATGCCACGCACGACCGAAGGGGCTTTCCGGCGAGAACGATGTTGATCGTACGATGTCTAGAAGGATTCGTCGCTCTCGGGAGAGCCATAGCGTGCTCGCATCAGAAGCTCTTTACCGAAGCTTGAAACGCGATGTACGAGGCTTGGACGGCGCGGGCGAATAGAAGGCGCACGTTGACCATGAGGTGCTTGCGGTCGGTTCATGAAGATCTTCCGACGAGCCGTTTCAACGAGAAGGAACGTCGCTAGTGGTAACGACATTAGACATGTGAGTGTATGAGATGGACGAGTAAAATACACACCGAGCACTTCTGGGAGATTCTGTGTGGGGCTCTGAAGGCGCAAATAGTCATAGGCTTCCGCCGTGCTCCCCTTTTTGACGGGCTCGATGTCGTACAGAGACCATGCAGCATGGTGCTCATAGAACTGGGCGCGCACGGATCGATTGAAGTTCAGGAGCTACACATACCGTCAGACATTTGAGCCACAGTCGTGAAATGTAGACTCTTACCGAGGCGCCGAAGGCATTTAGCTCCCACTCCGCGCGTAGACGCGTTTTAATTTTATACTCGTTCGACCTAATGAATCTACCGTCAGAGTGTATCGCCAATGCTATCTGAAAGATAACGCACCGAGTTGCAGATGGAACGCACAAGTGGGCCCACTCGACGCCTTCGTGTTGGAAAAGCTCCCCGAGACTGAGATGATGGCGCGCGCCGATGTCGCGCTCGCCCTTCGACGAGCCCAGCACGACGCAACGCGGCTCGCCTGCCTCGCTCCATCCAACTAGAGCCAGGTCCATACCTTTCTCGTTTTGAATGACCGTAGCGTTCATCTGAACGTGCTCCCGTCGAATGCCATGATCGATGTATAGCCAGGTCGAGTATCGGACGGGACGGATACGGAACACGACCTCGTCTGTAGCTGTGTCTATGAGGGTGCAATCGTAGATGTTGTGAGAGTCTAAGACGAGAAGCCTGTCCGAAGAGCTGCTAGCCATATCCAGACCCAGGTAGAGGAATGGGTATATGAAGAGGGGTATAGGGAGAAGCTAATGGCGTGCGCAAAGGCGCGCGGGGATGGGACGCCCGAGCTGAGGAGGGCAGAAGCCGACATGCCTTGCTTATATATATGATGGGATCTGGGTCGGCTTCTGAAGGCGGTCCTGCAAAAGAGCGAAAACCACACATCATGTCGGGGAATGCCGCGTCCACGAGGTGAAAGAATGGGCTGTCACGATATCCTGAACAATAGGTCACCAAAAACGGCCTTCCTTCGTGGCTATTGAGAAAATGAGAGGCTCAGGCCTTACGGACTAGATGATACATATTGGGTGTGCCATGGTGCATCTTGCAACAGGACCTTCCCCGACTCACGCAACACGTATTGGCAGTTTGGCAATGTCAGTGATCGGCGACAAGTCATAGCAGTAAGAGTTACGATCCAGAGGGCATAAGCTGCCTCGACGAGGTAGATGCAGATTCCAGCTGATGTGACGGGACACAAGGAATTGCTCCTGCAAGCACATAGCGCATGATCGACATGGTGGTTGAAGGGTAACAGACGGCTCTCACACTTCCCCGCGGCGTCCGCAGTGTCCATGATGCAATCAACGCATCGATATCTCTTCTTGGGAATTGTCCTTGCCGGATACTCCGCGATACAATAGTTACAGACGAGGTTTGCGATAAGCACCGTGAGCGTGACACCCTCTGTAGAGGCAACCTAGCTCTCGGGGCTAATTGTCTCGAAGGGATAGGAAACCTCTCATCGGCCAAAGTATGATCATAACAGTACATCCGAAGCTTTCTTATGTATCCAAGCTGAGACCCAGTAAAAGTAGAGACGACATGATGAGAGAAAAACAATATAGACTCTGAAGCAGTAACGCTACTTCACGAGCGGGAAGAAGTCCCAGAAGAGGACAGACCTGAGTCACTCGAGTCCGAGGTCGAGCGACGCATGAGTCCACTGAAGCGCCCGACTATGCTTGGGCGACGGGCTTTCGAAGCCCGCGCCGGCGTCGGTTCGAGCGAACCAAGGTCGAATACAAAGCGGCGGGAAGCCTCGGCGACGACTACAGTTACTGCACGAGCGTCAGCCAGTGTTGCAAGAGCGTTGCTAGGTAGCTCATGGACTTACAAAGCGTCTCGACAACGTCTACAGGTGCAACCCACATACGCAGGTAACTGTGCCCCATTATACCGCGAGCAACATCTGCGCGCGTCATGACTCCGTCCGAGCCGCGGACCATCTCAGGCGATAGCAGAGCGAGCATGCGCTCGGCGTTCTCGCTGGAGAACATAGCGGCACCCTCGATGTGAGCGCGCCAGGTCGCGCGGAGTGAGGTCTGCAGCTCCCACCCGGCGCTGATGCGAGGCTCAGCCTCGGCCGTGCCATCCTCGCCGCACAGACGCGGCAAAACCATGCCCGCCCTCCCGTATTCCCCTCCAGTCAACCACAGGCGGACGCCGCGCCCTTCTGCGTCCCACGATACGCGCCCGAGCTCCCTATCCCGCTCGTCATACAGGATAGAAGAGAGGCGATTGACACAGGTGCTCTTGAGGCCGATGAAGCCGCCGTGGTCGATGCGAACCGTGTCGGGCGTGCGACCTGGGCGAAGGCGGTACTTGACTTCGGCGGAGCGAGCGTCGAGGATATCGCAACTGGTGAGCGACGTCGAGGAAAACTTGAATAGAGTAGAGGTGGAGCCGCGGGGAGGATTCGCCATGGCAGAGTATGAAGTAGAGGGTACAGCGAGTAACGAGGGCGGGACGAAGCTATGGTCCAGGACGTGTAGCTCCTCAGTCTTATAGTCCACCTCGTTTATTGCGGCCGGCACGCAACCGCCACATTTTCCTTTGTGCACACAAAGGAGTGGTTGTTCCGCGAGGTAGCAGGAAGAGCAGATGTGTCAAGCGGCCACGATGCGTCTGATGTCGTTCGCATCGAGGAGGTGGTTATGGGACGTGAGAGAACCATACGAGAGGATAATGGGCCGGTCGGGTGTTCGGCGTCGTTCTCGTTCGCGTGCGCACGCAATTTTGATGGTGGTTTATCAAGCAGGTACGAGAAGTACTAGGTGATGTGGCTCATGCAGCGTGCACGAAGCGTTCGAGACGTTCAATCGACAGATAGCCGCAGAGAGCAGTAGCCGCAGCTTAACGGGCTTCCGGCGACACATTCGGGAGGTATCGAGGAGGCTAGTCCACCACTGATGTTACCATGCCGTAAAGAGCCGGTAGGTAGACAGTATAGGTTTCTTTCATCCGAATCATCGTGCAAGGACCGACTCGCGCGGTGCGATGGAAGTGAAGAGCGAGAAACAAAGCATCGGATTTGACGGGCCGTTGACTAAATCCCACGCATACTCCACCTCAACAGTATTACGTGCATGATATCTAGCTCACACATACTCAGAAGTTATAAAAACTATGCACTCTTGAATTGCGGCTACTATACAGTGGATGAACAGTGATGGTGACGGATGAGAGGAAAGGCAATGACATGGGGGTAGAGCGTAGATGAGGTGTGGAGGGTTGAGATACAGGAAGGGGGTTGAGCGCTAGCGCAGAGATGTAGAGTAGGTGGATTAGGCAGATGCGATGTCCAGGCTAAAGTCAAGTTCTAACTGCATGACCTGTGAAGAGAAGGATCCGTGGCGAGGGCAGAAGTAACCAGCATGAAACTACGGGTAAAGGAGGTAAAAGCATGGAAGGCATAGGTAAACGGCAATGAACTACGTATACTTATACAGCTTGTAGAGGCGCTCAAGCTCGCGGACGACTTCCGACATGTCTGGGCGGTCGCTCGCGTCTTGTGCCCACATGCGCTCAATGAGATCTACAATCTCCGGGCACCAGAGCTTGCGAAGGCCATGCACACTCGGGCTGTGACAGGGATGAGTAAAAGTGTGGCAGATAGGAAGACATATGGGACGTACCGCTGCTTTTTCGCGCCGACGGCGTCGTAGATCGCATGCTCGTTCATGCCCTCCCAAGGATACTTCTTCTCCTTAACATGCCACTGGAGCATCTCCCAGAATACAACCCCAGCCGCGAACACATCGACTTTGTGATTGTACTTCGGCGAGGGATGCCAAAGCTCGGGGGCCTGCCAATTGACGGTGCCGACGAGAGACCGCACCATACTGCGTGCAGTCTGCTTGACCTTCGCCAGGCCGAAGTCCGCGATCTTCGCGCTCCCACGGGCGGTGATGAGGATATTGCTGCTCTTACAGTCACGATGGATGACGGATGGCTGGCGCGTATGCAGATACTCGAGGCCACGCGCGACATCGAGCGCGATCTTGAGGACGGTCTTGAGCGGTGGTGCAGGTACATTGCGGATGTAATCGAACAAGTCGCCGTTCTCGCACAGCTCGCTGACGATCATAACGGGCGTATTGCGGCTCTCCTCGGGCGGCACACTGACGCCGAAGAAGCGCACAATGTTCTTATGGTTGAACCCGCCGAGCAGCTTGAGCTCCTTGATGTCCATGCTGCTGAGCGTGCCACGGAACTCGGCTATCGCGACCTTCCTGCCCCGCCATTTGCCGATGAAGACGTCCTTGAAGCCTCCACTGCCGATCTTCTCGAGTTTGACGAGTTGTTCGTAAGGGATCTCGCGGTCCTCGAGACCCAGTCCGGCGAGGTCAAGCTCGATGTCCTCTTCCTTGGGAGCAGCAGCTCCCGACAAAGGCGGTGTTCGCGGTTCGTCAAGGTGGACATGTTCTTCGCGCAGGAGGACGGGAGGCGTTGCGGTCTTGTTGCTGTCGCCGCTGCGGCGCTTGCTGCGACGGCCGCCGGGGCGCACAGTGGCGGGTCCGGGGCGGGCCGTTGCGGGTCCGGGCCGAGCTGTAGCCGGAGCGCCGGTGACGGTTGCGGTGGACGAGGGCGCCGAAGACTGCGCGACAGTCCGAGCGCGATTCCACTTGATGAGGGCATCAGCGAGTTGAAGTTTGGTGCCAGAGGTATCAAGACCGCGGACTTCGGACAGGCGAACGAGCTCGTCGCGGCGAAGACGTTGAAGGCTACTTTTCGTAGCAGTTGACCAGTCCACTGTCAGACAGAATATCAGCACGGTATGTTTGCCAATTAGTCGGGCGAGCTTACCGTCCTCGCCGGAGCTCTCGTTATCTTCATCCGCCTCCTCAACCTCCACCTCTTCCTCTTCAGCACTGGCGACCTCGACATCGGCCTCCTCTCCTCCCAATTCTTCGTCGACGCTCATCTCGCTAAGCTCGTCCTCTTCCACCTCTTCCGCTACCGCTGCCTCCGGTTGAACAACGCGTCCACTCCTGAGTTTGCGCGGAGTTGGCTCGTCGACTTCGTCCTCATCCTGCTCATCATCCTCCGTATCTCCACCCTCTTCGTCATCGCCCTCTTCGGCACCGGGAACCTCGCGCTCATCATCTCCGTCGCCATCACTCGGCGGAGTGTATGTTTGCATTTTACGTGGGCGAAGGCGGCGTTTGAGTGGAGTACGGCGCGGCTGTGGAGTCGATTCGGCGCTGTCAACGAGTTGATCGACTTCCTCGTCATCCTCCTCCGCATGCTCATCGCTTGACGCTGCCATTTCCGCATCGAGCGAAGGTTTGGTGAAACTTCCGCTACCTTCTCCACGTAGCCGGGGACGAGAGCGTAAGCGGCGCGGGCTTGGATTAGTAGTCGCCTTGCTGGCGGTCTCGCGATCGCTCTCGGTGAGCTCGCTCAGCTCTGAGAGTTCAGGGTCTACGGGCTCGACAGGCGTCACGACGACATTATCGTCAAAGTCGACTTGTTTGCCCTTGCTCTTGCGTGATCGGGAAGATCCCGAAGAAACGGCCGTTTGTCCAGAGATTTTACGGTTGCGTAGTAGACGAGTGGCAGGCGGTGATGGCAACGACGATGACCCTGACGCGGATGTCCGTGAGGTCGAGGCGACTGAAACCGTTGGGCTCGAACGAAGGGATGCTGTGCGTTTGCTATGAAACGGTCAGAGTTTGTCAGGGGAAGCACGAGGCAGAAGACGTACCGTGTCCTGGGAAAGACAGTAGGAGATTCGACCTGGCGGGCGGCCTTCCGATACGGCGTCGGGCTGGCAGGCTCGAGCAAGCCCATGCTCATTGTGCGACCCTTGGGCTCGGGCCGGGTCGCTGAACGCGACATGTTGTGGTAGGTGACCCGACGCCGAAGCGCAGTGCCGGCCATGCGTGGCGACGTGACCTGGTTCATGTCCGTCTCCTCGCCGCCCGCGACGTTCCCGTCCTCGCTTTCCTCGTCATTGTCGGAAGAGTATATGCTTGATGCACCATCACGGTCGCGTGGGGAAGATGGCGGCAAAGACGCCTCTTCGTCGTCGCCATCGTCACGGGCGGTGATGATGGCGTCGACGAGGCCTTGTTTCGTCAAGTCCTCAGGCGAGTCGTCAAGCCCGGCAGCGTTGTAGAGTTCGATTAGATGGTCCTTGCGAAGGCGTAGCAGGCGTCGTTCGGTCGCTTCGTACAGTAGATGCTCTTGTGCTGTGGTTCAAGTTTAAGGCCCGAACATTGTAATATACAATTCAAACAAAGCTCACTGCTATCTTCCTCGTCGGCGGATGCAGTCTCGTTGCTATCGTCGATGTCCATCACGCTTTCGCTTTCTGCCTCGCTCTCTATAGCCTCTCCGCTGCTGCCTCGCCGCCGTTTAGAACCACGCGAGCGAGAGCGGCCTCGCGTGGCGTTCTCGGACCCGCTGGCCGAACGCTTTCGCTTGGTGCCCGTCGTCGCGGTACTGCTCCCGCTCGACGTTCCCGCCCGCATCTTTTCCCGCTCAGACAGGCCCCTTCGTGACGGCAATCTCCGGAGGTTGAAGTGCAGGGGCGCCAGGACGCGGCGGTCGTCCACACTCGTAGGCGGCGACGAATCCGCTACAGACGCTTGGCTCGAAGATGCCGCAGAGGCATGGCGGCGATGGCCCTTGAAGCGGTCGATGAGGCCATGGCCCAGTGCCCGCCGCCGTGTGGTAGGCGACTGCCTAGCCCGGGTGGCCGCCGAACGTGACGGTACAGGAGTACTCGCACTCGTCTCAATCTCCAGCGCACCGCGGCGAACCATCGAAGGTTGCAGTAGTGTGATAGGGCTGGGATAGAGGTGAAGTTGTCGTCGTCGTGGTTGGTGGTGAGGTCGCCGTCGTCGTTCGACGCTGCGTCCAACTCCGTCACGATCCCGTGATCATTGATGTGACAAGCAATCACGAAAGTTGAACTCGGTCACACGGTGGTTTTGCTCTCCGAGTCTAGAACCAACCTGCAGGGTCGATGTGCTACTCGGAGGGATGGACAATACTACGAGTATTGTAGACGACGACAGGATGCATCCAGAGTGGCTCGCAAGAACGCCTGCCGGTGTAAACCTTCATACGCTTCGTCTTTGTTCCTTTCAAAGCATCGCCGTCATACATGGTCAATACAATGGGACGTTGGACAGGTGGTGGCGCCCAAGCTCAGGCGTGGTCTCGGTACTTTGACAATGGCCTTTCAATATAAACCCGCTCGCCCGTCTTCCTCATTTCATCCATTATCCCTACTCGACCGCCATAGCCATGTCTTGGAGTGATCAATCAATTGCTCCACTGCTACTCGTCTTTTCATCGCCCGACCTATCGAATGCGACACTATCATGCGCGTACACGGGTGTGCGCATGTTCACCCTCCGACAAGGTACCCATCCGTACACCCATCGGCGTACAGGGAGCGGTCCGCGCCGGGTACGGCTCCCACGTGCGGTGTTGGAGGACGCCGATAGCAGGGCGATCGCGTCGCTCGAGTGCGACTCGGATGGCGCCCCATCCGAGATCTGTATAGCTGGAAGCAAGAGTATCCCAATCAGTCAGCTATTCGAACCCGCGCTCACTTGGGACGATCTGAGCGCACCTCGCGAGAAGGGGTTTCAACTGAGCGCATGCACTGGAGGGCTGTGGCACATAAGCCGATTACGGATCCGCGTGAGTATAGCCGATCCATGTCCAACTTGCCGCGGTAACTGAGTCGATGATCCGTTTGCAGCTGTTGGATTCAGTGAGCTATGCACCGCGCGCGAAGTTCTATCATAATCATGTTTTACACCGTGACGGCCGCCTGGAGCCGGCAACGGGGAAGTCCCAAGGGCACGACTTCCTGTGGGTCAAAGACAGCCGAGAGAGTTTGGCAGAGATGATAGGTGCGCGCATAGTGCTTTCCTAGCGCCGCCTCATTGACTGAGCGTCGCGCAGTGACTTTCGTCTTGCTAGAACATGCACGACGCGTGGTGTACCAGGCGAGCACATACCAGCCGCAACCCCCGGCACCAGTCTCCCCCTCACAACCTAGGCTGAGAAAGCACCTCTCAAATATCTCAGCGCACTTATTGCATCTGACGAAGCCGCGATGCCCTCCTGTCGAGGAACCTTGGAATGACCTTGATGGGAACGAGTTGGAGACCGCGCATGGACGTTCGACGTAGAGGTATATCATTCAGGGCACTCTCAATCACTTGTATGCGACATGTGTATCTAAATAGTTTGTGTTATTGTTGAGCCTGAATACTGCCGGCGCGAATAACGATACAACTCACAACATCCAAATTACCCTTCTTCTGGAGAGCACAGCTTCCCGTTCCTGTTGGCAACCAGCGCTAGGTATTGATCCCTCTGCTATCCGTATATCTCTCGACGTGGCCGATACGCGCAACATCGGGCTATGCGTGCGAGTCAGATTGATGGTGGTGGTGGAACAAAGGCAAGGCAGTACGCACGCGCCGCGTCAGAACATCTGAGAATCGCATGAATTGCCCACTCTCATGTTGTCATTCACCGTCACCTACCCTTCGGATATGCTACAGTGCGCGCAGTCGGCGATTGTATACAAGTTCATTATGCCACTCTGTCAGCTGTTGCGCTTCGGGCATCGCACAAGCAGCACATATGCCTCGAGTTCTTCCGACGACGCGCTGAGCCGAGAGCGGCGTCGCATCCGAGCCGCCTAGCTATCGACCTTGAGCTAGGCACAGCTTATTGCCATCTGTAAATCTCTGCTCCTCTGAATGCAGGCCAACTTTACAGCAGCAGCATGTAGGTCTTGGCTCGCGCCCTATGACAAGGCGACATACACTCCCTTCCAACGATTATCCGAGCTCCCCAGCTCGCGACGCGTCACCGAACCTCTATGCACACATTGTGCTGTGCTGCCTATGAGTCGTGATATGTGTGGCTTTGAGATGGTCTTGGTGCACGAGGTGCTCTGAGTCATTGGATGGATAGCGCGTCTGCCACTCGGCCGCTCTTCATCCTCGGATTCTTCTCGCGATTTCCCTTCATGAAGCCTTCCGAGCAACCTCCTTCCGTGTGCACATCTCAGCAGATCGTACTGGCCGGACCGCCGGCTTGCCAGTACAGGTGTACTGTGGCATATAAAATGCCTCAACTCCTGGGGCAATGATGGCCAACAACAGACGAAGATGTTCGCTCTTCTGCTCACTGTTGCTACTTCTCTCGCTTCTCTCGGGGGCGTCGCCGCGCACGGATACGTTCAAGACGTAGTCGCTGGCAGCACTCACTACACCGGATACTTGCCGTACTCGGACCCGTACTATAACCCACCTCCGGAGCGCATCATCCGCAAGATCCCGGGCAACGGTAAGTCCCATGTCTATAGACTATACATTACACTGACGATACTCTCTAGGCCCTGTACAGGATGTCACGCTCATTGAGTGCGCGGTATCTGGTATCACGTGGTGGGCGCGACTGACAGCATTCAAGTCTACAGTGCAATGGCGACACGGCCGACGGCGCTCCCGGCAGTGCTCCTGCTCCCATCTATGGGACCGTAGCTGCAGGCCAGTCCTTGTCTCTCAACTGGACGACTTGGCCTGATTCTCACATCGTAAAATGGGACAGCTCGTTTCTTGTGTATAGCGAGTGCTAAAGTCAGTCTAGGGACCTATGATCACCTACATGGCTCGCGCCCCGAGCGACATCACGACCTGGTCTCCTGGAACCGATGCCGTTTGGTTCAAGGTAGCTGAGGCCGGCAAGACGTCTGACGGAAAATGGGCTGCTACCGACATACTTAGCGCAAACGATTCAATCTACACGTTCACTGTGCCCGCAACACTTAAGCCTGGTCAATACATCATCCGCCACGAGATGTCTGTCGCCTCTCTTCCTCCTCATTCGTGATAGCACCCCCCTCTGACTCATGATCTTCATAGCATTGCGCTTCACGCTGGTGAGCCTTCAAAAGGGTAGCATCCGTCCATTTCTCGTTCTAATCGGCTTGTGATCAAGCCTTCGTGTACCCGGGCGCTCAGTTCTACCCATCTTGCATCCAGGTAGAAGTCACCGGTTCTGGCACCGCCTTCCCGACATCCTTCGTCTCCTTCCCGGGAGCCTACACTCCGGACACTCCTGGCATCGTTTACGACGCCTACACGAGTGCGTTTTCCCCGGGCCGTCGCTCGTTCAGGCAGCATTTGCTCACGAGAATATGCCGCAGACACGTCCGCGTACCCCATTCCTGGCCCCGCTGTGTAAGTTCGGCTTTCTTATAGCCTTGTAGTCATAGCTAACTATTGTGATCAAGGTGGTCCGGATGAGAGAAGGGCTTCGACGCCTTTTCGAACATGCGATCTACAGAACTTGGGCTTGAGTATTTTTTGGGGGGCTGACTGTTCGTGTTTGGGCCTGTATCTTCTCACTCCTATCCTTGTACGCGCTTTAGAAAACATAGGAAGCCGTTCGCAACCATTGGTACCCGAAGTAAATGTTGCTACAAGCCGCGGTTGTGTGCTAAGTATATGCGCCGCGTCAATCCCAGGCGGTCGCGTGCCAGGTGCTGTGGCACCTCAACTGCAGCGTGTGTACCTGATGAGCCGACCTATTGCATCACCATTTGCACCCTCTGGGTAGCGCTGTGTCGCATCTTGTCGCATAAGTTCTTTCGAGCAGGCGTCGCGCAAAGCGCCAGATAAGGGTGCCCTCCGTAAATAGAGTCTGAGAGGGATCAATCAAGGAGCGTACCGGAGTGCGAGGACGTGTCTCGGTCCGAACGCGTGAGGTCATTCCGAACGATCGCGAGGGACCTGAACAGTTGGAGGCCCGCGCGCTGTACGCCGCCAAACCAACACTTTTTGGCTCTTGCCCTCATGTCTCTTTGTGCACGGGCACTACGATGCCCGGGGCTGGCCCCCTCGCTGCGAATACGGCCACGGCCAGCAGTTTGGTCGCCGCGGTCGCTGAGTCTCGCGGCATCCTCGCGTCCCGTCCCACCACGCGCGGCACCCGGATCGATTCTGGCTCGCATACGCGCTCTCTCTACCCAGACTGAACCTCCGGCTACCACCTCCACTCCTCCTCAGCAGACACCCCCAACTCCGCCGCCGCCTCCACCCAAACCAAAGGGCCGGGTATCCCGGACCGCATCATACGCTTACCGCGGCGCGCGTATCTGTGTCTTTCTCATCTTCTCCTCGGTCGTCGGCGTAGCCGTCGTTGTCTCCGGCATATTCGTGCACGATGCGTTTACCTACACGGACCGTCATGTTGAACGGGTACCTGTCAACCCGCTCGCGCTCAACCCGACTCGCGGTGGTCCCAAGAACCTTCCTATCGCGAGCGTACTCGTGAGCGACGAGGAGGACGAGTTCATGGTCGGACTCAAGGACAAGCCGCGTCTCGTCATTGTCGGCGGTGGCTGGGGCGCCGTCAGTACTCTTATGAGTCTCAAGGACGGCGCTTATCACGTCACTGTCATCGCACCGGAAACATTCAACACCTTCACGCCTTTGCTGCCTTGTACGCACCGCTTCCTCGATGTGACACGCGAAAATACTGATGCATCATGTATAGCGGCGGCTGTCGGGACTGTGTCTATACGTAGCCTCATCGAGCCCTTGAGAAAGATTGTCGCACGCGTGCACGGCCAGTTCTTGACAGGTCGCGCCGTTGACATCGTGATGTCCGAGCGCCTGATTGAGATCGAAACGGCCGATGCTCACGGAAACATGCAGCACATCTACGTGCCCTACGATAAGCTGGTCATCTCCGTGGGCAGTGTTAGCAGCACACACGGCGTACCAGGCCTCGAAAACTGCTTCCAGCTCAAGACCATCGGCGACGCGCAGTCTATCCGCCGGCGCATACTTGACAACTTCGAGATTGCGAGCTTGCCTACCACCACCCAAGAGGAGCGCAAGCGTCTGCTCAGTTTTGTTGTCTGCGGCGGTGGGCCGACAGGTGTTGAGACCGCTGCGGTGCGTCGGCTACGTTCACTTCTTTCGCGGATCATCCTGACGTCTCCGGCTTGCCGTTACAGGAGATCCACGATCTATGCCTGGAGGATATCATCAACTATTACCCTAAGATCTGTCGCGAGGAAGTTTCAATCCACATCATCCAGTCCCGCGAACACATCCTCAACACCTACTCCGAGGCTATCTCCAACTATGCCGAGCAGAAGTTCCAGCGTGACAACGTGAACTTGATTACATCCGCCCGGTAGGCCTAGTTTTCCGCTTTTAATGAGGATTTTGACTGACAGAATGTTCGTAGTGTCGCTGAAGTAAACCCGGAATTCGTCGCATACACCACCAAGGATGAGAACGGAAAGACCGTACGGCATACCATCCCCAGCAACTTCGTTCTCTGGTCCACTGGTATCGCCATGAACCCCTTCACGCAACGTGTCAGCTCTCTCCTGCCAAACCAGGTTCACAAGAAGGCAATTGAAGTCGACGCACATCTACGTGTGAAGGGCTCTCCGCTCGGCACCGTCTATGCCGTCGGTGATTGCGCGACCGTATGTGCTACGCCCTTCACCATACTTTCACCCAGCTCACCTCTATCCTACAGATCGAGACTTCGGTTGTCGACCATCTCCTGGACCTCGTAGAGGAGGCTGACCGTGATAAGAACGGCAAGATCGACTTCGAGGAGTGGCAGATCATGGTGAAGCGTATCAAGCACAAGATTCCTATGAGCGAAACGCACTTATCGGAGGTTCGCGAGCTGTTCAATCTATACGACAAGGACCACGATGATTCCCTCACGCTGAACGAGCTTGCCACGCTCCTTCAGGAGTTGGGCAACAAGATCACTGCCCTACCCGCCGTACGTCTACACTCCCCCATTAGTTGGTGACAACACTCACTGACATCACGCTCTAGACGGCACAAGTTGCGAGCCAGCAGGGACACTATCTTGGTGCAAAACTGTCAAAACTCGCAGACAAGCGTGATACCCTCCTTGCAAACGATATCCCCGAGACCGACGAAGCCGTCAGTGGGCCGTTCCGGTGCGTCTCCTCGTATAACCTCTCTACAGCTTGACACCGATCACTTGCTGCAGTTACCTCCACCTAGGATCGTTGGCGTACATCGGTAATGCGGCTGTATTTGATCTGGGACGAATGTCGTTCATGGGCGGTCTGGCCGCGATGTACGCGTGGAGAAGCGTGTACTGGTCAGAACAGGTCAGCATGCGCATTCGCATGTTGCTCATGATCGATTGGGTCGTGCGCGGAGTCTGGGGTCGTGATCTCAGTCGTCTGTAGGCACAGTGATGAGATCTATACCCATATCGAGGCGGAGGAATGGACGACGCTCTGGGAAAGGGCCAGCGATGGGAAAGGGCCAGCGATGGGAATGCAAGGGCAAGACCCGCACAATGTCGGGGAGGGCTACTAGAACTCCGGATTACGGTAGAGTCTTCAGTACAGGACGCTTTCAGACGCTTAAGCAACATTAGTAGTACTCCTAGCATACTACCCTAATCGATCTACTTGTCCATTGATGTATCTTCTGGCGAATAACAACTGACCGTTGACCTCACATCCTGATTTAGCTTCGTCTGACGTCACTGCAAACCATACGGACCTACATCAACAAATGCGAACAATTAAGATTTGGCGCCCAGCGTCGGATATGTCCGGGTTGGTTTCCAACGTTCGACCGCGACGTCCGTGATGTTGTTCTTTACTGCAAAAAAAGCGGAGCAGCATGGGCCCCACGTACTCAATATCACTACTGGCTTTCTGAGCGTGACATACGAGGTCAACAAGGATTGGCTCGCAGGCCACGAGGTCCTCGCTCGTCATTCCATTGATTTAGAACCAGTATGGCCTCGCCCTCTGGAAGTCATTACACGCCGAGCATACTAGCTGATCGGCATGATGATGCTAGGTACTCGGTATTGCTGAGAAGCTACTCGTACTTCCATTGTGGTCAGCGGTGAATATAAACATTTTAGAGGGAATCTCTCGGCTCTGCATCATGCGCCGTCCAACTAAGCAACCGTGACACTCGCATCTTCCGCATACGCTATGTGTGCCCCCATCAGAGCGCCGGCGATTTCTAGCTGTGTTCGTTTGGAAGGGGGTCTAGATGCTCAACGTTCAACCACCATCAGAGTGCAGCCCCGTGTTATAGAACCTACTCGAAGGCAGTACGTGAAACGATCTTTCCTTCCCAGTGCAGTAAGATATCGACCAACATATGTCGGCGGATTTCCATCCATATGGTGTAGCGCGAAGCATCTAGCTATGCCTGCAGGCGCGCACCGACGGACTGCCTCTGGGTACTCACCTACGCTTGCTCGCTTGATCTCACGACGTCTTTTTCCATCGATTGGGTGAGAGAGGATCAGAGGGTTTCCTTCGCTGCGAGACGTAAAGTGAGTTATGTGGTTTAATTGACGTGCCTTTCACACGGCTTACTCACGCGCGTCCCTTAGAGCACAATGAGCTGCAGATGTTCAGTCGATCTTCGCTTAGATCTCGCCCCAATTTTCGAGGGACTATATAGACCACGACGGATTATTCGTGGCCTACAGCTCCGGCTCGTCCACCACCCACCTCTCCTCGACGCCCGTCATGGCCGCCTCTCCTTCCACTCGCTCGACCGCTACCTTCAAGTTCCAATCCTCCTCTCTGATGTACAACACCCTCTTCTACGCGGACTCGGGCAAGGTTGCCTTCAAGCTCATCGGCGGATACACTTGCCCAACCATTGCCGTCGACCACGGCGGGCTCGTCGGTATCAAGAACACTTGTGTAGTTCGCCGTACTACATTCTTGGTCGACATGGACGGCGCCGAGGTCGCCTACGTTCAATGGCGTGGCGACGTCGCCGTGAATGTCTGGGTCAACGGTCGGACTATCGTCGTCCCCGACCTGTACAGTGACCCGGGTGAGGTCACGAGCTTGATGGGCTCGCAGAGTGGTAGCGTGGAGGAAAAGTTAATGGCTGGCGTGTCGGAGGAGAGCGTCGTCTTCCCGTGGACGTTGAAGGAATCTTTGGAGGGGACGTGGACTGCCGACGAGGAAGGCACGGTGCTCCTGGATACCACTGGCAAACAGGTTGCCCTCTACACATCTTCCGTGGGTGCAGAGACGAATGGCATGCTCCGGCTGGACGTGACTGGTGATGCAGTCATTGAAGCCATCGGTATGCAAAATTTCGTGATTCCCGCTATTTCGCAGACTAACATTCGTCCCCATCTAGCCACTTTACTTGCCATGGAAGGCGCGCGACGCAAAGCGTTCAACCTCGGCCCGCTTCATCCCATCGCGCCTGATTCGCCCAAGTCGGCCAAGCGCCGTAGCATCATCAAAGCTCTCAAGGTTTATCTGAAGCGCGCCGCTCTCAGACAGAATCGCTCCCAGTCGAGCGAGACGAGCGGCGCGCTGTGGTTCTCGTCGTCTTCGCGCACATCCGCTAGCTCTGAATAATACTCGACAATGTTTTCATCTCGCTATCGTCGCATTGTTTTCTCACCGCTACTGTAGTTCACATGAATCATCGGGGAAGGAAAGAAATCATCTTGTATTTGTACACGTTGTGTTCGCACCAGTCGTTTACCGAATCATTACCAATCGTCCGTTGTTCTGTCCGATGAACCTCCTCGTACCGTTTCAGGAGACTCCTCAGGCCTCAGGGCTCACATGACTAGAACTCTCCGAGTCTATTCCAGATGCTGCGAGCGTCTTAGACGAGTTCACCGTGCACACGTAAGGATCATTAGAAAGGAGTGGTTGGTCGGCGATGCGACGGGAATGAACGGGCTATTTACCAGTTCAAGTATGCTATGTACGATGCATGCAAAGATCTACAGCATGCCGCCGACTACCTTCACGAGAGCCTTCGTGCCAAGACGGACACGACGTTCAGCCCCTTTCCATGGTTCCGCATGTGCGCTGATCGCAGTCTGTTCTGCTTGGAGTTGTCGCCGTACGCTCTCGGAAGAGGTGAGCATGAAGAACGAGAGTTCTGTGTCCAGATGCGCCGAGCGGGAGTTGAGGTTGGTAGATCCAAACAATGTCAGGTATGGCGCGGAGGAGTGTGAGGGCGACACCCAGATACCTGTGCTACGTTCAGCGGTCATCTTGGTTGCTTTAATCATGATGGGGCCACCTTTCGCATGATATGTCCAGTCTGGCTTGTGCCATTCAGCCAGATGAACTCCAGAGCCTATCTCTGAGCGCCACTCCTTGCCAGCGCTCTTGACAGCTTTCATGAAGCGTTGCTCTAAATATGTGTATCCTTCAGGTATACGGCCGGATATGCCACTTGAGCCGTAGAATCCATTGGCCTGGCGAGAGATGAGCCCCGGTAATACAGACAAGACGATTCACTCACCAATGGACTTGCACAGAGAATCCGGGTATCGATTCCAGACGTCAAGATGAGTTCTTGATAGGGGTCGTACAGGCCGAAGTAACCGCTCGTGAAGTTGATCAGAGGCTTCTCGCCTGTGGATGCGGCGACAGCTTTGGATATATGCTTGAACAACATCGACATGCCACGTTCTTCTTCGCGTATGCCAAACTGTCCCCCTTGAATGACAGGCATGATTAGGGTCTCGTCCTCCGATATAGAAGAAGATAGTCGTCGAGAATTCGTATGCGCGGCTTGGAAGGTCTTGAGAGCTGTGGCGGCTTTCGCTTCAATGTTGTGAGGGTGTACTGAAGAGTCCGTCCAGACTGGAGTTGGTGGAGTTGCAGAGTGAGGGCCAGACGCAAGTACTTTGAATGAGAACGTCGATACAGTCTTAAGAAACCCGAAGCAGTAATTCGCTAAAGTGGGCTCAGACGAGAAGTGCAGGTAACGATCTTGTCGGTCCGTGAAATAAGACTTGTTCAGGTTCGCTCTAGGAGTGCTAGTTAATTCCGCGAAAGAATATTGCAGAAGCCCACTCACCCACTAATCATAACATTGTTATCCGCACCATATATCTTCGCGTGCCATGTTCCCCACCCCTCATTGAACCGTGGAGGTACCAGCTTAGCCATAAGCCCCTTCAACTTGGGACTGCGAAATAGTGAGACGTGGACACGGTCCGGGTAACGCTCCAACAAGGGAGCTAATAAGGTCGTCGTGGAGGACGGCCCTGGTCTTGTGGACCTATTATAATCGAGTTGCAGGTAAACGTGTAGAGACCTATTGTGATCCAGTGCTGATTCAAGTGCGCCAACCTATATCACGTCAGTCTCTGTAGTCTTCCGACGAATCCTTGATACGCACTAGCTCATGTTCAGAAGAACCGATATAGAGTGAGGAGATAAATATACGCTCTTGCGCATTCCGTATCATGTTCTGTCGCGTCCAAGCATTATGGACGTATTATGGGAGCTACACATCTAAGGTCTCACCAGTAGTGTGGAATAGAATTCATGCGGTTGGCCGAGTACTCGCATCCGCGAGGATGACACGGGGAAGCATGGCTGCGTCACGGCGAGTTCAGAGGCGAATGCGCGCAGACGAGGGTAGAGTGCGTCGGTTGCGATGGACCGCGTCAGTCGGGTTGAGCTATAAGTGCGGATACATCGCCCAGACACTCGTGCAGCCGTGAACATGAGCAGCAGGTCGTGATGGTGAAAGTAGAGTGGCCCCCGGCCCGGTGCCGCCCCGTCATCCCGCGCCCCGATGATCTCACGCGCTATGACCGCTGTTCCCGAGCTTGTTCTCAACGTTCATCGCGCTTTCGTTTCTTGGTCATCTTAGTTACTGGTCTCTACGGATACTCCAACGGTCCACTCTCGCCGGCATCAATGGCCCAACCTGCGGCTACACCTCCCCCCTCGCAGGGACTGAGGATCTCGTTGAACCTCAAGCCCTTACTGAGCCTTCCTAGACGGCTACTTCAGAGAATACGGGAGGTGGACGGAATGCTCGATCAACAAGCCATGGCACATCATAGAGAACGTACCATGCAATCCAGCACTCTGGGTGGTATATCCAACGAGGGCCAAGGTCCGCCGCCACCCGGCGTCATGACGCCTATGCCAGGCCCATGGGGCTTCTTCGCTTCGGGGTACGCCGTAGTGCTGTTTGCTATGGTATGAAATCATATGCGCCGTGTGTATGCAATACTCACATGCCTACTAGGCTATTTTACTCAATCGCATAGCTCACATAGTGGTACCATCCCGCCACAATCCTCGGCTCTCTGCACACCAACGTCGTCAACTCTCCTTCTTTCGATCACTTTGGGCCACACTCTTCCCTATGGACCTTTCCTCCACCGCAGCTCGTACTGTGCTCCGCATCCCCTCCTTGTACTTTGTTATGAGATCACTTGGAATATGGATTCTTGTCCTGTTGCATGCCAGTGACAACTTCCCTACGTGGGAGTGGGCGCGAGAACTCGAACATATCGCGGCTCACGTAGAGATGGAGCACTTATGCTGGTCAACATTTTTGTCCGTCTGTGGTGCGCTATCGGTCGGTGCATTGACACGCGGCCTCGAAGGTGGCTCGACAGCGAATGCTGCTCCATTCAATCTGGTACGAGGATACGTACCGTACGCGTGGACATGAACTGATGTTGTTGTTGCGACAGTTCGGCTATGCGTTCCTCCTTCACATATACTCTGCCCCAATGACCCACACTGTCAAAGAGGAAGGCTTACCATCGCGCCCCGACGTGCATGTCTTATTCGTGATCATGCTACCCTTACTCCAGGTCAGCATGTCTGAGCATCTACTTCCCATTCATGCTCACTGTCCTGTAGTTGGCTCTTCTGCACGCGATAGGTGTCAACAAGCGATGGGCGTCACAACGCCTCATCCCTACAGCATTCTGCTCTCTACTCTCTCTTGTCCACTTCCACGCTGTCGTCTGGCGTGACCCTTCTCGCTATCCGTTACTCAATTATATGTCATGCGTCTTCGAAACTTTACTTCTGGCAGTCATCCTCATCACATTCTCTCTCAACGCCTTCACGCAACTCGCTACGGAGGGTGGTGTCTCCCGCCTACTGTTCGGTCATGCCGACGCCCTGATGCCACGTCCGGACGAAGACTTCTCCGTGGTACTCTTGCGGCTTGGTACTGCCAGCCTCGAGGCCACCAGCGTTGCCGGTCTCGGGAACGAGGTCGGCTCCGTACCCCTGGCCGCTCCGCAATCGGACACCTCTCGGCATTTCGGAGAGCTGGAGATGAACAGCGCCGGCGTGACCTCGCTGACGCATGCTGTGGATGGAAAGAAGAGGCAGGACGGCTTTTCGAACGAAATCCGGAACGTGAAGGTTGGATCGACAAAGCAGGATCAAACATGGGGTATCTGGCCAAACCACCGAGAGCTAATGCGGTTTGGGGAAGCCTTCTTGAACGCCATTCGAAGCGTCGCGCTCATGGCATGGCGCCTCATCCGGCTTCGACCGGTGTTCGCACCTCGCGCTCCGCAAGCCGAATGTCCTCCGCCTCCACAGGATCCTCGAGGACCCACTTCCTCCCGCGCTCTAACACCGTCGCGGGACGAAGTGGATACGAATCACGACTTGTATCGTCGCTTTCTGTCAGGGGAGACTGTCAGTGACGACGAAGAGGACTTCCACCCTCGGTCCACCTCGGCGGTGCCAGACTCAGAAGACGAGGAATCGGATACACCCGACAGTCCTGTCGAAGAGGATACCGAGCATCTGGCTGCAACAGCTTTGTCCGATGCATCTGCTTCACTGTTACTGGCGCACATGTCTAGTCCAAACTCTGCCTTGACCCGTCGGCGCTATAGCCGAGTACAGGCCGGCGAAGAACAGGAACAGCCGACGGTTGATGCCTGGGAACGCTTCGTGGAGGACAAGCGGCGGGCAGCACAGCTACAACAGGATACGAGTAGCGAGAGCAGGCGGCTGTGCGTCATCTGTACATGCGAGGAAAGACAGATCATATGCTGGCCTTGTCGGTGAGTAACGCAGCATCTTCAGCCGGACTAGGCTCAGTCGCGGTCCCTGTACTAGATGCCTCGCATTATGCGATGACTGTCGCGAGAATCTTGCATCGCGTGTTGCTCCTTCCAAGCACACTTGCCCTTGCTGCCGTCAACCGTGCGTAACCGTTTTGCGCAGATGGAAAGTCGGCTGACCTCAATCTCAGAGTCGAGGGATTCAGTCGCATATACATACCCTGATATTCGCTTTCGCTCTGTTATCGCACGAACATTCGCCCGGCCCGCTTGCATGGAGTATATCTGTACACCGCATATTTATCTCGCACTCCTGGTTATCTAGGATTATATCTCAGTGCATATACTCATCAAACCTCCCGTATGTAAACCGACTAATTAACTGATTCTCAAGGTTATTGTTCAGCGATTTGCCGCCCAATCCCCCCAATGTATAGAGATGAAGAATAATGGGCAATGGCCCAACTGATGTATGACAGTAGATGGTTCAGGTCCACGTCGAGAATACTATTTCACACGCTCCAGACATGAAGATGGGACGAGACATACGACGAATATCAAGCCTGAGACCGTGACATCGTATTGGACCGACGGAAAGCAATCGGGTACAGACTTATAGCGTGGATACGATACATAACAGAACTGATGAGGGGGAGATATGGAGGAGGTATCCGGACGGAGGGAAAGAGGAGGAAGAAGTGAGATCAAGAGGTATTCCACAAATGACAGGACGAGCCCAATTCAGGGACTCCGACGAACAACAGGTGGTCAATTAGTATGTGAGAGTGGGTGATATTGCACTGAGCAGATCCTCTTCCCCAGAGTGCCTCGCTATCGACGTTTACGATACCCAGACTAGATGCATGAGGGTCAGAGACGCTCCTAAATGTGAAATGGAGAGACGCACAAGCAAGGGCAATGACGAGGTAGAGGGTCATCAACATGACACCCTCCATGTAGTTGCTCTTGCCGTCCTGGATGAGCAGGTTGACAAGGAGCACGCTGACAAAGAAGGACACAGTCTCGAAGTTGTCGAAGAAGAGAGTGAGCTCATGGCCCGAACTACAAGGTTCCGTTAGTTTGGCCAAGTAAGAAGATAGGAGCAATGTGAACATACATCCAACCAACGACAACCAAGAACGGGATCACGAACGTAGCGAGCTGGATAGAAGAGCCCACACAAACACCTATTGTCAGCTCCATTTTATCCTTCATGGCCATCCACACGCTCGTTACGTGTTCGGCGGCATTGGCGACGATGGGTAGCAGAATGAGACCGATGAACGGCTTAGGAATGTGGTACCTCTCGGCAAACTCCTCGATCGATGCAACGAGGTAGTCTGCTACAAAGGACGTGATGATGGTCACGACAAGCAACCTAACACTTTTCAGCTCCGGTATTTTACAAGACCCGTTGATTACTCACATGACAGAGGCACAAATGACGCTCATCTCGGCCTTCTCCTCTTCCTCTTCCTCTTCCTGCTGCCGAATCTCGGATGGAGCGCCAGCATTCGCACGACTGACAGCCGGGATGGTTGCCGTCAATGGGGGAGAGAGGAGGGCCTCTTCATCATCAGAGAGTGCTTCAGATTGCAACACCTTCGCCTTGGATTTGGCCTGGAACAGCGCAAAGTGCGTCTTGAGCTGGAAGACGAGATACGCGACATAGACGCCAAGCAGCAGTAGCGCTGTACCGCGGGAGATTATGAGTAAACCGCGTTGACCCTCTTCGTCGATGTCGACAACGGCGCCATTGTCTGCCACAAACTTCGTCGCGCTAATGACGTCCGGTTCCACAGGAGTTTTCGGGATGACGGGCGAGGGGGTCGAGAAGGACGGGATAGTACCCAGCCCACGTGCAGAGTGATATGCAGCGGGAATGACCAAAGCTGTACAGGCGTGAGAGTGTAAACGGCGGCAAACTCGAAAAGGGCGTACTGATGCAAGCTAGTGTCATAAGCTATGCAAGAAGGTTCAGCTTATCGTGTCCCGAAAGGCGTTTAATGAGCTCACCGAGGCATTCCTGTAGTGCAACGAGGGGTTAGCCTGAGATTCCATATACAACTGTCCTTTGCACTCACGTTTGTGCAGCCGTAACACGGAAAGAGCTCTCCTTCTTCACAAGACCCCCTGCCATTCATGATTATAATTCGAACAATGGTTATGATTTCGCGCGCGCACCTGCGAGGAATGACATGCCCAAAACCAAGAGAAGGTTGGAGAGGATTGAGCCCAGCATCTATGGTAACATCAGGTTTTTGTTTGGCGAAACGAATTGAGGGGGCGCACAGAGGTTTGGACGATGCGGATCTGATCCTGCAGCAACGCAGTTATGCCTACGATGATCTCGACAGCATTTCCAAAGGTCGCGTTGAGTAGGCCAGCGAGAGTCTGTCCCAGCGACAGAGACATTTGCTCTGTGGCATCACCGAGGAGCTACGGAGCCAAGCGCGTGAGTCCTCCAGGTGGTAAAACGCACGACCGACGTCATGAGTGCAGACCTTGGCGAGCGGGATGATAGCGATGAACGAGAAGGAGAAGCGGAGAGCGACGTCCCAGTGTAGGAAATGAGCGAGTGCGGAGAGTGGGACGAAGACAAGAACGACATTGAGCCAGGAGGTGAAGAAGAAATAGCGTAGAGAATGACCCCAGCCAGGTTCGCCCTCTGCCTTGCAGACGTCGACGACGCGATGCACGAACGACTTGGCGCGCTGCTCGCCGTTTTGCAGCAGAGGTGTGTGTTCTGAGGGTGGCATAGATGGTGGTGGTGGGTGGTAAGTTGTGAGAGAGTAAGACTGCGCCTGACGCGGTGAACCAAAGACTATATCACGCGTCGCGTATGAGACTCAACTTGGCGCCAACAGTCTTGTCGGCGGGACACAGCCTCTGCAATTTAGGGTCTACATGTCATTGGAATATTCTAAGCTCTTTTACGCATCGCCCTCCGCTACGTTATCGAGCGCTCTCTCTTGCGCAGCTGTCAAGTGGCTGTCGTCCCCGTGCTTCACAAGCACGCCGCGCCCGTCCGTGCCAAGTTCGACGATAGAGACGCATGTGTTGGGCAAGTGTCCGACTCGCACTCCCGGGGCGCTAGTCTCCTAAAGCAGCCCTTATAAATACCGGGGCGCATGCGATCACCCCCTCCTTGATGAGGCTCTGAAAGAGTATCGAGATGGCGTAGCCGTGGCTGAGAACGAGAACGTGCTCGTTGGTTGATTGCGTCGCATAGGTCGTGATGTTGTTTGACCACCATTCCATCAGCCTGGCACGCAGCTTGCTCGGTGGCTCTATACTGCGACCATCCGCGTCTGCTTTACTCGCCGCATGCCTTTCCGCGACGCTCTTTCCCTGCCACTGACCTAAGAACTTGCCGTACAAAATGAGCATTAGACGTCAAGAACCGCACAGAGGCGTAAAGGGTACACACACCCTTTCACGGAGTGCCACATCTTTCGTCAGTTTAACCGTCGGATGCTCTTTCAGCACTTCCTCAGCAGTCTGAAGCACAGCATGACGGCAATCCAAGTCAGCGATAGAGCGTGACCTGCAGATAGATACTGACTGCAGATGCGCGTTGTAGATCACTACTCCACGCGCGAGTGAACGGGACATCGCGCAGGGATTGGGAGAGGAGATGGGCCTGGGAGCGGCCAGTATCGTTCAATGGAACATCGAGATGTCCTTGGATGATCTTGTTGAGGTTCGCGTCCGTTTCCCCGTGGCGTACAATGTATACGGTCAGCGCTGGCGACACACTCATCTTGATCACGCGCCGTTGATAATCGCCGTTGACGTTAGAGCGCTCTGAGTGGGAGCGTACAGTACCGATCGACCCAGGCGGTGTCCGGTGCCACAACTACCCATCTATCCGAGATCTTCTATCCGCAGGCGATCGCCGCTGCGATTGACGCTCTATGCAGCATATTGCCTCTTGTTTCTCGCTGTGTAAGCCTGCGGACTTTACCCCATGGCGTGACTATCGCGCACGGATAGAAGTGTGCAGCCAAGTCGTCCTCGTGCACGTTGATGCGCAATGAGCGGTCCGGCGCGCAATAGCCGAGAACCCGAGGCCCATATATCATCTGCAGGTTGAAGCCGGTGAACCGATCCAGTACTTCCGCTTGCATCTTCCATCATGTCCGCAAAGAAGACGGGCGTCTACGAAATCATCAGCGCCTCCGCAACGGACGCATACGCTTCCAGCAATGCGATCCTCGACGAGGGCCTGGCACTCATCGCCACTCAAACATCGCACCCGTGAGCGCGCGCGCGGCATCGTTATCTCGCGATCAATTTCATAACCCAATATCGATACTAGGATCCTGTCTGGGCCACAGATTGATGCCACCGCAGATGCGCCCAAAGTATCTGTCTTCATCGGCTGGGACAGCATCGATCACCATCTCTCGGCGCGCAACTCGCCAGAGTACGGCCCACTGAAGCCCGCGCTCGCCAAAGTCTTCGCCGCGTCGTCCGCACCTGATGTTATCCACGTTGTCTTCTCCCCCGACCCCTTGCCCGCTCTTCGTGCGCCGGCAACAGAGATCGCATGGTTCACGGCCAAGGAGGACAAGAACGATAAGGAGACTGGAGATAAGATCCTGGGTGTGGCGCGGCGCGTTGTTGAGTTGCTTGGCTCCCGCGGCATCGTTGCCACTGCTGGCCAGGTAGTTGAGCGGCCGGGACAGGTCGTCTTCCTCGCAGGTTGGGAGACACTCGAGGTATGCCGAGCTGCGCTTTCTTCACCGTCACTGTGAGGCTCATCTACTCGATAGGCACATCAAGCCTTCACTGCGAAGAAGGATCCCGCGTTTGGCCCTCTTGTCCAGGAGCTGGGCGGGATAGCAAGTGTCAACCTGGGCCATTTCGCATTCAAGGCGCACAGCGGTGTGCCCCAGAGCAGCCTATGATACCCAAGAACGGCGAGAGAGACAGTAGACAGCAAGGATGCATGTACTCTACAACATGATTTCAACAACAATGCAACATGAACAAGAACGCTACACTCCAATGGACGCAGTGCTTTCTACATTTGACACGCGTCCGGCTGATTCTTTTGCACAACATTTCCAGAGTCCGCTATACCACATATGTACGACCCATCATAGCATAGTCCATATTCACCCGCAAAAGTTCAAGCGCTGCCGATGAGCTTCAGGACAGACTCTCCGTTAGCCCTACGTTCGGGCCGCGCAGCCGCAATCCTGTTGACTGCAGCACTAACCAGCTCGCGCAGGGATGTGGCATCAGACAACGCCGTCGTCCGAGCACGACTTGCATAGAGCTGTACACGTATAGTAGTCAATATCTTGTCTTCCAGATCGTACATCTTACGCACCATGTTGCCTAACGCCATGACCACGCGGTATTGCACCTCAGCGTCAGTCGTCTCGGTCTGAAGAACACTCTTGATGACCGCTGCATGAGTGTTGAGCACTTCCTCGCCAAATGCACGCGTTTGTGCAGCGACACTCAAGTTGCTGAGAATGCTGGCGAGCGCAATACGTTGCTGGCTATTGAGCTGGGCGTACGGGATCTTCGAAAGCAGTTGCAGCATCTCGAGTACCCACTCCGCGCCTGGTGTAGCGCCGGGGGCCATATTTGCGAACGTGCGCAGCGCAAGCATCGCAATGGTAGTCCGTGGTGCCGGCTCGACGGCCGGGAAACCAGACAGCTTTGAGAGCGCTTTGATCAATGCAGGTGCTTGTGCGATTGCGATGGTCGGCTCTGCACCAGCAACGAGGCGAGTAAGATCAACAACTGGCGCGGCAGTCAGTTTTGTTCTTTGCTGGTGGAGTGAAATGATCGCGTACTAGGGAGAAGTGCATCCGGAGGCCAACGACCTAAAAGGTCGATGAGGGTTTCAAGATGCTGTGAACCGATTGCCGGTCGTCCATTGCGAGCGGAGAAGTGCTGCACAAGCTGCTCGATGAGTGCAGCCTCTTCTGGGTATAAAGCTAGCCCTGATGTGGTCTATGCGACTTCAGTGATGTACTACGATCAACAGGGAGGACTCTGCTCACCGGCTCGTCTTTCAACCGCTTATTGATGTCCTGCAATCGGTTGTGCAGAGCCTGCGGGTTTGTGTGTGACTGATACAGGGTCGTATTATTCTGAAAAGAATGAGTATCGAGCGCGCCCGCATTTGCGGTAAACGCACATATGGTAGCGATATACTAGCAGGGGCTGGTGTAACAGGCGGAGGGGACGAGGGATTCGAAGATGCAGGTGTGTATCTCGAGCCACCCGTGAATGGATCAGCGAACGAAGACTGTGCAGGAGGCGAGGCAGGGCCAGGTCGGTACGCTCCAGCGCCAGTGAAAGGGTCAGCATAGTTGCTTGCCCCGCTTGCCGCGGGAGCCGGTGCGGGCCGGTACGCGCCTGATCCTGTGAACGGGTCCTGGTAGTTGGAAGCTGCGGCTGCGGGTCGAGAGCCTGCAGGGCGATATGAACCCGCGCCTAGAAAGGGGTAAGCCCAGGATGATCATAATGAAGGTCCAGATCCCTTTGGACGAACCGGTGAAGGGATCCTGGTACTCGCCCCCGCCACCCATACCGGCGGCGGCGCCCTCTCCGGCCTGCTGTATGATGTAGTTCGTGACCTGATCCAGGTATACCATTGGCAGGTTATTGCGCTCTATGAAGCGCTGGGCGGCTGCGTACGGGTTCTCTCCGTTGTTGTACGGGAGCTGGACCTTCGGCTGACCATCCGCAATGTCAACCTCCCAAACGTGATCGTAGAATTTGCCGCCAAAGAGCTTCTTTCCGGGTGGCGCGCGCATACAGCCGAGCCTCTTCCACTGGTGGCTGCCCGCGTCCCATTCATACGCCCAACCACTCCCGTCTTGCTCGACGATGATCTTATTCTCGCCTGCTGTTGTCCCGGGCGTGTTGAGAACCTCCGGTGGGAAGGTTTCAATGTCCTTCAGCGGGTCGTTAGGGTCAGCTTTAGGCTTAGCGGCCTCCTTGACCGCATCGTCAAGCGCCTTGAGCTCATCTGCAGCCGCAGCACGTTCAGATGCCTCAGACCAGACACGCACGATACCGTCCGAGCCGCCTGAGACGATATCGCCCGAAGGCATGGCGGAGATAGCCCATACGCTCGTGCAAGGGTGCGCAATGGTCTGGAAGAGTTCACCATCGCGCCAGACGCGTACGGTGCCATCTTCGCCGGCGGAGACGATGTCCCCCGAAGGAAGCATGGCGATGCTGTACACAAAGCTTGTGTGCCCGGACAACGTGGAGATGATGTCGCCTTCGTGCGTCCAGAGGAGAATGTTCCTGCGATTGCGCGCATCAGAAAGTGGTCGAGCGTGGAGTGCAAGGAGGAAAGAGGGGACGCTTACTGGTCATTTGAGCACGAAGCAAAGCCGATGTCCGAGAATGGTACCAAACCACGTACAGGGCCGTTATGGCCTGTATACGTGCGCGTGCAGCGATCTTCGCGCCAGAACTTTATGCGCTTGTCAGCAGAGCCTGGAAGGTGGTCTTAGATTGAAGGTTCCAAAGACGGAAAGTGATGCCGAAGCGCACCGGTGAGAAACTGGACTCCACCGAGAGCGAGTACGGCCCAGACGGACGCTTCGTGTCCTTTGAGATCGTAGGCGAGAGAGAAGTTCTTCCATACTTTTGCGGTGCTACGAGGCTTGTATATGAGATCAGAAGTAGCAGTAATATATCTGAACGCACTTGTCCCAGGATCCAGAGATGATGGTGCCGTCGGGAAGTGTGTGCAGCGAGCAAACGTCTTGGGTATGGCCGGTCAAGACGTGCAGCGGCTCCGACAGGTTTGGATCGATGGCCCAGACGCGCACGATGCCGTCCTGGTGGCCGGTGACGACGTATCCCTCTGCAGCTTTGTCTTAGCCATGCTTGCGCGCACACGCGTTCACGCGATGAGATGCACACCTGGCGGACCACCTTCCATCGGCGGCAAGTACGCGACTGCATTGACGAATTTCGTCGGCGCATCCGAGGGCGTCAGAGCGACGAGCGGATTGAAGGTCGTCGGAGCGTCCCTGTGCCAGATAATGGCCGAGGCATCGCGCGAGGCGGAGAGGACGAGGTTGTCGCGCGGAGACGCGACGCCCCGTACCTGTTTGCCGGCGATTAATGATGATCAGCATATATATTCGGACTTGGATCGCGGCACGGCGGCACGCACATCCTGCTGGTGGACGCTCAGCTGGGCGGAGAGCGTGAAGACCATTGTTCGAGGATGGATGCCGACGCGTGGTCTTATGTATCAAGCTCGCCGGGAGCAGGGCTCGACTGGATCCCGCAGACGCGCGCACGCTCGACGATTCTAGAGCCAGGTCCGTTCGCTGCCCCTGGCGGAGATTGAATCCGCTTCGTTTCGCGCGCCGTCTTTTTTCTTTTTCTTTCTTCAACCCCCACGAACTCACCGCATGCCTTGTCCTCGTCGCTGCCACGGACGGCGGCGCCGCTCGTGGGGTCCTCGCAGGAGAATAAAATGGGTGCAAGGCATAGACTGCTCCTCCGTATCTCCCTGTTCGCCGGCCATCTACCGCGACGGGGCTCGTTAGCGTGGTGTACATTCTTCTCTCGTCTCGTGTCATACCCTACCTGTTATGTCCAGCTTTGGCCAAATATATCCCTTGTGCTCGCACCTTAGCCTTCGCCGACGTATACTGTCCGAGCTTCCCTGCTCTGCGATGTTGCCACGAAGCGCTCGAGCGACCCGTACCCGTACCCTTCGCCTGAACTCTACCTATAATGCAACGCCGCTCGCAAACATACCCAATCTGGCTTCATGCACGCAAGATGTACAGTGCGCCCAGGCCTCACCGATTCTCACAGAGATAGATTGTTGCGACTCGGCGCCTGCATCACCGGTCGCAATGCGGGAGTTCTTGTGGGCGCTCGGGTGAGCCACGACAGCAGCAAGTCGATGCGGTTCGGGCAGTCTGGGGCTGACGCTGGCTGAGTGTCAACGTTAAGCTAGTACTAGACCTCTCAATCTACACTGTACTGGGTCACGACAGCGCAGTCCCATTTGTACCGCCCCTGCATCGGCGGGAATTTCATACCATCTATGTCAAGGATTGGCGCGATTATCGATCCTGGTATCGGATTTCTTGTCGATCATTGTGCGCGGCCACTGACCTCCGTTCTTGCAGGGCCCACTTGCCGAACTGTGCGAATTTCAAATATCTAGTCCCATCATCGTCTAGCTCTCCTCGACAGGCCGAACGTACAGGCGAACTGTCATACTGGGCCGTAGAAGTTTTCAGCTGTTCAGCGCCAAGATCCACCCAGCCTACTCACGAGGAGCAAAGCGGGCGGATGCGATCTCCGGACTTCGCGAAGACGCATTGCGCCATGGGTGCCTTTGTGGCCTTGTGGTTGAACCGGCGCCTGGAGGCCCTCGCATTCGGTACCCTTGCGCAGGTCCATTCACCCAACATCGCCATTCATAGATGACTGTCAGGCCATGCCCAACAGGTCGAGCGTCTTCACCTATGCAAACACTTCAAGTATCCTTGTACGTCTGGGCAATTCGTGCACTTCGTCGTCTCGAGTAAAGTCCCCCTCAGCTTCCGAATCTTCTACGAGTCCGATTGCGCGTGGGCCTTGCACCCTGGTCCTGCTATACAAGCTATATCGTGTGTGCGAGCCGCTTACACCAGGATGCCCTCGGTGTCTATCCGCACCTCCAAACCGACACAGGGTAGGTCACCCGACGCTCAGCAGTACACCCCGTGTGAGCGCTGTCCTCCCTTACTGAATGCATGAGTATCTGCTGTCTCCTAGGTCCCGCTTCTTAACTACACCAGTCCGCCAGAGACATGGTTGACGGACTTATCAAATAGTCCGAAGGGGGTCTCAAATCCATTGCTAGGTACGGTCTTCATGTGTGGTGTCTGGTATGTGTATCTGACGGAGAACTGCACTAGGTGCCGATCTGATAAACGCTTTGGCTTCGATAGGCTAGGACACTTTCTGCCTTCGTCTATCCCCAATAGTCAATCTTACCTCCGTGGCCGCTCCCAATCTGCTCGTGGACCCTCCGCGGCTGGTGCTCAGCGACTTTACGTGACAGATACCAGTTGCGCTTCTCACAGGGTCGAAGAACCACCGTTGCCCACTTGGGACCAAGTTCAGACCGGCCGAGCTTCTGTAGTCCTTGAAACGACGCCGTCGACACGTCGTACAACATACATACTCAAACTTTGATCTCGTCGAGAGGAAGGGCAGGGCCAGATCGGCATGAGGAGAAAGAATAACCTTCGAATCACTGTCTTCAGTCCAACAAGATCTGAATCTCCTTCTACGATGGACAGTGCTCCAAGAGATAGATACCGGGAGGCATCTGCGCTTCGGCGGTACTCTATTGAACCACCTCTCGCACAATGTGCATCCATTTCTGGAGGCCCTTGTCGAGCTTGGCGCGCAGTCTCTCTGCTTTCTTCGTATATGGCGAACGGGCCCCGTTGTATTCTCTGCAGTTGTCGAAGATGCGGCTTGCATCGCCGAGGAAAGCCTGCACTCCCCGCCCAGATGGATCATAGGCACCAGATGCCACATTGGCTTGTAGTGTTCCGAGGTCTACCTCTCCCGTGAGTGGCTCCATCACGCTGAAGACAAGAATGTCCGATCTCACCCATGGGCTCCGCGATCAGGTCAGTATACCCGGGCGCCATGTTCACGTCGACAGGATGCAGAAACGGCTCAGAAGCAGCGTCTGCTTTCATGGTATCGACGAGAAGCGTCAGAAGACGGCGGAGGCGCTGCACCCTCGATGGTTGCCCGGCGCTGTTCTCGATCATCAGGTCTTCGCACGCCTACATCGGGCTGGGCACGCACGCATACTTCTGAAGATCCAGACCACGCCCTGCTAGTCCCGGGACAGTCTCTGGGTCCTTCACTTCCCCAGGTTGGAAGGTCAGACCACCGTATGTATGTCCTACAGCGGGGCTGCGCTGCCACATCACACTCCTCACTGCATCATGCTGCTGTTGCACGACCCATTGCTCCTCCTCGGCCATAAACGGAAGTTTACACCTTGACATGCCCTGGGTGGTTAGGACCTCTCCACGCACATCCCGCCAGTACGCTTCCTCGCCGAATGCATGCACTTGCGCCTGGACCAGCCGCGCGCCGTCATAATCGCAGATATACCCCGCCCATTGCTTGCGCGGAAGAGTGACTTCGCTAAACCCCTGGCGCCCGAACCAACCCCGCGCGCTGTTATCCGCATACGCTAGGATCACGTTGATCTTTGTCTGAACGCGAAGACGTGCTCTGAGGTGGCGCAACAGAAAAGTCGCGTAACCCTTCGCTCTATCTTCTTCTCGAGCGGCGATGAAGACCAACTCTGCGAAACCTCGATGCGGCAGAATGTGGTACGCGAGACCAGCGCGCAGGACATAGCCTCGTCCTATGATGACGAGGCACTGCGTGTCACGCGAGAACAACGTGCGAATGATGTGTGCACGCGGCATGCTGGGAAGAGAAGTTGCGAAGAGGTTGACGAGGTTGACCAGCAACATACGCTCGTTTGGCTGAGTCGAGCGTCCTGAGGGTAGGTGCATGAAGTGAATCCGTCCGGACGCAAGCTCCTCCATGTACGGCTTTGAGCCGCTGTTTTGAAGCTGTGGCGGCGACGTGAGCGGCCTGTTCGTCCTGATCTGAAACCGTGATGAACACGTACTGGAATATATGGGTCGACGGAGACCGCAGTGTCAGTAGCCATCCTGAGCGTTCGCAGGGAGGAAGGCACCACTATCCGTCTATGTACTTATACGCATTATATGTGATTCGAGTATCCCTCGTCAAAGGTCAAACCACAAAGGAAATGACGGTATCATTGTTCAATGTCCAGTTTCGTAAGAAGGTAGATACGCTTCAAAACAGCGGTCCCCAAAGGTATGAGCAGCGTGCACAGCGACGTGAAGTACAGCATAGCAACGAAAGTACGATTCAGCAAGATAGCAGCAAAGCATCACAAAGCACAACATTGTAACCCGTAGCAAGAAAGAAAGCGTCCGTAGCGCATAGTCCATTACGAGTACAACACCAAGTTCCCACGTTGAGCGTAACAAATCCGATCTAATCCGATCAGTCGTATAGGTCAACGGCAGCAGCGACAGAGATCTTGATCTTCTTTCCGTCGCGCTCATCCTCGTCTTCGACGGCCTTGCGCTTCGAGGTCGTCGGCGGTGGCAGAACCTGCGATTCAGCCTGCGTCTGCGCATCATCAATCTCGGCCTGACGGCGCGACTTCGGCTTCGACTGCGGCTTCGGTGGGTTTACCTGTTAGCGGAACAACGTTAGCATCCTAACACCATATAGTAGAGTCGAGGTCCAAGCAAGGAAGCGCGCGGAGAGAGGGAGGAGAGGAGAGGAAGGTATGAAAGGACGCACAACACCCTCCATGCCCATAACCCTGATCTCCGCCGCGGGCTCCGGATGGAAGTATGAGGCGTAGCGCGTTGACTTGCGCGAGGCATGAAGAAACACGTAGCGCGTTCGGCGAATGCTCTTGCGTGCCTTCTTCTTGCCTTTCTTCGCCGTCTTAGCATCAATATCCTCAAGATCCGACTGCAGCGCGATGAAACCTTCAGCTTCCAGCCGCTTGAAGAGCTGGCCAGCCACGAGAGCCTCACAACCTGGGCAGCAGTTCTCGTGAGTTGTGGGAGTGCGGACGCGGTGGAAGGCACGTACCTATGAGCTCTGTGAAGGCTTTGCTGGAGTCTGGGTTATGCTCCTCGACAAGCTTGATCGCACGCCTGTAGTGAGGTAGGATTGAAATTAAGCACACACGCGACACGGAGTGGAGCGGATGACACACCTGAACAGAGCAAGTTGAGCGTATTTGTTGAAGAGCTCCGCACACCATGGCTGCAGGCGCACGATTGCCCAGTTATCGTCACGTTCCAGCGCGCACGTGAAGCAGAGGAAGCGTTGTGGGATGCGCTTATCATTGATTGAATGGAACCCCATGCACCTAGGAGCGACGCAGTGTCAGTCTGAGGAACGCAGATGAGGCGTCACGAAACTAGAGACATACCAAAGATGATGCCAGCGGCTACAGCCATCACAGAAGATGGACTCCGTGTCATCCCGCTGTACACCGCAGTCGCAACGCACAGGATCAGTGTCAACGCCTTCGTTCTCCTTCTTAGGCGGGGAAGGTGTAGGCAGAGGCGTTATAACATCGTCTTCATCCATCTTCTCTGGCGATGTCGTAGTCTTCTTCATAGTAGGAGGGACGCGCGAGGGAGACGCGACAGCCGTCGGCGTGCTGTCAATATCGTCGGGAAGAGGGGCCGGCGTCGGACTGAATGTGGCAATCGAATCATGCTGTTGTTGTCGCTTAGGAGCGGAAGCAGTGGCGTTCATGAAGGACTCGACGCTCTCGGGCTTCTTCTTGTGGTGGCGGTCGTGCATCGAGGGCATGCGTTGCGTTTCCATGTCTGCATCGATCATAAGCGGTGGATACGAATGGAGAGCAGAGTCAAGCGAGACCATACCGAGTATGTCGTCCGCATGTGTACCATCGTCGCTCGAGGACGGTAAAGGACTCGTCAGCGGTGAAGAGCCTATCCCCATGACGCTCCGTCCCGAACGAGAATCGCGCTCGTCTTCCGAGTCCGAGGCAGTGGCGTTCGCCGATTGAAGAGGTTGTGTCGAGATTGAGAGAGGCTGAGTGTGTTCAAGTGAGTCTGTACGCTTAACGGCCTGTTCAAACGAAGTCAGCGCGGGATTATCCAGGTAGAGTAGTGAACCCTCACGATCTCGGCGAGGTACTGGCTTGCACTGTCGCTTGCACCGCCGTACACGACCTCGAGAGTACCGGAAGCGATATTACTGTCCACGTCCATGACGTCACCGGCGGATTTATCAATGTTGATGCCCTGCGTGCGCGCTGTGGCAACATCAATGATGGCGCCGTCGTCGTCGCGTACGCCCAGCGGAGCCCATGCGTCCTGCGGCCCCGGTGTGTCACCGAAGTCCGGGTCAGGCTCACCTTCCGCGTCTACATCTTTACTGTCGGCGCGGCAGAGCGCCTCGGCATCCCAGACAACACGCCGCGCATGCGCAGCCGTGCGCTGGGCGGCCGCTTCAGCCACACGCGAGGCGGATGTCGTAGGAAGGAGTGCTGCTGTTGATGTTGTACCCCCGAAAGGAAGACCGTCTGTGGAGAATGCGCCTGGGAGAATCGAAGAAACGGAGGTGATTTCAAGAGAGAGCCTGAAGTCACAATAAGAAGGGGTCCTTGCGAAGAGTGACTCGGGGAGACGTACGAGTGGAAACCTGTCTCGAGCTTCCCTATGGACCACTTGTCGGGCGCCTCATCTGGGTTGTGCGTAGTAAAGACGAAGCGGTCGCGTTCCGCATCACCGGCAGTGAAGTTAGGCGGCTCGTACCCAGCAGGTGTCTGCGGGTTATAGAAAAGCTTGAATGTGACAAACTTCCGGTCTACGGAAAGAGGATCAACAACAAGAACGCGAGTGAGGGCGGAGAAGCGCGTACTGGGAAGCTTGTCCATCTGGTTGACAGCAGAGATGAGCTGCTTGACCATGCTCTTCAGACTGCGCTTGACGTCCGCCAGAGTGGGGACGCGACTCTGCGCAATCGCGCGGACAACGGGATCTCGCGATGCCGCACCGTCGTGCAGCTTCATCTTCGACATATCCTCGCCAAGCGACATGATGGGAACCACCGTGCTCGTACCAGGCACACGAACGTACTAGAACGATGTCAGGACTGAGTCCGTGTATGGCAGAACTATGGCGACTGGCCACGTACAGTGAAATCGAACGTATACGCCTCGGCCAAGCTATCAGGACGCCATTAGGGCAGTATATATGCGCATATATGCGCATATACGCACTTATTTGGGTCTTCTTGATCAAGATAGATAGCAAAGATGAAGCTCTTAAGGTACTGGCGTTCGATAGCGTCGAAGATGCCCTTCTCCTACGCCAGAGTCAGCATATACGCGCAAGCATGTAATAGACAACACACGAGGTAGTCGAGTAACTTGTCGGCCTCCGCGCTCCAGCCGCGGTTGACAGTCATAATCTTGAAACCGCCGGGCCCTGAAGTTGATGATTGACTACTGGGAAGTGAATCGAATGATGAGCCAGGGTTGGACGGGCCGGACGTCAGGTAGCCTATGGCGACGTTCAGCGCGCTAAAGGCATGAGGCGTGGTAAGAGAATTCACTGGATGAGAAGTTATCCTGAGGTAGCAAATCTCTGTGGTTTCAATGAGAATGAGAGCGCATATAGTTGGCAATGATGAACGCACCGCAAGTAGGTGATGCATCCAAGCGACGCGCGAAGCAACGTCTGCACACATGTAAGGCTCTGCGCGGAGGTAATCGCTTGCTAAAGGAATGTTAAACCCGGACGTGTGGAGGAGGAAAGCCTCGCACCTGTTTTTGACGCGTCGCTTGGGCCTGCATAGCGGTGGGCAGAGGCAAGGAGCACCAGATCGCGCAAGGCCTGACGCGACGCGCCTTTGAAGTCAAGGAAGCCTGTCAAACCCACGTGCTCGGTCGGTCCGAGATCCGAAGTCTTCACACGTCACCCTCATCGGTTTCGAATTTGACGCCCGGAATACTGGTCGCGTAGTTGTATGACGAGGGGTACCGATATACCCAATACATGGACCCTCTTTGCGGCTGGCCAGGCATCATGAGGCTTTGGCATCCGAGAAACACGGCAGTTTATCGAGTCGACACACAGGTTCTTGATGGGAGTGATTATACCCGCGGATTCAAATAACAAGGGAGTTCAGGCGAGCGAATGCAGTCGCGAGTCGTTGCGTACATGAAATTTCCCCCACTTTCGTCTCTTCACGCGCTGGCAAGGGTTGCCTATTTACGGCGCTTGTGGTCAAAGATATGCCATGCCGAATCACCGCATCCACCTTCGGCAGAGATCGTCATACATCTGCCACGGGGTTTAAGGACAAATAGCATCTGGCAGGGTGGTAAGGTGGCATACCAGTTAGTTTCATGCTCTTCCGGGTATTGGCGTCGCTTGTCTAATTGTACCGGTCCACGCATCGGGTTGCTGCAGACGATATGTGGCCTCATGCGCATCCCGCGGAAACGGCGACTTGTGCTGGGTCATGACTGTAACGCGGCACTCAAAGACTTTGATCAAATAGGGGGTCCTGCCGCAAGCGTATCGATCTGTGAATGCGGATGTCAACAGCGGCTTTCGCGGTACGGTTGAATTGCTGACTTCTAATGTAGATAGACTGACTCAGGTATGCCAGCCATAGAGATGAATCATCCCAGGTCTCTCTTTTGGCTTAGTATCAGGAGATCAGGAGCCCGTAGGATCATTGTCATGGATGACAGGCGATATGCTCATGAGCACATAGCGTTCACAAGTAGTATGAGCTATTGCATCACACAGCTAGCTTTGCAATCTCTGGAGATCCGCCTCAAGGCATCGCTTCTTGCGAGAGACAGAGACACCAGTTGTCTGCGCAGTCGGTATCGATAGTGGTAACCCCATGCCCGATACTCTTGGCCTGTGTAACGAACGGCGCTGAAGGCTGGTAAGGCGAGATGCCGCGGCGTTCAAGTTTAAAGCGTCCACAAGCCGGGACAGCCGAGTATGTCCGAGGTTCTTATAAGCGATATCCAGTGCTGAAAGCTGTGCAAGATGTTGGAGCAAAACGCGCCCCTTGCCGCGAGGGAGGTGGTGGTCGGAGCCTCGCGGCGAGTCGCCGACGCCCGAGATCAGGCATGTGGCGGCCACGATTATCTGGAGATGTGCGCACGCTAGTACGGGGCGCCTTTGACTAGGTGTTGCATCCGGCTCGTGGGTTTGTCTATAACTACCATCACGTATTGAGTGCGCGGGCTGAATGAGCACCAGCCCCACCCCGCGTTGGAATATCCTGTAGCGCCTGCCCTTCCGCGTGCACTTGAACCAATACATTGACCGGACCACCCAGTTCGACCGTGGCCGCACCCAGCGCGACCGTGCCCGCGACCAGGAGACGGTCCGAGATTGACGAGGCCGCAGACAGTCCGTTGATTTGTACTGCTCGGCCCTGGGCTGGTTATCTGAAATAGGGACTGCAGCAGCAGACATTGAACGAGCGCGGAAGCGAAGCAAGATGCGCCCGACCTCGCCAGACTCGGCGTCTACCTCGCCCCAGCCACGACCAGGACCGTCGACGCTCAAGGCCGTCGTATCAAACGGACACTCGAACGGGGCCTCCTCCTCAATAGATATCAATGGCCACGCCGCTCCCCCAATACCGGCCACCGTATCCCTCCCGGGCACCACGCTCTACCCCGACAGCGACGTTGACCGAGAGCAGTTTGTGCGTCTCGTGATCCAGACGTTGAGAGATGTCGGATACGGTGCGAGCGCGGCGACGCTGGAGCACGAGTCGGGGTACGCCATGGAGACCGATGCCGTCGCCGCCCTGCGCGCGCACGTCATGGCCGGCGCTTGGGCGGACGCGCACGCCGCTCTCGACGGGCTCGGTCTCGCGCCCGAGGCGCTGCCGCCCGCACGTGGTCTGCTAGCCCAGCAGAAGTATCTTGAGCTATTAGAACAGAGCCGTACGACGGAGGCGCTCAGAGTACTCAGGGATGAGCTCGCACCGCTGCATCCGGACCCTCGCGCGCTTCAGCCGCTCAGCAGTCTCCTTATGTGCACAGACCCCGCAGATCTGCGCGCCCGCGCAGCATGGGATGGCGCAGCAGGCAGCTCACGAAGACAATTACTTGTAGATCTACAGCGTGCGTACTCTGTGGCCTGCTCGTGTGATATTCTGACAGCCGTCTATTAGATTGGATACCCTCATCACTCATGATCCCACCTCGCCGCTTCCCCGCACTTCTTGACCAGGCACTCGCACACCAACGTTCACAGTGCCTCTGGCATAATCTACCCGCATCTCAGCAATCCCTCTATACAGACCACGCATGCACTTCCGACGCGTTCCCACGACATAATACCTTCAGTCTCGAGACTCATGCAGACGAAGTCTGGAACCTTGCCTGGAGCAATGACGGCCGCAGACTTGCCACCGCAAGTCGTGACAAGAGCGTCATCGTTTGGCGGATCGAGAAACCTGCGCGTGAAGGGGAGGAGTGGACCGTCCGCGAGGATCTTACACTCAAAGATCATCCGTATGCGGTTAACTACGTTGCATGGTCCCTCGACGACGAGGTACTGCTCACTTCGAGCGAGCAGATCATCAAGATGTGGAATACCAAGGTACGCTTCCAGATCTCTTATCCCTGATTAAACGTCAGACCTTAAGCGCCTTCGCCCAGACTGGTATCCTCATACGCACCCTCGATTCGCCACACACGGAGACGGTTTCCGCCCTCGCTTGGGTGCCCGATGGGTCGGGCTTCGTCTCGGGCGCGCAGGACCGCCGGATTGTTCTATGGTCTGCCGATGGTCATGTACGCGAAGATTGGGGACATACCCCGATACGCATCTTTGACCTGGCACTCACACCCGACTTCACGCGCCTCGTTGCTATCGGCGAATCCGCCATTCAGCCTCCGGTCGAGCGTGATCCCAGTCTTGGTGCACGTCGTGACGGTAGCGCGACGCCGCCCGAACGCGGTGGAACACCGGAGCGCAGCGCAGGTTATCAGATCATCGTTTATAATCTAGCGACGAAGACGCCTGAATTGTATGTCGACCGCTTATTCTTCTTTTACGTCTTCTGCTCACACCCTGTCACCAACAGCACCGCAACATTGGAGAACCAGCTCACGTCTGTGTCCATATCCGCGGATTCGCGGTACGCTCTCGTGAACCACGCGCCGGATGCGTTGCTATTATGGGATCTGCATGCACAACGGCTAGTGCGTGCCTTTGCCGGGCAACGTCAACCTCGGCATGTCATTCGAAGTTGCTTCGGAGGTGTCGACGAAGCATTCATCGTCAGTGGGAGCGAAGGTACGCATCCTGATAACGCTTGTGTTGCTATGTGAATGGAACGCTTATCCTCGCCGGTCAGATGGACGTGTATATGTTTGGCACCGCGAACGAGGGGTACTTCTCGCCACGCTCGAGGCACATGGGCCGGGGAGTGTCAACGCTGTACGATGGAACCCAGTCGATCCTTCGATGTTCGCATCTGCGAGTGACGATCGTACTGTGCGGATCTGGCAAGCGTTACCTTCCCTACCATTACCTTCGTTAACCACGGAGGATGGTGTTGGAGAGCTACGTAACGGTGGCCCGAGCGCTGAAGCGGAGGGCGGCAAAGGAAAGGGCAAAGGGAAGCGGAGAGTGAGTTGGGACGCCCATACTAGCGGGTTATAGGTGGTGCTGCGATAGTGGGATCATGCGGTGCGCCCTTCATGGGGTCCACAGGGCTCGGACAGGGAGATTCTGAAGAGGTGCCTATATTATTCCCGGCGCAATAAGCAAATCTGAATGATTGAATAGCAACATGACTGACAGGCTCATATGCTCGGCTACTTAACGACCACGAACCAGGACTGGATACTTTACTATCGATGGCTGCCACGCTGTACACTCACTGACACAAGTCTCGTCGCCTCAAACTGGGTCTGCTCCATACGCATTTTTTTCTCATCTTACGCTTGTACATGTTGTATGCACGGTACTGCGAACCCGATGCTTTCACTAGAGGAAATATGGGCTAGCGTCCTTTGACATGGTACGGGGCGACTCGACTTGAGCCACTTGCGAGTCACCCGAGGGGTGATGATGGGCCCATATAAGGGTGAATATTCGCGTGAGAACGTCGCGACGCGGGCGCGCGTCGCGCAAGGCTCGCTTTGTCGAAAGACAACTGCTATCACCAGGCGATCCATCTTTCCCTCTACGCGTACCATGGCGAAAAAGAAAGGACGGCGTGGGTACCCTACTGGGTCGTGTAGATTCCAGACTCATTCATGTGCGACAGGCAATAACGGCTCGAGTTCCTCTAGTTTCAACGCTAGAGCCAAGGCTCAGCGCGAAAAGGCGCACAGAGAGTTCTATGACGACGACGATTACTCGGACGACGAATACTATTACTGCCCTCAGCACAATTGCTACCATCATCGCCACCAATATACCAACTATGCGCCCCGACGTGATGATCATGGGTTCCGTCCCCAATCTGAAGAGCCCGAGCCTGAACCCGAGCCTGAACACGACCACAGCAAAGGCATCCATCTCTGCCCACAATGCCATGACAGGGCAGCGCATCTGCTAGGTTTACTAGAGCTACATGATACCAAATGGCTGGATGACTGCCTTTTCGCCCTCAACTGGAGCATATATGGTGTAAGTTCCCACCTGCAGTATGATCGTCCTCCGAGTACTCATGATCTTTCTCAGGGGCTCGTTTCTGCCGCTGTACTGTACCGTCCCTTCCATTTGGCCCGCGACTCTGACGCGCATTGGCTTATACGGTGGCCCTGGATCATCAGCTGGCACTGCATGGTGGTGTCCTTTCTTGTTGGCCTAATATTGAAATCCTATTTCATCAAGCCGTTCAAGAGAATCGTCTACGACAACAAACTCTCCAGAGCCCTTTCGGATACCATCGAACTTCGACACAAGCTCAGTACGCAGCTCGATCATTACAACGTTCGGAAGCTATGCTGGGGCGTTCTTAGACTTTTTATCCTTGGGACCACGCTCGCTGGAGCTGGCATCATAACTCTCGTGCTTGGTCGCTTTGGGACGGTACTTCATGGCGTATGGCATCCCGTGAAATATATCACCCTCCTTCCCTTACGCCTTTCCAAATGGGTGCTTCGAGGCATTGGTTCTCATTCCAAAAGCGTTATTCGTCTCGCCGATCGTGTCGGTCGCATGATAGGCAGGAATGCCACGAAATCGGGAACACTCCTCCTCTCCTTTGCCAAACTTTACGGACGCACGCTTGCCGGGTTTTCCCGGTCTCTGGTCATTTTTGCCATGGACCTCGGCAAGTTGCTCCTTTTGACCGCCGTCGCCATCGCGTCCATCATGGTATTCGTACTTGTGTACAACGTGGTTCGAGGAACCTCGCTGAAAGGCCCATCAGCCGGAGATCCAGATGCCGCCCACACGACCCGTGGATTGCCCAAAAACGCCACCCCCCGAAGACCGTTAAACACACCTCTTCCCGCGTACGAGTCACTAAATGGGGACATGCCTACAGGCAATCCTGAGAAGAAGACCAACTTGCGGCGCAAAAAGCATAAGGAGGGCGTGGACGTAACGGCCTGATGTCTAGAGCGGGACCCGTTTACTTCCCGGCGAGGACCTATAGACCCATTCCCTGCGAACAAGCGTCGATCTGGGTCTTTCTCACCTACAACTGCTTAACCGTTGACACCACGACGAAACGTGTTCCGTCTCGGGCTTTCAAAGCTCAGGACCGTGCGCAGCGTTTACTCGATCAACGAAGAAGCTTCCAGGCTTAACGCCCGCACAGCTACACGGTTAATCCCTTCGCTCGATTCAACTCTAATGTACTTCGCTACTTTCGCATTCTTCTTCACTGTACATATATTTTTCCGTTTGACCAACTACAACGATGTTCACAGTGCTCTCCATGTATCATACCATGCTTCGTTCGCGTTAAGATAAGCCTGCAGCCTATCTTCGCTATCCTGACAGCTCAGATTATTTGTTCACACTCGTGGGGAGCACCATATGTCAAACGACTTTGGTACTTGCCCGAGTGGATGGAAGGATGGACGCAAGTCGCTGACAGGGGTGCGCAACGCGGCTAATCGCTAAGCTCTGAACATCTGAATGTTGACTCTGAACATCGATAGAAGACAGATTGCGGCGTCGGTTGCCTTTCCGCAGAAGTCAAACCATGTGAATTCGGGTACAACGGATGCGCGCTCAAGGCACGGTGAATACGACAAAGGCGCATGCGTGGGAGAATCCAAGGGAATGTTCCACCATGTACGTGTTACAGAGACTATATGGTGTACAGGTCGGAGCCGGGGAGACGGATATACAGAATATGAGCGATGATCAGTGAGGGAAAAAAGTATGGCCGAATACTGTACATGTACTCATGTCGTGAGAGGAATCCTGGACTGTCCGAGATGAAAGAGAATATGCTAAGAAGCGTGTGCCGGTGCAAGCTGAAGTGCGAAAGGATGGGATCACGACGTGGATAGCAATGGCTATCTCGGCGGGGATACCTGTGAGCGGTCCAGCAATTGGTTATAGGAGCGATGCTTTGGCATGAACAAGGGGCCCGAATTCCGCTTGCTACCTGGTAAGGGTCGCATGGGCCGAGGTGATGCCACAGGAGTTGGGCGAGGCGGATAAGGAGCATTGTCCAAATCTATCACACCATTCGCGTGCGAGCTTTCGGATGGCTGAACAGACAAGGAATGCGTAGATGCCGTGGAAGATGGCGCCTGTTGTGTCGGCAAAGACATTGGGCGGACTACCACGCGAGAGTTTGATCTGCTTGCAGGCGCCGGCAAGCATTGCGTTGTTGCCGAAGAAGCTAGTGATGGTGAGAGAGCAGGCACCGAGGGCGGGTTTTGCTCCGGTGTGGGTGCTGGCAGAGCCACAGAGCGGACGACAACGCGTGGGTTCGATTTGCTTGTAGAAGCTGTCATGGCTATCGAGGGTGACGCCGCAAGCGGGGACTTCCCAGAGGAGGAGGGCACACTAGAAGAGCTTCGGTATGCCTTGGCTGCAAGCATAGGAGGGCGCGACTGTGACGTAAACAGACGCTGCGTCTTCGTGGCCTCGGTCCTCGTCTTTTGGAAAAGCGTTTTGGGTTGCACAGGTGCTCCCCCTGTGGGATGTGAGACGGAGGGATGAGTCGTGCGCGTCTAGGACCTGAGAATGTCGCTCACAAGGGCGGGCCCGCTTCATGGGCGGGGCTTCTGCGAGCTTAACATCGCGTTCTTTACGTTTGAGTTCTTCGTCAATACGTGAGCATCGTAGCTTGGTCTCGGCTTCTTCCAGTTTCTTGGCACGGGCCACCTGAAGTTCCTGTCAAGTATGATCCGAGTTAGCAAGGATAGTCTCATCTATATATTACGCGCGTGCCTCATAAAGACGTCGCCATCCATGTGCGGGCGCATCAGTGCCTTCGAGGTATTTTGCAGCGTCAAGTAAGAGATCTTTGGCACATAACTGTCTCCACAATCCTGTGACTCTGGTGTGAGTGCGGATGTCTGTAGGTTATTTTACCAAGGCCGCTGACCACTAGTATCATGATGCAGATTCTAAGGAAGCAATGCATTAGAGCTCGCCGCAAAAGATGGCATTGAGGGCCACATACGGGACTGGCATCCTCTACCCGCATGAGAGTAGCGGCGGAGCAATGATCCAAGATAGGTTTGACCAAGTCGTATGCAACATTGTCTCCAACGCCACAGAGCGCTAGTACACGCGTCAGAGATGAGGGAGTATGGGCTGACTTGCTATATTCTCACAATCAGCGTGTAAGATGGCGACTGGAGGTTGTGGCAAGTGAGCACGTGTCAAGGTCCATGTGGGCGCCGGATAACCGACCTCGTTGACAGTATTGTACTAAAGTGAGGATACGCCCTGTCGACGACTGTGGAGAGTCGTCCATATGTCAGAAAATCCAGACCGGATCGAAAGTAGGTATGCTCTTGTGAATGCGAACTTGAGCTTGAGCCGGTTGTGATGACGGGCGAAAGCAAAGGCCAGACGGATCAAATATGCAACGATGACATCTTCCCACGACTTCGTTTCCCAATCCGAACGTTAACGACCAGCTCAGCTGGAACGTCCACCATCGATCAAAGCCTTTTCTCGACTACTATAACTTGTCCTTAAGCTGATAAAGCTTGCTCGTGTGGGTAGCGTGGCCGCGGCTTAGAGATGAGTCGTACGACGATATTCGCGGCAAGGCCAGATTTGTTCTCACCATAACCGATGACAAGAGGTTGTCCGCCGAGTTCGTCCTACGTGTTTTCGGCGTCTTTTTCTGTTCAGCTGCGCATCCGCTGTCTAGGCTTGCTTTCTAAGTAGTGAATTGGAGAAGCCGCGCCGACGTCTGGCCCGATCCTTTCCCGTTGGAACCTGCGCGCCCAGTGTGCCTTCGCGAGTGCTCTCGCAAGCCTCGGAGATTTTGACGATGGAGCACGGGCACAATACAAGGTGGAACACATATGGATTCTTGGGGCCATCTTTTCCTGCGAGATCGCCGAAATGAACGAAGTACCGCAGTTATCTGTACGGCCCGACGACCACCGACAACAGAACTCACTCATCGGATTTGCCCGTTAGGTGCATTTTCGGCCGGAGGTGAACACACTTGATCGACGGCAGCATGAAGCTCGATTTGAAGACCCGAATCGTCGTTACTCCGCACTTTTAGCAGAAGTGACACCTAAACACAATCCGGCAGGCCGAGGGAAGACGCTCTCTCGGTTTCGGGACGTGTTGAGCACGCCTATCTGTGTTTCTCGTCTCACGTTCAACGCGGAGAAGACCCACGCCAACATCCCCAGGCATGGAAAGCTCAGTGCTTGAGAAGCTGCCCACGGGCATATATTCAAGCGCGTCGTTAGACATACCGGGAAGAAAGGCTTGCTCGGGAAGCCCGACTGCAATTGCGCCGCGCGTATGTCCGCCCTGTACCAAACATTCCTCAGACTTAAGCGCTTGAGTGTCGGCGGTTCGACATTGGCACTTGATTGTGCCTTCTCAGTGCGAGCCTATCACTCTGCTGAGAAGCTAAGACGGTATCTCAGCCTCCATATACGTGACATGTATCTCGACTAGGAAGCGCATAGCCCCGGGCAACCGGGTTCAGATCTTTCCCCGGCCCCGGCCCGAGCATTCAGATCACTTGGGCGAAGACTTCGTCCGCTTACCTGTATGTACCCCCGCCTCCGCTTCGTCCCCGGTAAATCCCGCAGATCAAGCTCGCAACTGTCGCCGAGCAGGTTCTCTTACGACTAACTGTCGCAGGCTATTGCCTAGATGTTGGCCTTTATGTCAAAGACGCCGACAGGCGAGCCTTGCTCTGAACCGCACGCGTTCCCGCAGCACTTGGATAGCCGTATACGTGGGTTGCTCCAGACGCTCGTCTTTCGTAACTTCGCATGCATGGTTTTTCCCGAGCCCAGGATTGCCGTTGTGGAGAACAACATCGTTCCCGAGTAGCATGTGCCCATTTGCCACGCTATCCAGTCAAGCTCTCCCCCGCTTTGCCGTCGGGTGTGCGCCTGGAAGTGGCACTCACTTCAACTCAAGACTGTTCTCACTGCTCATCGTATATAAGGACCTTACTGAATGAGATGACGCTGCGTATCCTCCCAGCGATCCCGTACCTCTTCTCTTCGCCAGCCTTAACCTTGTTTGTGATGCAACGCCCCACGCACCCTCGTCTGCATGTCCGCGACGCCCGCGATGCGCACACTGTCTTTGAGGCCGTCCGTCTAGGCATTCTGCGTCCCATTCAACGTCGTCTCAATGAGATGGAAAGGGCATCCTTCATTCAGTCTGGCACGATCTTCGTATGGGAAGAGAGCGAAGATGATCTTGGGCTCAAGCGATGGACAGGTGAGTTCAAACCGGGTGTCATTCCTGCCGTCCCTTTCCTCGGTTAACTTGCAAGACTAGACGGTCGCGTATGGAGTCAGAGTAGAATGCGGGAACCATTTCTTTTCTACGATGAGAAGATTGAAGATACTGGGGCCCAGGTTCCTCGGTAAGAGCGCCTGTTCCCAATCTCTCCAAGATCAAATCTGACTTTGCTGTTCACAAACAGAAGCACGTCCAACTTTCGCTTTGTGGACGGCATCAACCGTGGCGGACATACAACTCCCGCACTGGCCCACTACGACCGCAGCGAACAACGTCCCATGGGGTTGGTGAAGCAAACATATTCGGCATGGGTACTGCAGCCGAACGTGAAGCCCCGAAAGTGGCATCTAACCGCCTACCTCACTTATGCCGACCTTCCCCACATACCCACCGTTCCTGAGGACCCCACACTGCGCAACATCGTCGTCCCCGCAGGCATGTATAAGAGCGGGAAGGCGCGTTCGAGGAACTCAGACGCTTGCATGCCGACCTCGCCCTCCCCTCCACCGTACGCGCACCCTTCTGTGTCACGGGCAGCATCTCCACGCCCCGACAGCAGCTCACGCGGAGGGTTGCCGTCCCTGCACTCGGCCCTAGGGACTTATCCCCACTCGAGCGCGCATGGGGCGCGCTATTCGCACGACGGGCGCTCAATGGAGGACGCCCGGATGATCCAAGCCTTAAATACACGCCATATCATGTAATGTGCTGTCTCCATTGGGTGCCGGGGTACTCTGCAGCCTATACGGATATTATGCACGCATGTTGTACATTCTGTTGATATCATTACGAATACCCTGCAAAGAACAGTATAGCTTTGAAGAGGCTTTTTATTGCCATGTAGATGCATAAGTCTAGACACTACTCTTCATCGGACCCTGGCTCTTCGTCTGGTTGGGCGGCACGCATGGCGCCTACGAGATCATCAGACTGCCCTTTTTGTGCCGCCAGGCGTTGACCTAGACATAGTCAGACATCGTCAGCGAGCACAGGAGCGCACTCACGAATGAGCGTGTGTATGGCCTGTTGAGTTTGTCGATCTAGCTTCGCCAGTTTCTTCTGCATGTCACGCTTGAGATCCCAGTTTGGCCGTTTGGGTGCAATGTTGAATAAGTCCTGAAGTCTATGAGAATATGTAGAGGTACTAAAAGGCAAAATACTCACAAGATCCTGCTCTCGTCTACTTTCATCCTCGGATAGGATACGTTCGGCAAGGCCAGCCACCGCTTTCTCCACCGTGTCTTCCTCGTCTTGACCGGTCGGACGTTTCCTTAACGTTCTGGTCTCCGGATCAAAGTTTCGCGTGGAGAGTATAGGTTCGCTATGAGCTCGTTTCAAGTCAATTTGGTGGGTCCATAGGCCGTGGTACACTACGTACCTTAGGTCTCCTTCTCCTGCTCTCCTCTTCCGTAGAGCGATTAAACGTGCCTTCCTCGCTTCAGAAACCTCAGCCAGAGACATGATGCAGTATTTCGATCCTCTATGTGGCCCGTGTATGAGATAGATTTGAGACGGAATTGGGTCGTAATAAAGCCGGGAAGTCCAAGGTCAGCGCAGGAAGCAAGTCGCGTGGGAGTAGTCGCGTCACGCGACGCGACGCGTTTGACGCGACTCGTCAAGCTCGCCCTTTGCTTCTTCCTCTCGCGTAACGCGCTACAGCGCAAGCGCATGCCTTGCACCCCGACCTCTCATGTCACCAGGATGGAATAACGCGTGTCTTGATATCTTACTCAAGCGAGTACGCTCGCGTGCGTCCCACACTTGCCGTGCTACATTCAGCACCTCGACCCGTTCTTCTGCGGCACCGGGTTCCAAAGGCGTTGACCTCCAAGAATTCACTCCGGACTCAATTCGGTATGCAATGCGGCGACGTCTTTGCTTTCCATTCGCTCACTCATGCACGCAGAAACTTCTCTATTATTGCTCATATCGGTCGGTCTTAACTCGCTACTGCTCGTACTTTGCGCCAGTTGACAATGTCGAGTAGACCATGGAAAGTCTACGCTCGCCGACAGGCTTCTCGAGGTAAGCATCCCCGCTCCAAACGTGATATCATATGACTCAGCATTTCTTTAGCTTACAGGCACCGTCCATACTTCACTCAAAGGTGCAAACCAGCAGTACATGGACAAGCTCAAAGTCGAGCGAGAGCGCGGAATCACAGGTACGATACACTCAATGACAGCAGCTTGAATAATTACCATCTCGCCCCAGTGAAGGCACAAACCGCTAGGTGAGTCTCTAAGCTCATTGGAGAATCGCATTGCTGATACTGGATATACAGCATGTTCCACGAGCACGAAGGCAAGAAGCATCTTCTGAACCTCATCGACACACCCGTACGTGACGTCTATCTCCTACATGCTCAGCAATCATGAGACATGGCGCTTCAGGGTCATGTTGACTTCTCGTGGGAGGTCGCGCGTTCAATGGCGGCATGTCAAGGCGCGCTGCTTCTGGTAGATGCGACCCAAGGCGTGCAGGCCCAGTCTCTATCCGTCTTCCATACGGCTCGTGAACGCGGGTTAGAGATAATTCCGGTGATGAACAAGGTACCGAGATGGTTCGGATGTCTACGAGACGCATGTTCATTTACATTTCAGATAGATCTTCCAGCGGCGCAGCCAGAACGAATAGCCGCTCAAATAGAGGCGACCTTTGGCATCGATCCCCGTCTCATTCTTGAGATATCTGCGAAGACTGGTCAAGGTGTTGAGAAAGTCCTGAAGGCAATTGTCGAACGCATCCCTCCTCCATCCGGACAGATCGACGACCCGTTTAAGGCGTTCTTATTCGATTCATTGTACGATAAGTACCGTGGCGTGATATCTCTTGTGAACATCCAAGGAGGTACTCTGCGCAAAGGTGCGGGCTTATAGTTTGTCTTATTACACAACACGCTCACACTACTCCAGGCGATAAGATTGCATCGTGCCACACAAAGAAGCGCTACGAAGTAACCGAAGTCGGAATTATGCACCCTGAAGAGGTCTCAACAGGTGAACTCTATCCTGGTGTGTTGTTCGGTAGCTCTTAGGTGATACATGTCTGACTTCGTCGTACAGGTCAAGTCGGTTATGTTGCTTGCAACATGAAGCAATCTTCAGAAGGTTAGTGTATCGAAAGCCGGAAATGATCACTTGGGACTCATAGGCTTCCAGCGCATATCGGCGACACTCTTCATCGCTTCGGCGAACCCGTCAAGCCGATGGCTGGATTCAAACCCGCTAAAGCAATGGTACGTTTGCATAGGCTATACTCGAGTACCTTCGCTCACTTAGCGTAGGTTTATGCGGGAGTATATCCGGTCGACAATAATGACTTCGCGAAGCTTGAAGAATCCATCAAACGAGTGAGCCACGTCAGGCTTATTAAAAGAGACATCTCGGCTTATACCAGCCTTCTGTCAGCTCACTCTAACGGACAGAAGCGTAACTGTTGCTCGCGAATCGTCTTCAGCTCTTGGCCAAGGTTTACGTCTTGGTTTCTTGGGGTATGTCTCCAGATTCGGTGTCTACGCTGGTCGCACTGACCGGATCATACCTAGTTCTTTGCACATGGATGTATTTCGGCAAAGACTCGAAGATGAGTACGATGCCAACGTTATCATCACAGCGCCGACTGTGCCGTACAAAGGTGCGTGTCGCCGAGTTCTTCCCGACGGTATGTTCCATATTGAGTTCACGAACGCAGTCGTCTATCGCGATCGCGAAGTCGTCGTTAGCAACCCGACCGACTTCCCCGATCTCGCCGACGGGACGAATAGAGTAAAAGAAGTTCATGAGCCGGTGGTCCGCGCCACAATCATCGTGCCAGATGGTAAGTTTGGCATTCAGTTATGCTCTATACGCTAAGCTAAATCCCAACAGACTATCTCGGGGAGATGATGGAACTCTGCTTCAACCATCGCGCAGACGAGCTGGACCACAAGTATCTTGACGCGGGCGACGGTGCGTCGGCCCGTGCGATGATGACCTGTATACTGCCACTGGCAGAGATCGTCACCGATTTCTTTGATCGGTTGAAGAGCCGCAGCTCCGGCTTCGCTAGCTTTGAGTGCGTTTCAGTCTACTTGTAGCTGCACGCCTTCTGAAGAGCACACAGCTATGAAGACGCGGGTTACCGTAAGAGCGATCTAGCGAAGATGACCTTCCTATTGAACGGGCAGACGGTGGACGCGCTCGCATTGGTTATCCATCGCTCACAAGAACAACGAATCGGACGCACCTGGGTCAAGAAGCTTCGTGCGTGTCCCTCTATCTTACTCCTACGCTTGTGCTGAAGCCTAGGTCTAGATAAAATCATCCCGCGGCAGCTTTTCGAGGTGCCTATCCAAGCTGCTGTTGGCAAGAAGATCATCGCCCGCGAGACACTCTCCGCGATGCGCGCGGATGTGACGGCCGGCTTGTACGGAGGTCATTATGAACGCAAGATGAAACATCTGGAGAATCAGAAGGAGTCAAAGAAGAGGATGAAGCGGGTTGGGCGCATCGATCTACCGCAAGAGGCATTCTTCAATATCTTGAGCACGCAGACGTGATTCAGAGAGGGTGTTCTGGCGAACGGGCTATGGCTACATTACGGTGATCTACATAGTGCGCTGGCGGATATGATACAGCATTACTTGTCTACAGAAGTGCTGTAGCAGGGTGCTACAACTCATTGTCTTCATCGTCGTACGATTCTTTGATCAATCTAGTCTCCAGTCAGTAAGGTCGATCGAGTGGCAAGGGCGTTGAACGCACCGGTATATGGACGGTGGAGGATGATCTCCGCTGAGAGTCTGGTTCAGGCAAGGCTCTGCGTAAGATAAGACTGGGTACGCACTCGTTCGTGACGTAGACGTCCACGAGATCCGGTCGAACATAATCATAATATGGATTCACAACATCAACCTTCTCCACGAGTTCGCCCTCGTCAAAACCAAGCACGGTGCTGGGGTCGGCGAAGTCCAAGGCCCCATACTCGTGATACAAGTTCCATAGGGGTGTAAGTTTGAATTGGCCTGCACAGACGACCACCGGTGTACTGTGTGCATGCGCAGCAGTCGCTGCCATGAGAGATCCCGAGACCGCAAACATCCCGCCGTTCGCAAGGATTGCATGAGCCCCAATGATGATCTTGCTCACGCGCGACATCAAGGCGTAAATGGAGGAGTCGGGGACAAGGAAAGTGGATATGCCGATTGAGGATAGGGAAGTGGCCATTTCGTGCCCGCCGTAGCTGGCTAGACGTCAATGATCGGAGCACCAGGACAAGGAAGCAGAACACACGAGGGGCCAGTCTCCGCGACGATCACCGAGAACTTGTGGTAGTGTGCGGCTTGTTTGAGATACATTTCCACAGTCTTCGACATTCCGATTGTCAATATAATCTCGCTAAAGCATAGCGTAAATAGCAATGCATGATCGAGATCGGTATATACGCACTCTGAGTGGATGTGGTCCTTCGCACTACGCGCCACGCTCTCATACACCGTGTCCAACTCGTCGAGAATATCCTGGATAGCCTCCATGAGAACAGGCTTCAGGGTTTTTGCAAACGAGTCTGGATCTTCCGGGTCGTTCTCCTTGAGCACCAAATTCGACACGGCTTTTGTTGCCGCAGTCTGCTTTCGCGGCTGACCCTGCAGCACGAAGTTCGCGATGGTGAGTGATCGTGGTTTGACAGTCCCGTCGTTCTTCTTGGCATTATTGTACTCCTCGCGTACGTGATGCAGAAGTCGGCGGATGATGTTGCCAACAGAATGCTCTGAGCGCGGAACTTCAGTGGGTGAATTGTCCACCGAAAAGCTGAGACACGCACCTTTCGGCTGCGCCTGTACAAGAGTCCTTCCAACGTTACGGATGATGCCCACAAGTTGTTGTATGTTTTGAAAGCGCGCTCTAGCGATCACCTGTCGTAATACAACCACGGTCTCGAGGGCAGCATGGCGCGAACCGATTACTTGTCTGCGCGTCGAAGTCAGGATCTTGGTCTCGTACGCGATGCGTGTACACCAACCTCCTTCGTAATCTGGCAGCGAGAGCGTCCACAACGCGTTGGCTGGGTATAGTTGGGGTATCAACTGGAACTGGCGAAGCCATGATGATGGAAGGAGAGTGAATTATGACTCGCTCCAGTCGCGCAGAACTCGGAGCGCGCTTCGAGCCTTCGACGCTCCTTGCCTCTCGCCACCATCTCTTCCTTGAGATCCTGCATACTCTACATCAGTCTCTATGATACCTACTGCCAAGTGTGTACATAATGCTCTCATCTGAATGAGATGCACGTCAAATATAGGGAGTTCGTTCAATGGATATGATCTCGACAACCATCTTAACTCCAAGGTAACCTCCTATACCACGCAAAGTGCCTGTCGCTGCATTTATGCTATGATGACTGTCGTCACGTGCACCGGTCAGACTTGTTTGTGTCTGGCCTGAAGCCTGAGTGTAGGTCGGCCATTAAACGGCCTAGGGTCTTGGACTGGATGTATATAAGACAGTTCAGCTCCGTGCATGCAACTTCGCGAAAACGCTCATTCACTGGTCCTTGTCGTTTGCCCTTAGCTGCATAACACAAACAAGCATGATCTCTACCCGCGCGTTCCTCGTTGTTGCCACCTGTATCTATCTCAGGCGCATTGCTACGCAGGGAAAGAAGGCCAATATCACAAGCCCACACGCTGTGTTGGAGGTGGAAGAGGACATAGATTCGGGTTACACTGGCGAAAGCGCCACTCTGAGTACGTGATAGCCACTGATTTTGGCCGGCAGGGAGACTTACGCCGCCATTATAGTGGAATGGGTGGATCTCCGTGATACGGACGAGACTACGTCCAAGTCACCCTGTGGCGAAGCTCCAAGAACCGCCCTCGCCGCTGTGTTCCCTTTTCCGGAAGACGCAATCCTTCTCAGGAATGCTGTCGTTTGTTCCATCGTTCCGAGCGACGAACTGCATGTCGATGAGAAGGTTCCTACCTATGCCGATATGGCAAAGTCAATCATGGATACCTTCTGGTATCCTGCGGAGCTTGACGACGGAGAAGATGCCAATTCGGACATGGGTGTCGACGAGGATGGTGGTTTAGGCGGCGAAGACTGGGACGCTTGGACAGGTGTTATGCGCCTACGAACTCCTGCGCCGACACCTACCTCGATTATAATGACATTACCAGCACTCGTCACACCATCACTATCTGCATCTTCGGAGCCGCGATACGCAGCGGCCTCTGTATTCCGTAGCGCGACCTCGACTCTGGGGAGTATCCTCAATTGGACGTGCGGCGTCGTATGCGACCGTGGCCCAGGCTGCGACCGGAAGCGCGCTCAACCGAACGGAGAGTACCCGATGCGCACTATGAAGAAGAAAGCGCTCTCAGGGCCCTCGTACGCCAAAGTTGAGGATGACGTCGAAGACGGGATTCCATCAGTGGCCGATACGCAACTGGAGCGTCCCGCTATTGCCATTAACCCTCCGAGACGTGCAGGAGGTTGGATGCGCGTGGATGCGGACGATATCGTCTAGCTTCACTGTCAGCAGAGGCGCATGAGAACTGGAGTACTGCGGCTTCCAATCTGGACTGGCGCGACGCAAACTGCTTTCTCCGATTGAACTGTGCAATGCTCTTGCGATCCTTCTTGGGCTACTGTTTCTGAGCCTGTTATTTCGGTTGCGTATCATTTCCTCCGGCTTACATCACGCTGGTCGATGCGGTGGTAGCCCAGCGCTACTTACCAGCTCCCGCTGATACATCCCCTTCACGGCTAGGTTTCCTCATGGACTGGCGACGTGATGCATTTGATCTCGGACTGGCTATGGACTGTGCTCTTTGTACTGGACTAGACGACCCTCTGGCAACCTGTCACAGATCTCAGGCAACACTCTTGCGGGTGAGGATTTCAGTCCTCTCTTCCATCCGTCGTAGTTGTCTCTCTTCGTCGGTCGTGATTTCCTTCCTTCAGTCGTGGTCCTTTTCCTCAGTCGTGGCTTTCTTCTCGTCAGTCGTGGCTTTCTCCTCTTCAGTCGTGCTTTTCCCTCTTCAGTCGTGATCCCCTTCCTTCAGTCGTGGTCTCTTCATCAGTCGTGGCTTTCTTTTCATCAGTCGTGTCCGCCCCACACCACCGTTCCTGCAGGCGGTGGCAACCGTTTCTCATTCGCACTCATTCATGCGCAGGTTTGAGTGGGCTTGGGGAACGGTCGGGGTTCTTTGATGCAGCATTGCCAGCGTCGCCTAAGGTTCTCGCTCGGCGGTCTGCATCTTCGAATCCCAACGTGGAGACACTATATCGATTCACACATCCCATCCGGAGAACATATATCAAGTATGGATACAGCCATTTGCAACGCCACCGGAGTGCGACATCGTACAATAGACGGGTTATAGGTTGAAGAGGGCATATGACGCTCCGGATTCGCACATCAAAGTTATTCGACGTGGCTTAGCCCGTCGACGTCTCAGAGGTTCTATCGAACGTCTCGATGTTTGAGGGTGACTTGTGCATCTTCGCTGCGCCTTTAGGTGTCGATATACCACTGTGCACTGGCGTCGTCAACTCCACGTACTCGTACTTACGCGAGTCCAGTGTGAAAGTAACCGGCCCCTATGGATGGATGTTAACGAGATGTCTTTAGATTCCGGCCCAGAAAAGGATCATTCAACAACCGACTGACCTCATTTGTCAGACTGACATTCATCATAGCCCCAAATTTGCCATCTAATGGTCGAGCTACCTGATTAGTGTGCGGGTATAGCCCAAAGCGGAGCAGTCCGAGATGCTAGCCTTGAATCCTATCGGCCAAATACTGGTCTTTCATGTTCTGAAGGAAAGTAGCGTACAGTTCGCGAGATTGTGTTGAACCCTATTACCATAGCGTGAGGCGAGGAGCGTCTTACTGAGTGTATATGAGTTTACCATGGCTTTGTGGAAATCAGGCTTATTGCCCTTGGACGTGTTCGCAAGTAGCGTGAACTGAGAGACACATAGCACATCTCCCGCTATGTCCTTGACGCTCGCCTTCCACATGTTCCCGTTGGCGTCATCGAAGATGCGCAGCGTCAGACTGCCGGAGAGCGATGGCTCAGAGCGAATGTACAACGTAACATGATCATGGCACCAACATTTTCTTGACCAGAATGTCCATATCAGCAGTCGTATCATCTTTGGTGAGCCGGAGCCCTCAGTATACAGCAATACCATTCATATGGATCTGCACTGACCTGTACCGATGCCGACGAGGACCATAAGGCCTCTGGAGATCTGACTGATCGTCTCGTTGTCAACTGAGAAAGTCCAAGCTCCGTGGTCATTCTCGGTCAAGGCTAAGGTTCATTCGTACCAGTCACGGAAGCTGACAGGACTCGTTGAACGACAGCGCGCATCGGAGCTTAGTGGCCGTCGATAGAAACGCGTCGTCGGCTCGCCGCCGCGTTGAGTCGCCACGGACAGCTGTCGGGAGCGGCCACGGCGATCACCGATCAATCGATCAACACGTGTACGTCAGTAACATCGCGGCGGTGCACAAGACTCGGCGCGTCAAGCCCTCCGATGTCCTATTGACCACCATCAGTGCTTCACCTCGACCTGGTCTATACCATGTCTCAGGGAGACTCTGTGATTCTCGAGACTAGCCTGGGAGAGATTAAGCTGGAGCTGTACTGGAACCACGCCCCTCGTGTGGGTTTTGTCTCGTCAATGAGCCTTCGTTCGAAGTCCTCACGAGGCGGCTGATTGGTATGCACTACAGACCTGTCAAAACTTTGCCGAATTGGCCAAACGTGGCTACTACAATGGTGTCGTCTTCCATAGAATCATAGCCGTACGTTCTTCCTCAACCCATCTCGTGTTCAACACAATGACGCCGAGTGTGAAGGATTTCATGGTGCAAGGCGGAGACCCGACGGGCACGGGGCGAGGTGGGACAAGCATATACGGACAGAAGTTGTGCGTACCTATGCCTTCTACTTCGGCGAGATCATGCGTGAGACAAGTTGCTCCTACAGCGAAGATGAAATCCACCCGGAGCTACGATTCACTGGTGCGGGTATTCTTGCCATGGCCAACTCCGGACCAAATACGAATGGTGGGGTTTCGATCTGTCCAGCGGCACGAGAGATGCTCAACTTGACGTAGGATCACAATTTTTCTTGACCTTGGCTCCAACACCATTCCTTGAGAACAAACATACCATCTTCGGCCGCGTAAGCTCTGGCATCCGCGTTCTGCAACGACTCGGATCCGTGGCTGTCGACAATCAGGATCGGTACGGCACTCTCTCGCTCTCAGGACCGATCGCCGTGATATGCTTAACCCTAACTGCAGCCCGAAGGAAGACGTAAAGATCCATCGTGCACGTATAGCATAGTTGGGCTGACAAGTGCGACGGCGGCGCGGATACGTTCTTTTGCTGCTGTGCGGCTAAACGATGAACCGGGGCAACCCATTCAGCTCAGGACTTACTCCCTCTTAATCGCAACGAAGTGCCTGAAAGACCTACTTCGACTGCTTTATTCCTCATGGGTATCCCGAGTCGACCCCGCTGTATGGTTCTAGCACCTGGAAGTATCGGTGATTGGACGTCGCGATCCAGCTAGTCCGTGCAGTACAGACTTCTACTTAAAATCTTTCACGGCGAAGTCGAACACATGTACTTATGCGATGATCAAGGTCGTTGGAAGAAGCTTTGGTCATGTATTGTAAATGTATATCTGTGGCTATGCGCCGATATGAATTACGCCCATGTCCTGATCAACTGTTTCATGATAGCAAAACCAACCGGATTCTCAGCTTGTATCACTGGGCTGGCCGTCCTACGTCCGTCGAACCAAGGGGCAGTAGGTTTCCTTCAGCTTCTCACCGAAGGTCACTGGCCTAGAATCTGCATGTGGCACCGCAATGATCAGCAGCCGCCACAATTGCTCGGTAAGACGACGTGACGCATGGGACTCGAGATCAAATAGACGTACACGCTTCAGCCATACAACGGACTTGCGGACTACCATGGCCAAAGCTCTAAAGCTTGTCAATCGGCAGCTGACATACGTACATGCACTCCCACGGGCGGACATAGGAGTGAGCAGCTGGTCAACAAGGTCGTGAACCGCAAGCTGTTGTTAGCATTTTCTTCCAGTATTTTTCCGATAGGTTCTCAGCCGCACGGTACCGACGCAATGGTAACTTCAGCACTCTTGTTTGCGGTGCGGCTGAATCTTGTGAGTTCGAGAAGTTAATCGCCCGGTTTGACGCTCAGAAGAGACCAAAGTGGTCGGCAACAAGCTCACAGAACGCGGGTCATATGGCTGCTTAAAGCTCTACCGCAGGCAGAAGCCTAGCTCGGTGCCTAGCCGCAAACGCCGCGTCCTTCGCAAGACCTGGTACTCGATTACGCAGGGCATGGGCTGCATCTAGACGATTTAAGTTCGACCAACCACAGAACATCGATGCAGTCTACAGACTGTAGACATATGAAATTGGACCAAGACAGGGTGTGAAGTATATACACGGCGAAGAAATACAAGGGGGGAACATAACAGAGAGTACGCTGTGCTGACGGGTGATGCTAGGAGACGGTGGTCCATGTTGAGAGCGCGGACGACATAACCGGATGACAGGGGGATGCGAGCGGACGTGAATGCGACAACTAAGATACAGGACCTGGACAGAAGACAAAGCGATGAGCGATGCAGAACGAGAGATATGCGTCACGGTCGCCGGATCTATGGCTACCGTCTACGGGGAACAGCGGTACGGGAACGAGTACGCGGTGGCGAATCCTCCATGGCAGCGGCAGGACCGCCGTGACGAGCGCCAGATGCACGCACTCTACTGTGACTCGGTATGGACACATCGGCTCGGCGGCGAGAGGGGCCCGCAGCGGCGAGTGATGGCGCGGCTGGGGATCCTCGCGAGCCGGGCGTCCAGGCTGGCGGAGAGTAGGTCGTGGCGCGGTCCTCGTCATCGTCCTCCGCGACATCATCATCTCCATCCTCACGCATATCCTCCGAAGGGAAAGACTCAGACTCAAGATCCTGGTCCATGGCTTCGTCAGCCCCGATGAGTTCCATGTCTTCATCCTCGTCATCCGTTTCGTCCTCATCGTAGATGCCGCTCGCCGGTTCCCCGATCCAGTCATCGTCTTGAACGCCGGAGCCCATGTCCCAAACGTCTGTGGAGCACATTTGAGTACATCATCGTATATCAAGATCATCACCACGTACCAAGTACAGTAGCCTCAGGTCGATTGCTGGCAGCAACACACCATCTGCCCTCGAATACGACTTGCCAGACGCCAACGATGTTCGTCAGCATGTCCCGGATAACAGTCCCATCCTGGATGTTCCACATCTTGAGGGTACCGTCGGAGCCCGAAAGCACCTTAAAATGATCGTGTTGGAAGCAAGTAATGGCGCCCGTGTGCGCGGCGAGCATTTGGCGCATATCACCCGAGTCTGGGTCCCAGATGCGAAGCGTCGAGTCGGCAGCGGCGGATACAAGGTGAGTGGGGGACAAACCGAGCAGACCAACAAGCGAGGTATGCCCGGAGAGAACGTGCGTGTTCTCGCCAGTTTGCAAGCTCCATATGCGCACTGTTCCGTCCATGGAGCCCGAACAGCACTGGTTCCGTTGCATGTCGAGGACGACACTATACACTGCGATGGACGTTTTAGTATTAGCGGGATCTTACCGGATCGATGCGCTCACCCTTCTGTGTGTGCCCAGTGAGTACGAATTTGCATGTGCCGTCGATGATATCCCAAACGCGGACCGTCGAGTCGTAACTTCCGGAGACGAGCGTACGGCCCCGTGCAGCCAAGGCGCGCACAGCGTGCTCATGCCCCTCGAGATGAACACGATGATATGGGTTCTCCTCGACGTCCTCCTAATTAGCGCACATCAGCAACAAAACAGCGCCTAGGAGGGTGGATGCCTTACATCAGCAGGGTCCGTATCTGCGTCCTCGCTTCCGTAGGATTTGTACTCCTTCTCGCCCGGTCGTGGGAGGGTCCACACGCGCAGAGAATGGTCGCGGCTGCCCGTGACGATGAGTGGGCGTTTCGGCCACTTTTCCTGGCGAATGACTCCGTTCTCGTCTTCCATGTCGACCATTTCGGGCTTGACAATCGCGAGACAGCGGACGGTGCTGGTGTGGCCACCAAAGATGTGCGTGCACCGACCGGTGGCCATATCCCAGATGCGGACGGTGCGATCGGTTGAGCCGCTGACAAGCGTGTCCTTCATTGATGCGAGCGCCCACACACCGCCTTCATGGCCCAGCAACGAACGGATGAGGGTGCCATCCGTGGGCGAATACATGTGAATCGAGTGGTCATCCGAAGCCGAGATGATCCGCCCCCTCGAAAGGAGGAGGCAAGTGACCACCGAGCGCCCGTGAGCGGTAAAGGCGAAATGGGAGGGGTCGGGATTGCTGATCCACCGGTCGCGCGTGAGGAAACGTGACTTGAATAGGATCTTGTATGGATTGGCAAGCGGCAGGCTTTCCGGAACGGGCAAGCCCTGTCGCTTGCGCCGACGCATGAGCGCCGTGACGAATGCGATCTCTGAGCCGCCGCCGAACCACAGCTTCTGATGCCTCAGCAAATCCTTCCAAAGGATGCCGTCCGAGTCTATTATGCCGCGCCACGACTTGGATACACGAGACGCGCAAAGGATTGTTTCGAATGGCAGATAGCTCAGGATGTGCGAGACTAGCTCGGGAGGTAATAACGTGAGGAAGTCGCGGGCCAGTGTAGGCTCTAGGACGGAGTTAAGCGTCCGCAAGACAGGGAGAGTCGTGTGGCGCATTAGAGATATGAGGACATGAGATTGAAGCGAAGGTGGCAAGGCTGAGAAGTGAGTGACGAGCGTCGGAAGGGACATAAGCGTCGTTAGACCGAGATCGGGCTGGATAGGAAGGTTCGGCTGGGGCGAGGAAGCGCCACTGGGCGGGGCAGAGGGCCAGATGCTCGTGGGCGAGGGAGAGCCTCGAGGCGAGGGCAGCGGCGAGGGAGGCGCGGCACCGTTCGAAGTATTGATCACGGGCGGTGGCGCAGCTTTCGCCTTCTTCCTCGGCGGCGGAGTGTGCATGGCCACATCTTGCGAGCTCTCGTCCTCCTCGATCATGCCGTCGTTCGAGTACGCCCGCTTGCGCGTGTATCGCTCAACGGCCTCACCAAGCCCTATCGGTTGGACAGAGCCCCCGTGCTCGTTCTGTCTCAACATTCGCCAGCCCGTGCCTCCGACCAGCTGCTCTTCGGCAAGCGTGTCATCGCCATCATCGTCGCGGAAGGTGGCCAGGGCACCGTTGGGGAATACCAGCGGAAACTGTCTAAGCGTGGGCGGTAACTTGAAGTTATGCAGTGGATACTGGTGAACATCGGTGACAGGTGGCGGTGAGGGAAGCGGCGGAATATAGATAGGTGCATAGGTGGTCGTGGTCGTCGTAGTCGTCGTAACACTACGACGCGTGTCAATATCTCTTTATCCACCTCAGTGACTATATGCAGCGTACACTGTAGTATTCACAGACGGGGCCAGATTGAGTGCTGGTCGACGTGAAGAGGCCATCGCGGACGATGATGGCGGCGGAAGTTGACGTTGGGTCCAGGAAGGCAGGCACATCGCGCAACGAACAAGGCGCGGGAACGCTAGTAGACACGTGTTCTGGGGTTTTTGTTCGAAATCGCCTTGTTCTCTACCATTACTTACATGCTCGTCTCCGCATCTATACGCGCCCGAAGACACCTCCATAACTTCCAACCAAGTCCGGTCCCATCATCATCAGACTGGTACTGACAATACGGACCCTCGATGTCAGTACTGAAAAGTTATGCCCGTTCATGGCCGCGTCGCGCCCCAGAACAGCGTTCTAGCACACGCAGTTTGTCTAAACGGACGTCGCAGATCCAATGTACAACACCTCGCCACCGATGTACTATCTTCAGAATCATGCAATCCTGGGAAGCGAACCGCGACCATAACTTGACATGTCCGAAAAGACCGCGGACATTCCTCGCCCCGTCCGCCCTTCGCGTCAAGTGACTGTACTGTCCTCGACGCCTGAGAGCGGCTCTTAAGGGTTATCTCATCTAGATCTTCCCAAGGACCCGACGTTGCTCAGGTAACGCAGCCTAGACGCGACTCGAGTGGCAGTTCACTCGAATCTGCTTCCCGCATTGGCCTCGTGGCCTCCGCCTTGCAATGCATCGTGCCAGACGGTGTCTCGTGTATGTCTGTGCTCCTCTTTCATGTAAGCGTATCAGGCAGAGGTGTGTATTGACCTGGGGTAAGCGACACGCGTCGAACAGCCCTTGTGGCGTCGCGCTTCCGACCCTCCCGGCGGCCTACGACGCCCAGGCGAAAGTCGCAGCGTGGATGGGTACCCCTACGGATGAGCCCCCGAACCTTGTACGCCCGGGTGATGGCTTGATTAGAATTGCACCCAGCTCTGTCTCAATGAGTACGATCTGTATTGCGGTTGGAAATGCAAGAACGTTTGGGTTTCGCTACCACAAGGCTCGCTGAATAGGAGATCGGGACTCTGAGCGGTAACGCGTTTGCGCCTCCGCGACTTATTCTACCAAGGGCGTCGTACTCTCAGCACTGCATGCGGCGACGGCATCTCGTGTTGATGAAGCCACAAGAGATGAAAATCGTTGTTGTCACGCCACCTCTTTGGACCCCTAGAGATGGCCGAGATGAAAGCAACGGTTGGCCTTTTCGACGAGTGGAGTCGTGAAGCGTGTCGAGGTGAGAAGACTATACCGGTGCCGACGTAAAATGAACGCGTGTAAGAGCCGAGACAGGATGCCACAATGCCGCAATGTGAAGCTGACATAAAGCCGTAAAGGCTTGGAAGCAGTGGCCTTTCTAGTATCCGTGAACGCATGGCTGTGGATCGTGCATGACTCTTGGCCTTATCACAAGATAATCGACAACTTCGCCCTTCTCGGCTCGCTGTCTAATGTCATGAACCGTCCGAACGTTTCAACCCCGGTCAGCACTGTTTTGACTTGACGACGCGCAGTGAGAATGGTTACCAGCGTCCAGGATGCCAGTCACCCTTCCTGATACAACCACCGTCTACGCGAGTTGCTCAGGGTTCCAGATATCGTTCGACGGGACCGCAGCCTGAGTACGCGGTGGCGCCGAATGGTAATGCGCACATGCCTCCTCGAGTTGGTGAGAAGGATTAGACCACAAAGACTCGGAACGCGACGGATATCTTCAGGTGTAATCCGCGCAGGTCCAGCCGCGTGCACCACCGCCTCACAGATGCGATAGCACAAAGGTATCATGGATGACGATAAGCACGACGCCCAAAGGCGGAGCCGGGGTGAGAGCTGACGACTGGCGTAGCTGAATGTGCTCGGGGTCTTCCGACGGTAGAACCCGCCGTCGTTGTCCCATGGTGCATATTCGTGCAAGTTGAGTACCAGTAGAGCGGTAAGTTATAGCAAGGGTACACCCGCTGTGCCGTAACCCGCGTACACCGGGACGATGGCGGGCACACTCACGCTCAGAAGTTCTTAAGTGGGGTGTGGCCTCAGACCTGCCAAGCTTATAGGAAGCAAGCGGAGAAATTAATATATGGCCTTCTGTGGCCATGCCATAGCCTCTCTGGAAGCATTCCATGGCCGGGGCCAGGAATGGAAATAGGTCAGCCGGTGCGGGTAGTGAAGTGGCTGATAGACTATTTTCCCGATGTACAGGATTTGGTTCGCCGCACCCGCCACGGGGTGATACATTCGACAATCACTTGCATGTGTCGTTTACAGTCCGCCGGAGAGATGCGGGGACGGTTTGCGGCGTAAGAGAAGCATTGCAGTCGATCTTAGTGGTCGGCGCGGGTTGAATAAGAATACGTTACCGTTCGTCGTCAGTCAGGGGCTGGATCGGGTAGAGGAGCGTCGACTTACCCACGCATAGGAAAGCTCTATCACAAGAAGCGTGGCCGCGTTATCGAAGCCTTTCACTACATGCACCGAGTCGAGCTGTATAAGCGCGCGGGCTCAGGGACGTGCGCACGCGAATCGTGGTGCTAGCGCACGAGCTTCTATTTCAACTCAGCCAGCATCGTCCGTCGGTCGAGTTTGTTCTGTGCGGTATTGCAAACGCGCCGAATGCGCTTCTAGCCCCATTGTGAGGTCAGACGGCCGCTTGAACCAACATGGATTGAGTGAAGAACATACGAGCGAGCCTTAAAGTGCGCAGTTGTGTTTGGGTACTGTCTATCAAGATACCGCCGGGTGTCGTCAGTAAAGCATCCAGTGGGTGATGATGAACAGAGACTACATCTCAACAGATGCTAAGAGTCAAGAGGTTGCTCTTCTGGCGATCGATGTGGCGAGGATCTCGGATGTTCGTTGGTTGCGATCTATAGCTCGCGATTGTGAGTGCGCAAGTGTGTCATCGGGTCTGTATTGGTGAAGGGCCATAGGGACGTTCTATTAGCATTAGGCCACCTTAACACCCCGCCCGTGTCGGGCAGACTATGTGATCTCGTATCTAGCGTTCGGGTAGCCCGACGCTAGCTGTCTTGATAGTCGCGGTCAGACCTGAAAGCAGATGTCCCAGGACCGAGTCGCATCCAAGCTTGTGGCGGACTTGCATGCTGTCCGATACGATCCAGGTTCGCGACAATGCTCGTGATGGGTACATCAGGGTAGCTCGATTGATTGGAATGGGTCAGCAATTTACTGCATTCGTTTGCCGTGACTTGGCCGGCCTCTTTCTTGGCATCCACGATTGCTGGATTCACACGGCGCGACGTCAGAAGACTAGGAGACGAGATCCAGTGTTTAAGCAAGGTCGGGCGAAGATACAGGGAAGATCGAGCGGACGAACAGAGTTCGCACAATATATTATCCGATATGGTACTGACATGACGCAAGCGTCGAGGGTTGGGATGTAAAGGATGTCGGATATGGATAGTGACGATCGACAGTCGGGAATGACTATCATCGAGATAGAGCTGGAGATTCGAGATTATCGCTTGAGAGATACTTGGGGTGTAGCACATGCACAACACAGCAAGGGAGTAGCGCCCGTGACATGAAACACTCTACATAAAGCGTGCAGGGCCAGAAGGAGACTGCCAGGTTGCACGAACGGCATGGCATGGGTAAGCGTCGAGCACCAGAATTGCAGCGGGTGGAACAAGTGGGACGTGGAAGAAAGATCCGACGCAGCCTATAAGCTTTCGCAGGAGCCATCCCCAAACGGGCCATTTCTCAGAGGTGAAAGCGAGAAGTCCAAGAGACAACTCGCGCGTCGCGCGACCGCGGCCGGCAAATGGCGATAAATTGCTGAGTCATGAGCGGTTTCGCAACCGTGATTCGGAACGCCGCGCCGAACAAAGCATTGGTGTGGGGTTGTGCTCAGCCTTTCTTGTCTCTGTTCTCCGACATAGGCGGCGACAGACAGCCGGTGTATACTACGTTTGGGCAGGGTGCCTATTGCGCCAAACCAGCGGACTTTCGTCTGCTGTGTCGTCAACGCGAATCTCGGCCTGGCGCTCACACGGACTTGCTTCGCATCTGCCAGCCTTTCCGAGTAGACCTATTCCTATTCTCAACCTTGCTCCTCGCTCTGTCCGCTCTGTCGCGCTACCGCTTCCATCGAAAACCTCCGCTCCATACGGACCTACTCCAAAAAGCTATCTGCACGTGAGTTTACTCTATACATCAGGGTAACCCCAGGGTATACATAACCTTGAGCGGGCGCCCCTCGCACCTCTCCTCCCGTTCCCCTTTGTGACACTCTCTACCCTTCGCTCCGATGAGTATCGTACTGATGCCTACCCCCCAACCTTTCATGTACAATCAGTACTATCCTGGCCAGGACTTGACGTCGGAGTCCGAAATACACCTGACTTCGCCCCAACACCAATATACTATCCCCGCGACGACGTCGTACCGCGGCTTCACCATGTCACAACAAGACCCACAGGGCTCGCGTTCGATGCAGCCACCGCCCCCACCGCCCCCCTCTGCGCCCATGCCCATCGACCCCTCGCTCGCGCAAGCTTCGATGTACCAGGGTCAATACTTTGGCCACTACCAGCAGTCTCCCCCGCACCAACATTCAACACCGCATTCCGGCCATCACTCTCAGGTCTCTCTCGCTGCCAGCCTATCCTCAGCATCATCCCCTTCCGACGCGATGAGTACACCGCCGACTGAGCCGTTCGCATTCGCTAGTCCCGGCAAACGTCCGTCTTCCGCGAGTACGGAAGGGGACCGCAAGCGGCAGAAGCAGGAGGACGACCCTTCGGCATCTCCCGTGGACAAAGAGGGTGCTCCCAAGGCTAAGCCTACGCGAGGCTCAAGGTTTGAATGTCCACTAACTCTTACCGCGCCTCTCTCACGCGCTCTTACAGGGCTTGTACAGTATGCCGGCGTCTCAAGATGAAGTGCGTAGGTGCAGAGCAAGGACCTCCATGCAAGCGCTGCTTGTCCGGTAACCATGAGTGCATTTTTGAAGAATCGAATCGTGGCAAACGCTCCTCCAAGTGCGTCACGTCGTGTATAGTTCCGCGTATTCGAACCTGAACGGCAGTCCTAGGAAGACCGAGCTGTTGACGCGCTCGCTCCGGAAGATGGAACGCACGCTTGACACTGTCCTCAAATCGATCGGCAATCCTAGTATCGCGTCCGGGATGATCTCACGCTCGCCTTCTCCGTCCGACGACATGGCCAATGGTACTCAATCTCTGCTTTCTCATCAAGACGAACAACCATTGGCAGGCCCGTCGACAGTACACTCGCAGCCACTACCACGATCGCCTAAGCTTCACTCCCTACCGGATAACAGCCTCAACCCGCTCGGCCTTTTAGCTGAGGCCAGTCTGGCCAACCGACGCGCCCAGTCGGCTCGAGGAATCCAAGATTCGACGTTGAATGGACGACCAAAGGTTGGGGTAGCAAGCGATGCATACTTCAAACCGGGTAAGTGAATCTATTTCGCCACCCGTCCTGACTACTGAAACGCATCTAGGTCCTATGACTATACTACCTCTCCGGCGTCTATTCATCGAACGCCAAGTGCAGCCCGAGATGCTATCTTTCGTGTCAACCGAAGAGGTCGTCGATCTCTTCAATATGTGCGCTTGCTCCTTTTTATCTGGTAAATAAGACCGTCGTAATTGACTAACAACTCGCTGATAGCTATTATGATCACATGAACGTATGTCGAAATGGTACCGCATGGCGCAGCCGCAAAATTAACTGTTGTTCACACAGATGCATTCGAATGTCCTTGATCGGGACTTCCACACGCCGGCTCTAGTCTGCTCTCGCTCGCCCTTTCTCCTGACTGTCGGTGTGTCCAAGTCCGAAGTTCTCAGCCGCATTACCTGCTAACAAAGGCTTTGTATAGTCTGTGCGATCTCGTCCAAGTTTTACTCAGCGCGACCAGAGCTGCATCCCAAACTTACCGAACTGGCCAAGAAGCTAGCTTGGAATGTTCCCGCGCAGGGCTACAAGTCCGTCGAGATCATTCAAGCGTATCTGCTTCTCTCCTTATGGGGCTGCGGACCCGTCGAGAGGTACGAACATGACAAGACGTGGCTCATGCTCGGGATGGCCATACGGTACGTTGTCCCATACACCATTCTCGGCGTCTGGGGTTGATTAAAGCTGCCCATAGTATGGCCACGGACCTTAATCTTCACCGCAAAACCTCCACCCACAGCGCGGAGACTGCCGAAGGCAAAGCGCGAGAGCGTGAGGTGCATAATAGGGAGCGAACCTGGTTGATCTGCTTCTGCCTCGATCGAAGCTTGAGCGCACAGATGGGCAAGCCAACGAGCATTAAGGAAGAGTGAGCCGACACATCCTATAGCTTGAATGCGGTGTCTGAGCCAGCTTGACCTCGCAGTTCCATCATCCGTGAGTGCCTTCTTTGGGTACAGTCACCCATGGCGCAGCGTGGAGATTTCTCCGTGGCTGCCTACGTAGTACGTCTGATGCTGGCGGCGCCTCCCAGTTACGAATGCTCACGTCGTATCGACAGGAATTGCAACGGATCATGTCGCGCAGTCTCGAGCTGTTGAGTTCTGATACGAGATCGTCATCTGGCCTTCTCACCGACATCGACTACATGGTTGTCCTACGCACTTTCGAGCGCCAAATTGAGTCCTGGTACCAGCATGTCATCAATGCCGACAGTGAGTCGCATAGGCGTCTCGAGATATGAGTACACACACTCACATTTCTGTCAATAGAGGGAGATGATCCCGTCGCTAAGTATCACTCGGTTATGCCCGACTTCTTCGGCAACTATTCCTTACTTGCGATCAACTCTTTTGGTCTACAGAATGCACTAGAACGTGTGCCTGTAGAGATCCCTCACTTCTTCGCTCGCGTTCTATCGGCCGCGAAGAAATGCGCATACCTGACGCGGGATATTCTTGCTCCGGTCGGCTTCTTGAAGTACGCTCCCGACTCGCATTTCGTGTACATCTCGTATGCCGTCTTGAGCTTGCTCAAGGTTCGTCGTGCTCTTCCATACACTGCATCTTGACACTTATGACTATGCAGTTGCTTCGTCCTGAGTTTCCTCTCACCCGCAACGATGAGACGGAGATCTTGAGCCTTGTAAAAGATGTTGCCGACGCCTTCGACAGCATAGCAGTTGGACCTATGCACACGCCGGCGTTGTATAGCGTCTTACTCCGAGCTCTTCTCAATTCGAGGACAGATCCGCAAGGAGCCGAGCAAACGGTAGCGTCGACTAGCGCCCAAGCGAATGGCATGAATCATCATCCGAATGAGCAGTATGAACCGAGCATGCAACCTGCGGACATTGACGGCACATATCCACCCTTGGACTACCAATTTGCGAGCGAGATGGGCCCTGTGGCGGACATGTCGACGTTTCCACCGACCATGGCCAATTCCCGCGACGATGACGGGGGTCTTGGTATGCTTTCCATGGACACCATCCTCAATGGTGGCTTCTGGGACAATGTACTCGTTCCAGGTTAGTAATGCCCCATCTCGTCATGTATCGTTCCGCTGGTTGACCGCGACGTCAAGGTTACTCGAATGCTATGGAGGGCCTTAGCGGTGGGTTTGTGTATGGTGTCGGCGGGAGCGGAGTGATCACGCCGCACTTGGGTATGACTCCTATGGCTTCGCGCGTGAATAGCCCGAGGCGTTCCGGCGAAGAGCACTTCAGTCAATCCGTCGAAGGCATGATTTGATGTTACTGTTCCTGCCGGTGCTCGCTATATCTCATAATTCATCTCGTATCTAATCTGGGTGCTTGGGGTGTTCTTCGTACTGCTGTCTGATTCGCTCTGCTCCATCTCCTATCTGTTGTTTGTCTATCTCATCACCATGTATACTAGCTACATCTCGTTCTGATGCTTGAATACTCTTGTGTCACTCACTGTTGTTCGAACTATGGCAGCCAAATAGTGCCGGGACTCGCGACTGCTGAAGCCATGACGGAAATATGATGCTGGAAGATTTGACATCAGCCAAATTCAACGTCTGGTAGAGAGTGACGTTGATTGAACGATAAGCGCTCTGCACAGTCCGCACGGGCACCATATACTTGTCGACACCAGTGGGAGCGTCTAGAGTGACCGGGCAACCGGCTTCTACTTCTCAGTCGACTTGACCGGCTTCAAGTGATTAGACGGACACGGCATTTAGCCAAGTCAGGAGCTATTGAGGCCTGGCGCGGGCACCTACATTCCTTGCTGTGAGTCGGGCTTCAGGGATCTGGCTGGCGGATATGCACAAGTTGAACGGTTCGATATATACCGAACACATGTAGTGTAGTCAGCATGCTCGTCAGAACAATGCATCATGCGGCCTGTCTGATCACAGCAGCAACAGCAATCCGTGGCAACTTAGATGATGCCCTGGGAACTTTGAGTACGGCCGGTGGGGGACCCGTCGGCAGTTGCCGAATGTCGAGGCGCCATCTCGTGAGCTGCGGTCTCGACGCGTCCTTGGTTGAAGACCACATCGACCCTTCGTCTCCGTCTCCTTTCATCTGCTTAGTATGGCTTCGAGACCGGTCAGATCCGCGGCTAAGAAGGCCAATATGAACTTTAGAGACTCTTCCGAGTCCCCGGAGCTTTCTCCACCACCCCCATCAAAGCGCGCTCGCGCAGCCAACTCGAAACAACAGCCGTCGGGACCGAATCCACGCTCAAGCAGACGCAACGGTATGTTCTACAAGCTCTTGCACAAGCTATATCCTTACGTCTCCAGGAACGCAACGCAAACAACCCACTCAACGCGCCGCATTTGATCCAGTACCAGCGGAACCACAGGCAGAGGTCATCGAGATCTCTGACTCTGATGGCGAAGAGGCACCAGTCGTTGAGCCGGAGCCGCAGACTATCCCAGAACTTATAGAGGTTCAACCGGAGAACTTTGAGGAGATGGTCTTTGTGAAGACACGGTTGGATGGTACTATGGCTAGAGACGACGAGCAAGGAGTATGGTGGCCTGCTGGCGTGCGTCTCACATTATGTGTGGTCATCATCGTGCTCACTCTGGACAGGTTGTGGATCGCGACGCGAATGGAAGTCTCAATATCTTTCTCCTTTCCGTTATTTGCCCAGGAGTGTCTAGGCACTTGACCGCGCCAGTACCTGCTGGTGAAGGCAACGTACGACCCATGCGAAGCAGTTCCGGGGTTCTATCCACAAATGTATCGAACTACCGGGTCACCATAGAACCTGGTAAACTGTCGAAATCTACTTCCAACCGATTGGATGCAGCGTTCAAGCGAGGATTGGAGCATATGGACTCGGTCGACGACGACGCGGACTTTCCCACTATCTCCAAGTTGCTCGCTTCTAACACGAGAACGTTTAGCAACAAGCGATCGCCACCTGTGACACAAGCGGGTATATGCGGTCTACTTGATTGAATCCTCCGATATTGACTGGCCTCTCATTTCTAGATACCTGGACACCTCCCGGCCCTGAGCGTAACCTGGAGATTCCCGGAGAGCTGGTTCTTGCAACGCAGGAAAAACCCGAGAAGATCCGTCCTACAACGCCATTCTGGGCTGGAAGGATCGACGCGTTCCTTCCTCCTAGAGACAAGAACACGCCAGCGAAGTATACCGTGACGTTCTTCGAGGATACTATAGATGACTTGGAGAGATGTCAATTCTATACGTCGGCGGAACCTCAGTTTGTGACGTGCCCAGTGAGCAGCGATATATTCTTCGTAGTGCAAGGTTAACCCCATCAGCTTGGACCGTTCAAAAGTAACGATACAGTTAACGACGAAGACGAGGATAATGTCCCCGAGGATCCAGATGTTGGCCAGTTTGAGCCATCCATCCCACCTCCGCCGCCAGACGAATTCGACGAACTCCCTCTGCTGCACCAATTTGCATACACGGTTCCCGTTTTACATGCCATCATCAGTGACGAGTACGAGCCGACGAAAGCTTTGCACGAGCGCTTCGAACGCGGAGGTGCCTCACGTATCAAACTGAAGCATAAATCGCCCTCGATAGGGCAAATGAAGGAGACTACCATTAAGAAGTTCTGGGGGCTCGTCGATAATTGGGCTCTGGGTCTCGAGACTAGAGTAGTGATGCCGAGCCCCTTGAGCTTGAGCGGCCGTTCGGTAAGACTGAATATACCGCTATCTGCTACCTTCTAATAAACCGATCAGGTACCACTACCTCCTTCACGTGAGGGGTCTGCCGATACTGAATGCATGCCGGTACTGCCATGTGCTACTATACCCTAAAGCTGTGCATATTGAACAGTTTGCGATAGGACTTCCCGCCATCTTCACTTCCAACGTCCTCTAGTAGGCGCACGTTCTCCACAGCCAGTTCTACCCATGACGACCTTGATTCGACTATGTCTTTGCCTTCTCGCCCCCAAGGCTGCGAATACTATGAATCCCTCTCGGACGAGGAACGACGCGAGGTATGTGGAGCAAGATCTGCAGTCGTATTCGCGGCTAACAGTTTCCATTAGTATTGCTCACTGATTCTTCACGGCGAAGCTGTCCTACAACTCCTCCTGTGGCGGGCGGGGAAACGGGATTTCCTTGGACCCGCTTCCGCAGAGGTCGAAGATGACCTCCGGAAAGAAGCTATCAAACTCTCAAAACAGGGAGATATTCTGACTCTTGTCATGGAGCTACGAGAGCTCATGAAACAGGGATCTTTATCACTCACTTCGAAGCGCGAGCCGACGCTTGTGGGACCGAGATCAGTAGGGCGCACAGGGTCAGGTACACGCTCTAGCACTCGTCAAGGATCCTTCCGGGGCTCATAGTAGTCGCTTGCTTCTCATACCGATGTACTTTATTCTCTGCAGAATCATAATTGCAACTGCATATTCAGGATTCGCTGCTTTCACCTGGGCTTTTTGATGAGGATGATTGACGAATCGCGAAGGTGCAGAGGCAGAGATCGCGATTGGAGGAAGAACGTCGCGCCGTCCTTCGTAACCTTTTACCAAGAATTGCCTCACAGCTAGTGTTCATGGGTGGCATGCGGTGCGTCGCTGTAGATGGAAGAAACTCTTCCAAGGCGCTATCGCAGCTCACTTCGAAAGAGTGATACGTCTCCCAGTACCATGCGGTCGCGCGTTCTCTTTTCCCTCTTGCCCGACTTGACCGATGGCTTTGCAACACAATCAACGTTGTCCACCGGTGTGCATATCTCTCAGAAGGCTGCGCTAGATCTAACTTGTAATAGAAACGCGCTGAAGCTTGTTGACGCCACCGACTTTACGGCAGATATCTACGAAAGTGCATTGAGGATACGGAGTCTATAGCTCTGAATCTCGACGCGAAGACCTGTCATGAAGGCTCCAAACCACCTGCAAAGGGCATCTTTACGCACCTACGGCTTACGGCAGGATGAGAGACTTCTCTTCCACTGATACAATCGCTGTACAGAGTCATGCGTGGGCGAGTACCGACCCAGTGCAGCACGCTTGTATTGATTTATTGGACAATGACGGTCGGACTTCCACGATGGCAGACGCTCATGATGAAATCACATGCGATATGACATTCATTGTCGATGGCATCTATCGCCTTACGCACTGGCGGCACAATGCAGATGCCATGTAGCGGGCGCCGGAAAGCCATACGGGTATCGACGATCTTCCATGATCTCGCATCTCCTACTGACGCCGTGACTTCGAGGACGTGAGAGCGTTAATTGAATGTAGATAGCTTAGGGAACCGAGGCGTATAACGCTCGAAGAGCGGCATGTACACATATGGGCAAATGAAGGCTACTGCAGTTGTACATTACTGGCAGTCCGCGATAGAGGTTGTCTAACAGTGAGAGTTGACAGACTGATCGTCGATGAGTTCCGAGATCGAGGGTAAACCAAGTAGGAAGAGGTTTCAAGTGCCTCCGCCTCCGCACCGTTGTCAGCCTGCAGGCGCGTGGGCGTTCCGACGCGAGGAGATGCAACACGCGGGGAGATGGGCGTGCGCGGGGACGGCGGCGCCTTGCCGTTGATTGACAGCTGGGCATCTTCCAAGCGCAGTGCAGGGTAAGAATATGGCGAGCGCCCGGTTGGTGTGTTGGGCGAGCGCGTAGGGGACGCGGGTACTCGACGCAATGCGGGAGGACCACCATGGTATGGGTTAACTGACGTGCGAGTTTGCCAGAATGATACCATGCGACGGATGTTCCGCATCCACCTCTTCGTACTCGGAGCAGAGGGAGTTACGGGAGTTGAAGGCCTGCCACCGCCCCAGCCTTCCTCCATGGAACTGGCGGCGGCATCTGCGCGCCGGGTGGCACTTCGCGTCACCTGGCGGATACACACGCGGACAACGTGTCGTAATCTCCAAGTGAGAGTCAAGAAAAGGAAGCAAGCGGATAGATAGAACAGGAAGCCAACGAAGGAGAAGCCGAGCGAGTCTCGCGAGAGCAACGGGTGGAGGTGTGGCTCGAGGTGATCCTCAATCCGATCAAGAAACCGGAACGGAGGTCGTATCGGCTGTATGGGAGCGTCTTCAGGAACATCTTGTAGAGGATCCTCGAGTGCGGGGCCCTTCAGACCGGACGGGAGAGGGACTTGATTGCTGGCCTCCAGGATCATCTTCCCGAGAGTCCATGAGATCGCAACGTCGCCCACGGTATCCATAGACTGGAAGGTCGGCTTCGTTTGCCCTAAACCCTTGAGTTCCGCCTTCTCCGCGACATCGTCGCCATGGGTGACGCCGTTTCCACCCTTATCGACGATGCGAGGCATTCCAAGACCCTCGTGAAGGATGTTGACGATCCAAGCAGCCTTGAAGCACTGAAGTTCCAGCCGAGAGACTTCGACCTTGTCGATCCATTTGCTCAAGCCGGATGCTCCCTCGGCCGCCGGAGACGTCTTCGTTGTCGCATGTTCGTGCTGCCGAAGGATCTCATTCCAGGACTGACCGCAATACTCTTGCGCGGCGCGTTCGTATTGAACGAAGTCGTAGGCGCCGCCTAATCCAAAAATATGTTCGGACGAGTACCAGTACTCCGAGACACCAATGAAATGTGAAGCGGAGAAGTCGATTGGAGGAACATGAACTCCGTCGAAGAGACAGGGAATATCGCGACAAGGTGCACCCTTGTTTAGCAAAGGCTCGGTCTCGGCCAAACAGTGGGTGAAGGACCCTGTCCCCACGAGTTTACGACTTTGCGAGGGGTCCGCGCCATGTAATAGGTTCTCGTTCCTTTGTAAGTCCTTTGGCAGACAAGGGTCTTCTACAGCTGTGATGTCCCTCGACACGCCATCCCCATGCCTCTCCAACAGCTGTCGAATGTAGCGCTCGCGCGCCTGATTTGTGCCATACCCGAGCCAGGTGGTCACGAAGACCTGATGCCTAATCTCCTCACCACCGAGCATGCGTAAGCGTATGTCAAGGAGGTTGGTGGCGTCCCCTCGCGCGCTCGGGCTCGGCTCAAAGGCTATCTGAGTAGAGGCGCCGCCCATGTCGAGAAAGCCATACGTCGTGCGATCGGAGTCCGAAGGTCCAAAGCCATCCATCAGATAGTTGACAGCCAGCCAGCCATACATTCCCTCTTCCTCTCCAGTGATTATGCGCACGCTGCGGCCACAAGGGCCATCGGCGGAGGGGTCGTCGATGCGGAAGTTGGAATGGAAGCGCAGAAAGTGACATGTGGTCTCGAGGACATCCACCTGAGCCTGTGGTGAGAGCAGACGCATACCCGCTGTCGCAAGCAGGTACAGCGGGGTTTCGGCATGAAGCGACGGGGGGACTGTTCTCCAGGCAAAGTCCAATAACGGGGCCAAATATGCGGAGATGTCCTCGACATTCTCAGCGAAGGATGAAAGCCCTAGTGCACTCGTACTCAATGAATGTAAACGCATAGAGTGTGATTATAACGAACCTGGTTCAACCTTGTGTACCCAGTCTGCGTCTACCTGCGCGCCCTTCTCGACCTTTGGCAGCATATACCGTGCCGCATCTCCCAATTCATCCCGCACGGCGACGGGGTCGCGCCAACTATATATCTGCAGGCGAGAGCCAGAAGACCCCGCGTCGACGACGATGCCAAACTTCCGCGACTTGAGCCAGGCGTCACCGGCTGTAGGAGGCGGCATTCATGTATGCAGGATATCGACGAGAACACCAGAGGGTCGCGTCCGACGCGTCGATGACCGTAAGCGGTAAGTTGTTCGCGCGTCAATATTTGATCAAAGCTTCCATCCAACGTCCGGAAAGTTGTCCCTGGCTTTCATCTCCCCCAGAGTCGGCTGCTCACGCTCCCAACTTGTAGCCAGGCTCTGAAAAGCTATGGTCCAACGAACAAGAGCAGACGGTACGCACTCCTATCATTCACGCGACCGCATCGCAAACTTCGCTCAAGGTCCTTCACAGGCTGAGCAGTTGCTCAGAGTCACATCTGGTATTGCCGCAGAGCTCATCAAGGCGCACGACTCAAATGAAACGGTCTCTCTGAATGAACTCCGCGCAAAGATCAGCAAAAAGCATGGCTTTGGCGGTGTACCGAGGCTCGTGGACATTATCAGTGCAATTCCGGACGAATACAAGAAAGCGCTCTTGCCGAAGCTCAAGGCAAGACCGATTCGCACAGCGAGTGGCGTGAGTCCTACCTCTCTTTCACACTGCTTGCAATCTGATGGTCATGCACCCAGATCGCCGTGGTTGCTGTGATGTGCAAGCCGCATAGGTGCCCCCATATAGCCATGACAGGCAACATCTGCGTCTATTGCCCTGGAGGGCCAGATTCCGACTTCGACTACAGCACGCAAAGCTACACGGGCTACGAGCCTACCAGCATGCGTGCTATACGTGCTCGATACGATCCTTATGAACAAACGCGAGGGCGTGTGGAACAGTTGAAGAGTTTGGGTCATAGTGTCGACAAGGTGCGTTGACTGAGCCCCGGTCCCAGGTCTCTGTGCTCATAGGGCGGTATGACACACAGGTTGAGTTCATTATCATGGGAGGAACTTTCATGAGCATGCCAGAAGATTACCGCAATGCATTTGTGGCGCAGCTACACAACGCTCTGTCGGGTTTCACTGGCACAGACGTAGACGAGGCAGTACGGTGCGTGGACTTCTTTGCGCAGAATGGCTCCCTGTACTTACCTCTCTATCAGATACTCCGAACAGAGCAAATCTAAGGCCATCGGTATCACAATCGAGACGCGTCCAGATTACTGCTTGAAGCCACATCTATCTCAGATGCTCCGGTATGGCTGTACGCGCCTGGAAATCGGCGTACAGTCTGTATACGAAGATGTTGCGCGCGATACAAACCGTGGACACACCGTACGCGCTGTCTCCGAGTCCTTTCATCTCGCCAAGGATGCCGGCTTTAAGGTCGTCGCGCACATGATGCCTGACTTGCCGAATGTGGGTGTGGAGCGCGATCTTGAACAGTTCAAGGAGTACTTTGAGAATCCTGCGTTCAGGAGCGACGGACTGAAGATCTACCCGACATTGGTCATCCGCGGCACCGGCTTGTATGAGCTATGGAGGACAGGCAGGTACAAGAACTACACTCCCAACGTGCTCGTCGATGTTGTCGCTCGGATACTCGCTCTTGTACCACCATGGACCCGTGTCTACCGCGTTCAAAGGTATGAAATCACCTCTTCGCTGGCCATACCTAGCTCATCCGAATTTTCATAGAGATATCCCACTGCCACTTGTCACTTCGGGCAGCGAGAACTCCGGTAATCTTCGTGAGCTCGCACTCAACCGTATGAAAGACTTCGGGGCGGAGTGCCGGGACGTCCGGTTCCGCGAAGTTGGCGTAAGTACTTTCACGCATCTGCACTGATAGCGTACGAGGCCTAACGTATGATGACTGTAGATTCATGAGATACACCACAAGGTTCGCCCAGAGGACGTCGAGCTTCTACGACGAGACTACGCGGCGAATGGTGGCTGGGAGACGTTCCTCTCGTACGAAGACCCAGAGCGCGATATCCTCATTGGCCTTCTGCGTCTACGCAAGTGTTCAGAGGAGGGTACATTCCGCCCAGAGCTCGTACGGCAACCCGGTGCAATAGGCGGTACGAGTATTGTGCGAGAGCTGCACGTCTACGGCACGGCTGTGCCCGTGCACGGGCGCGATCCGACCAAGTTCCAGCATCAAGGCTTCGGCACGCTGCTCATGGAGGAAGCGGAGCGTATAGCGCGCGAAGAGCACGGTAGTGTCAAGCTTGCAGTCATCTCGGGCGTTGGCACACGCGACTACTATCGCAGATTGGGTTATGAGTTGGACGGTCCGTACATGAGCAAGATGCTGTTGTAGCATGGGTATCGTGTGATTCGTGTTGTATGTATAGTTTTACAATGTAGCATTACTCATCGCGCGATTCTCACATCGACAAGATCTGTATCCTACTCCCCTGTATATGCCCACCGTGAGCCTGTAGCTCGCATCCCTGTGAGAGCGATCCTCGGCAAACTTGCCATGTGGCGTGCAGTGATTGGTCATAGACGTAGTAATGTGAACCAGCACCGCACATTATGGGTTGGACGGGCATGTTCCTGAGATTGGAGAGTTAATGCGAGGTATGAGGGACCAGCGCGGAGTCCGGGTGCTACCCCAGTACAACGGTCTAGACAGGTACGATGAGCAAGCAAGCCGGTATGTATGGCGCGGAAGGCTTACATGGTAGTTCGGGAAGACCAATTCTTCCTCTACGGTCTTGCGTATCACATCCTGGATAAAGCGCTCGACTCGCGTAACATTCTTGAGGACGTGTTTGTCGGCCTGACCCAGCTCGCTCTCGATGAATATGTTTGGCAGTAAACGTTGTCCGACAGGGCGTGAGCGGGCCTCGGGCTCTTCCTCCACAGGTGAATCGCCCTCCTCCGGTGTTGCGCTACCCGAGTCTCTTCGTGCCGCAGGTCCGTACGGATCCGCGCCGTCGAGTATACACAGGTGAACTCGCCGCCGAGCACCTTCATATGCCACAGCCAGTTCGCCATTGAAGTCTAGCCCGGTCACCGAGAGCTTAATTGGAAGAGACATGAACATTGGTGAGGGATAGTTGATGAGAAGGGACGTAGTGAGGGTGATACGAAGGTTTGAATGCCAGTTGATGTGCAGGTGCATCTGAAGGTTTGGCGCTGCAGAGGTCTCGGGTGCTGGCTCGGGTGGTGAAGGCGCCGCTATGGAGTCCAAAGAGTCGTTCGAAGGAGTTCGATGCATGGACGAAGGCTGAGACGCCCTGGGCGGTGTCGCTGCGAAGGAGTGTTCTGGCGGCGCAAAGAACGGCGAGCGGGCGGCCAGGTTCGGCATGCTCATGGCGCCGTTCCACATGTCGCGCGAAGGTGCCAGAGCCAGCGTGGACGAGAACATGTCCGTGGCAGATGTTGGACCACGGCCATAGCGCACATGTGGCGGGAGGTGATGGTACACGGGCGCGTCCTCCGCCGCTCGAGCCACAGCTTTGCGCGACACCCACTCAAAGTCGTCATCCTCGTCCCCTGTCCCTTCCCTCATACTAATCTCCGCCTCTTCTCCGTCTTCCCCGTCATCAGCCTCCAGAAAGTCTGGGTGTATGCTGCGCATGTCTACCAGCTCAATGTCTGGCGCGTTCGAGCCGAATTCGAAGGAGGTGACTTCCACGGGTCCTATGAACGACGGTCTTGGTATCGACTCTAGCTGGCGATTTATCATCCCAATCAGGGACTCTGCTAGTGTAGAGTCTAGCTTATGCCAGTCCAAGTCGATAGACATTGTCGCATATGGAGGGCGAGCAGGTGGCGGTTGGATGCTAACATCATGACGCGCGGCACATTGACGTCCACCACAGGCTTGCCTCTCCCTATCATCATGAACTGACCTCCTGATGAAGTTTGTTGCCCGCAGGAGATAATGCCTGTATCACTGCCACACTGTGTATCCTATGGATTCCCAAGCCCGAAGGAGCAATCGTGCAAACTACATATAGTGCCAAGATACCTACGCAAGACCGAAGAACTCGAGGTACTGCTGCTCGAACGTCGGAACCGTGTGCCCGACACCCTGCGCGAGGATGGCCTGGAAACGGGGGCCAAACGTGGAGTTCGAGTAACCAGCGGGCAAGTACGACTCGCTGACGTTCGAAATGGGCGTGGCGGGATAATCGAAGATGGCTGTCCATTGCTTGATCTCCTCGAAGAAGTTCTGCGGGTAGAGCGTGGTGTCGCTGTCATCCCGGTCAGCACAGTCAGGTTGTTGCGCAACGACGGACGTACGCTGTGCCGTGCCACACTTGCATCTTCGGGTATTCACCGGTGAAACCAGGGAAACCGGTCTTAACTTGCGCGGCCTACGCTTTGTGTCAGAGGTCACTTTGAACAAGGTTTCGACCGCGCATACCCATTGCGCGCCAGTCTTGATGAGCTCGCCCGTGGAGCACTGCGAGTTCCAACTGTCCTCAGGTTGGCCTGGGAGCGCGAAGCACCCGTAGGCAACACCGGAGTCGACCACACCCGCAGCGAAGACATCTGGATACGCGCCGGCAAGCACGGACGTCATCATGGCGCCAGAGGACGTGCCGGCTGCGAATACGCGGGATGCGTCCACTCCCCAGTTCGCGATCGCGTAACGAACTGCAGAGACAATGCCAAGGGAGTCGCTGCCACCATTGTGCGTGAGCGTCTCAGTCGAAGAGACGTCCCAGCATGTTCCGGAGTGGGGCTGAAGAGAGTATATTAGTCGGAGGAGCGAATGCGCGTCGAGCATATACTCACTGAGGATGGGAACAGAACGATGTATCCGTATGTCTCGGCGAGCTGGGCAAACTTGGTCGAGCTGAAGTAGGCCTGTGCTGTACCGGTGCAAACTATCCCGCTCTTGTTAATGATGCAACACACAGCGATGCCTGTGAATCCTCTCACAGTGGCTTGCAACGATCAAGGCAGGGTTAGCAGCGACGGTCTTTGGCCGGTAGACGAACCTATGACAGAAGTGAGTACTGAAATGAGTCGTAGTAGGCGGATGCTTACATTCCGACGTTGTTAGGATTGGTGCCGAAGTTTGTGATCTGAGTAAGAGTCGAGGCCGGGATTGAGCCGATTCCCGATCCGCTTGGTACGCTCGTCGAAGTGGGCGCGGGCGCTGCCGAGGTCGTTGGTGCCGGAGCAGCACCAGGTTGGCTACCAGGTAGACTGATAAGTATTCGCCGAAAGCTAGAGAGCGAACTCGCCATACCACTGTGAGTAGTAGGCGTTCTCCTGCACGCAAGTCGAGCCGGACACTGAACAGTGTCATCAGCCTCATACTATATATTGCTTTATCTGCAGTAGACTGACCGCAAGTGGTCGCTCCACTCCAACCTATGCCTCCACACTGTCCCCAGACAGCGGACTGTGCCATGACGGCCTGGGAGAAGAGCACGGCAGAAAGCACAGACGTCCAGACGGTAAGCTTGGCCATGGCGGATTACAGGAACGGATTGCGGCGGAGATTGGCCTCTTATAGCGCGTATAGGTCTAGAAATATGTGCCGTCTCTGTCTATCCGCATAATTAGCTTGGGCTTCTATCATTCTACCACCTGTCGTCTGCAACTAGAACATCGTCAGGCGGTACAGCACGAGCTATTGCCCATGGCACCGAAGATCTTCCTCGAACGACGGATGTCAGTCTATTATTCCGACGAATGCCTCAAAAGGCGCAATATCTCCTGGCACGCTGGATCCCGCTATGCATAGCTGCTCCGAGTTGTCTAGTCATGACAGTTTTCCCACCGGATAGGCAATGATATTATGGGGACACTCTGCGGCGAGGATGACTTACAACGAGATCATTGCGGCTTTCGCACAGCTGGCGCATCAAGAGTCGAGGAGAAACTGATCGACAATCGCTACTCCGACTTCGATAAGATGATATGGTGAGCGCAGGCGCCAGCTGGTGCACCATGGGCGTAAGCAAGGAATAAATCCGCACCAAGTGCAAACAACCCAAACGTCGACGTGACGGCGCTCGTGACAAGACGCGTGAAATGACGTCACGCGTATAGGGGCTACAAGACGCGGTGAGCCGTCAAGTCAAGAGGTCAGGATGAGCCGGCCGCCTGACCAGGTTAGATGTCACTTCACTAGTAATAGAAGCGCCATGCGGAGTCCCGTACAGTATCGACTATCTTTACGATCTGCTGGGGTAGAGCGAGGTCTACGCCTACTCGCGTCTCACCACCATGTCGACCAAACACGTCTTTCAGTCGGCCGACGGCCTTGTCCTCAGATCCCTACGCGGGGCAGCTGCTTTGAATCCGAATATACGCCTGTAATTACACATGTCTTCTACCCTGACTGTCTTCCTCATCAATATCGATCTACCGCAGACATGAACCATCAAAAACCGTATACGTCGTGAACCCTCCTTCGGGAGCACGTGTCGCCCTCGTCGCAGGCGGAGGTGCAGGCCACGAGCCTGCACATGGCGCATATACAGGAGAAGGTAAGCCCTATTTATTCTGCAATGGGCGATATGAAATCGATGACAATGTACGTAACAGGCATGCTTGCAGCGGCTGTATCCGGAGATATATTCGCGAGCCCGAGCGCCTCTCAGATTCTCACGGCGATTGAGCTTGCAATTGCAACAAGTAGGAGAGAGCGTGACTGTCTACCAGAAGTCCTTTTGATCATCAACAACTACACCGGTGACCGATTGAACTTCGGCCTCGCTCTTGAGCGGGCTCGTGCGCGTTACCCAGACTTGAAGATCGACGCGCTCGTAGTCGCGGATGATGTATCGCTGTTGCATACGGATTCCCTCGTGGGTCCTCGCGGGCTCGGAGGAAACATACTTGTGTGCAAGCTCCTAGGTGCTGCGGGGGCAGCAGGGCAAACCCTTGCCGAAATTCAAACGCTCGGCAAGGCCGTCGTCGACGCGCTCGCAAGCGTGGGTGTCGGACTCTCCCACTGTCACGTTCCAGGCCGGGCGGTGCCACAATCCGAAGAAGCCGCTTCGGAAGAGTGCGAGCTCGGCATGGGGCTTCACAATGAACCGGGAGCCCGCAAGGCTTCTTTCGAGAGTGCCGACCAACTCATCGGCGAGATGCTCGGCATGCTGCTGCAATCTCGCGAGAATGGCCTCGTGGCCATCGCGAAGCGCCCGGAGGAAACGGAGGAGACCGTGCTATTTGTGAATAACCTCGGCGGCATCTCGCAGTTGGAACTGGGTGCTGTCGTTGATGAGGCTCTTGTGCAGTTACGTGCGTGCAAACTCACGTACCTGATATGGATTAGGTGGGCTGACGCGGAATCCGTCCAGGTGCAATTGGTATACGTCCACGCAGAGTATATGCGTCGCCCTACATGACTTCGCTCAATGCACCGGGGTTCTCCCTGTCTCTGCTGAACGTATCTAGCATTAAGCGTTCCGTGCCCAGTGTGGATGTGTGCGCGCTCCTTGACGCACCGACTCAGGCACCGGCATGGTCAGGCGTCCAATCCGGGTGGCTACACAACCTTCACGATGACCGGCGTGAAGAAGCGCTTCTCGCAGAGCTCAGAACGGAACGCGGGGTGGTGGGGTCGAGTCAAAGCGAGCAAGCTCAGGTTAATGGCGGTTCGTACTGGCGCGAGGCCGATGTATCGATTGCCCGTGTTGAAGCGGCCATCCGCGGCGCCTGTGAGGGTGTCCTGTCGGCGACCAATGACATGACGGACTTCGACACCGTCGTCGGCGATGGCGATTGTGGCGAGACCTTCGCTGCCGGAGCTAAAGGTGGGCATGTACCATGCAGTCAAGTGAGCCACGCTGACTCGCCTGGAAGCGATTCTTCGAGCTCTCGAAGATCAATCATTAGAAGTTGGTAAGGTGAACCCGCCACAGCTCGCACAGGTCTTCGGGGAGCTCTGCGAGAACAGCATGGGCGGTACTGCTGGGGCAAGTGAGTAGTTAAGCAGACTCATCCCAAAGCTCAAGCTACTAACCTATTCCCAGTTCTGGCGATCTTCTTCACCGCCCTTGCAACAACGCTTCCAGCGCATGCAGGCGACCCGAGTGCATCGTGGATTTCGGCGCCTAGTCGTGCTCTTGAAGAGCTTTCGGCTCACACACCGGCGCGGTCGGGAGACCGAACGCTTGTCGATGCTCTACACCCTTTTAGTATCACGTTAGGTGATACTGGGGATATCCGAGCCGCGGCGAAGGCAGCGCGTGAAGGCGCTGAGGGCACTCGAGACATGCGCGCGCGCCTCGGGCGGGCCGCATACGTTGACGGTACCACGATGAAAGGACTGCCGCCGGATCCCGGTGCTTGGGGTATCGCCGCGCTGGTTGAAGGGCTCTGCAATGGTTGGGAGGGTGGCGCTTAGCGCGTCGTGATGGCACAGAAAGACGACTGCAATTGAAATAGCATGTAGAAGTACACGTCACCGTAACAACATCAATTAAGAATCCGAGTCTGATGATATTTCCATGTCTGATTCGCCCTCGGCGGAAGCGCTGGTTGTGAGAATATCGTTCCGGACGTTTTCTGTAGGAGGAAGAGGTGGAGGTGAGCTAATGGGCAAAGGCGGGGGAGAACCGGGAGGAGGCGGAGGAGGGGCTAAAGATGGAGGGGGAGGTATCGTAAGCAATGACGGCGAAACAGGGTAGAATGGCCGAGGGACAGCCATCAGTGAGATATTGATGCCCATGGAAGGCAGGTGTCGTCCGTCATAGACAGGGAGTTCGTCACTAAATGGGTAGAATACCCAGCGTCGTCGAGGTGGGAACATGTAAGGTGGCCTTCTGGTACTGGGCATGCGCTGTTCAGTCACCTCGCAATCTGGTGTAGGTGCCGCCTCGAGGGGCTTGATGGCATTGCTCAAATCAAGAAGTTCGACCTCAGCATCGCCAAAAATGAATAATTTTGAAGCACCGCCATCTTGTCCGCCAGTCACGACATGGTGCTGTAGGAAGACCATGGGGTCATACGATGAGCACCAGCCAGGCGGATATCCCCACTGGGCCATATTTGCCAGCCATGGTGCATGATAACCACGATCGCGATAATCAAGTAGGCCAAGAGCATCGCGCAAGACGGTGCCCCGCACCTCTCCAGGAGAAAACGTCATGAGCATTGCGAGGCGCCGCTCTATGCTCGAGTGGCCGGTGAGGGAGCCCCACGGAGAGTTCAATAGGCCGTCTTCTTCGAAGCGCATGCGGGCGGACGCGATGCGCTGCCTGTCACGTCGCTCGGTACAGGTTTGCAGGCGATGCCCCAATTCGCCACAGTTGAAGCACCGCATTTGCTCGTCATCCTCGGGAGCGTTAATGGCCCCAAGCGGGTGTTCAGAAAGCTGATTGTATAATGGAGGAGTTAAATGCGGGTCGTCTGGCGAAGCGAAGAGTGGATCCTCCTGCGGACGCTCTGCCGTATCAACGCGCATCTTCCATTCACGATACAGACGATCTTGAGTGCGCTCTGAGACGCCGTCATGACCATGTGTACTGAAAAGTGTAGACTCCGGGCCCTTATCTCCGTCATTCATGGCTTCTCCTTTTCCCAGTTGTCAAGGGCTGCATGCACACTCGCAGCGTCCCAGCGTCCCTTCGCCACCTCCTTGCCCTCCAGATGTAGGACGGGAATCCAATATACGTACTTGCGTTTCCACCGTTCTTGTCCGGAATCCTAGTAGCAAACGTTAAGAGCTGCAAGCGTCGTAGTGGTACACAATGTAACTGAACGTACCTGTATATTCACAACGTCGAGACTGAAGGGCCGAGCTTTCCTGACCTTCGCAAGCTCCTCTTTCGCCACCTGCCAGTAATTCGTTAGCCACGGTAGGGTATGTCGTCTTTTTGAGACTCACGTCACACAATGAGCAATTCGGACCCGAGTAGAGTGTAAGGCGGGCGAGACGGCCGATGGAAGGAGGAGGCATCGTGGGTAGCAGGAAGTGGTTCCGCATGAACTGAATCGTGACTTGTCTTTCGCGTTCGTTCACACCAGCGACTGCGTCGCGTCCGCACAGTTCTTCTTCGGCTTGCATCTGGCGCATATACCCTATTTTCTGCCCATGCGCTTCTAATGCCACTGCCCGACCCAGCATGGAAGAAGAAGAGTGCGTGTGTTGTTTCGTGAAACCGTGCGGCCGTTCTGACATTGGGCAGCGCGTCCGTGTCCGTTCTACTCGCAGGGCCGTTGCCTGTTTGCGGACTCGTGCAACTTTCTGCATCAAGTCAAGATCAAGGCTTCTGTCGACCCAGATGCGCTCTCACTCGCTCGCAGTCGCAACGGATTGCCCGTCGTGACAGTCGACTCTCCCATGGCGACGCGTTCACCTCCACGTTCACCTCGCATGTCCAGCCTTTTGTCCGTTCTCGAGGGCGTCATCGGCCCGGACGACGCGTATTCTGTCGACGAGGAGGCTTTTGGGAGCAAAATAGATTCGGAACGAGTGGCTTCAACAGCCGGAGGACTAGCACTGTCAGGAATGAACGCCCAGTCCCGTCGACCCGGTGAGATGTTTGGATACACTGCTTTTCTGTTCAGCGCTCATACTCTTTCACAGCCAATGAAGAGACGCCGACGGCTCGTTCAAAACTCATTAGCACAAAGCGTCCTGCTCCACTGAATCTCAGTCATTCGGATGTATTCCCAGCGTCGAACGAGCAATCTCCAATCCGGCCTGCTAAGGACGATGCTCGTAAGAGCAACGAGACCCTCTTGCTCTCCCCGGTGGACATTATCTCTGGCGCTCCCTTGGGTGTTCCCTTCCCTCATGTTGATCTCGACGACGCTCTGAATCGCGAAGACTCATTGGACTCGACGTCTTCTGAGAACTGGGTTGGACCCGTACCTCTTGCTTTGTCTCCCCCACGTTACCGTCCGGCCTCTACTCTTGATCTACTTGCATCTCCTTTTGGGACTCCTTCCAAGCGTGCATTCCCCCCTGGTCTTAGTCCCTTACCCTCCCCGCGATCGCCGCATTCGCCGTCACGCTCGCCGTATTTTCCCGCGGTTCAGGCCACGCCCTTACACGAACGTCAAGCATCAATTGATTCGATCGACGAAGACGTGCCGTCATTTTCATTGCACCAACAGCAGCAATCCTCGGACTCGAGCGTGGGAATTCACAGCGACAGCTTCGAGTTGATTCGTCCGCCTCCCGGTAGAGGCGAGGTTGGTTCGCAATTGAGGGACCAGAATGCAGCTACTGCTTCTCCTACATCAAAGGGTTTGGACGACACTTGGGACGAGGCATTCACTTCAAACTCGTCGCACGAGCACCTGTCCCTTCCTGATCCCCTTGCCTCAGCTCCCGCTCCCGAAGAGGCCGGGTCCCACCTCGAGATACACGTCTTGGATGATGTACCCCGCACCGCATCATTCAATGCTCGCTTTTCGCTCGCTCAGGTCATGAAAGAGTCATTGGTGAAGCGACCACATCGCACGTGGCAGGATTTGGCGCCAACACTCCAAGAAGTGGATGAAAGCATGGATACCATCGGTTTCGCGGACGTCAGCCAATCTTTCGAGGGTAGCGAGGCTCTGCATGGGCATAAGTCTACGGCTCCGGACAAGTCCTATAACGGAGATGTGCACTCGGACCGCCGCTCGTCTCCGTATCAAGATGACGCACCGTCCCTAAGCGGTAACCCATCTCTAGCAGAGAAGTTGTCCCCCACTAGGACGCCGTCTGCTCAAGAGGACGTTATATTGGAAGGCGACACGTCTCCCGGTGGCAGCCAGTCTCCTAGTGAAGGCAGACCTCGGGCCGTGTCAGAGTTGACATTGAAGCCTAGGCTCTCGGCGTACGGTTTTGAGGAGGACGCGGAAACACCAGATGCCAGGCCTTCGCTTGCATACTTAGAGCCGAGCCCGACATTGCCGGAGCCAGCGCTGGATGACACGATCAGCGATATGCTGGACGATACGATCACAAACATGTATGACACGTACACCTTCTCCCCCGAACAGGCTGCATCCAAACGCATGTCGTGGGTGGCAGCGCGTCGAGAGTCCTTGCCATTCGGTCAGCCGGTCACTCCTGCAGCCCGTGACGCCCAACCCTCTGCGCTCAATACAGACGAATTTGAGCGAGCTGTCATGGAGGAACTCGCATTTGACGACAGCGACGGGGGAGGTTCAAGCTCTCGACAGCGCGTACGCACATCTTCGCCTGCAACATCCGCCAGTTCACGCTCTTTATCGCGCTCGGGATCGATATCTTCCCAGTCAGCGTTTCGTCGTCCTCGGTCCCTGCTGTTCCCTACAGCCGATCTGATCGGAGGCCGCACTTCTTCCCCATCGTCCGCCTCAGTTGACAAGGGTAAAGGGCGAATGCAGGAAGACGTCACGTTCAACGATAGCGATGGAGGCAGCTCGGAGTCCTATCAACATGTATATACGTCGTCACCTGCCGCCTCGATCAGCTCTCGCTCCGGTTCGCGCCCCGTATCCATAGCCTCTCAGTCGGGAGCCCGTCGCTCCTTCTTGCTCGCCAATAAGGGCATCCCCGATGGCCGCATACCTTCGCCATTATCCGCCTCATCCAGCGATAAGGGCAAAGGACGCGCTTCTCCGTTACCTTCATCCGCGGTATCTTCCGCTGCTTCAACGGAAGCGTCGAGCAAGAAGGTTCCATTCGGCTTCCGAAACTCTTTCAAGGTCAGCTTCTTGCATGAGAGTTCGCACAAATTGTTAATCCTCTCGTAGGGCAAGCCAATACAAACTCGCTCTCGGCCCGCCAGTGTCATAACATCGGTCCACACTCCTAGCAGTCGTGCTGGATCTTTAGCCGACGCGGATGTACCCCTCTCCAGCAATCTTCGTCCACTTCGACTCGTGAGTGGACCCATAGCTTTTCAGCCGACTGGCAGTCTAATATAAGTGCACTTTCCAGTCACGCATATTTGATTCCGGTCTCTCCTTGCCTTCATCTAGTCGTTCCAGTGCTGTCTTTATCTCTCCAACTCCTAGAACATCTCTCGTCCAAGCCCACAGTGCCCCATTATCGCATTCGCAATCGGTGAGTACACCTCATGTCTTCGACTTGCCTGAGATGATCAATATCCTGTCTACAGCTTTCGTCCGCTCGCTCATCATTGATACCCGACGCATACGACCCTCATGATCTGGATAACATGCTCCCGCTTTCGCCTCCATCAACATCACACGCTCCGCCGCTCTCCGCTCCTTTACAATCTTGGCGTGCCGCTGTGCGCGCGTCTTCGCACCCATTCGATGTATCTCGTCCGTCAAGTCGACTGTCTGAACCTATTCATACCATCGCGGAAGATGATGGCGACCTGTCTGATGGCTCTAGCGATGCAGTCGCTGACGTGTCGACGACAATACGCCGACCGCTACCGCTCAGTATTTCCACACATCGTGCACCGGCATCGGATATTGGACATGACGCCCCGCCTACGCCTGCGACATCCGCGCCTACCCTCATGTTCGCTATCGCTAGTGACGACCCGATAGCCGTGCGCGCGGTACTTGAGCGAGGCGACGTAGGCCCGAACGACGATGTTGGGCCGCAGTCGGCCCTCGCGTTCGCGTTGACGGCCGACGGCCTCTCCCACCGTTCCGAGATCGTGAAGACACTACTCGCGTTCGGCGCAGACCCGGCGGCTCTTGCAGACCCCATGCGCAACCCGCCTCGACGAGAAGACGCCAGTGAAGACAATGACTTCGGCATCATGAGCCCTCCACGCGCAACCTCGTTAGACGGAATGGACCCTGCCACGCGCTATTACATTGCACGCGCAGGTGCTAACAATACTCGGCGCGCTTCTGCGCTCATCCGTCGCTCGTTCTTCCGGCCGATCACTCGCGCCCGCTACGACGTCGTTGGCCAGGACCGCGTTTTCGAACAACTCTTTCTTGTGCTCAATCAGCACTCGCGCGCCCTGGCTGTCGCCCCTCTCGTCGTCATTCTCTGTGGCCCGAGTGGCCACGGTAAGAGCTTGCTCGCTCGGAAATGTTCGTCATACGTCCAATCATCGGTGCTTACCCGCTGACATACCGTTTCAGTCGCATCCCTTCTTGATGTTCCCGCGCATACTGTGAACGTGACTACATTACAGTCTACCCATGATCTCTGGCAGTCGCATTCTATGAGCCCGTATGAAGTAAGTGTATCATGATCTGAGCTGAAGACAGGGCTGACGGGATTTGCCAGGAACCGTCTAGTGATACTCTCGCGCAATTCCTGCAAAGGAATGAGGGAAAGCGATGCGTTGTAGTGCTGGATGTATGGGCGGCCCTTCTCTTCTATTGATCGATGCTGACCATCACAACAGGAAATAGAGAAGACTGACGACCCTAAGGTTCTCTACCCCCTGCTTATGCCATGGGAACTCGGACGCTGCTCGCTCAAAGCAGGGGATCGTCATGTGGACGTCCGCAACGTTGTTTGGATTGGAACCTCCAACGTCGGCCATGACCTTGTCTTCGATTATGAGCCATCATCTCGCGGGTCTGACGGGAGTATGTCGCGCGCCGACTACGTGAAACTTACAGACCTTCTCCGACCAAAGGTCTCCGAACGTCTCGGGGTAGGTGGTGATGTCGTTCCTGCCGGACAACTCTCGCTGATCGTGATCAACCATCACACAGGCTTCCCTTGTTTCGCGCGTTACCTCCGTGCTACCGTTTGTGCCTTTCACGGACGATGAACAAATGGCGATCGCGACAGAGGCGCTTTATAGCGTGGGCGGATCCATCGTTGCAGAGATGGACGTCGACCGTGTTGCCCAGGCTGCACGTTCCGCACTGTCCCGCTACGTACACAGTGAAGGCGCCCGCTCACTGTACCGTGCGGCCTCCGCAGTCCTCATGGAGATAGACCCCTTGGACGACGCAAATGGAGAGGATATGTATCTATAGTATTCCATATTGCAAGGCAGTGCGCCTAGTGCAAGGCCAATTTATTTTGAGCACAACTACTAGACCCCGTGCCAGTCTGGATGTTTTAACCACAACGTAGATGTTTCCGCACTGCTGTTCAATAACTTCATTTCTCAATTGATCGGCAGCGACCGCCTCCCTCTCTGTACGCGACCAAGGCACATGGCACGACGGCACGTCCCCATCGAGGTCCATCTTGGTGGTATCTTTCTGAGGTGCACGATGGCCAACGTGCTATCCTTTGATCGCAACTCCCGAGCCAAGAAGTGCAATAGAAATTAAGAAACGTTTCCCCTCAAGCTCCGCACCTGATATTCGCCCCGGTGGTCGGCTGTTCTTCCCGCACCCGCATGTTCTGTTGGTAACTTGACCCTTTCAGCTTTGCCATCACAATCGACCACCGACATGATGTAGCTATGTTACTCCTGTTACTCACCATCTTCCTTGGACATGCCCCCTTCTCAGCGGTCAGTCCCATCATAGCCTATATGCATAGCAGGGCCGGCTGACCGGCTTCTCAAGGAGAAGCGCAGTCGGGAATCCAACCTCTGATTCAGCATCAGCTCAGGATCATCAGGATGGTAAGGTTGAAAATCTTTAGCGCTTAAGCCACAGAGAGCACCGTGCTCTCGAATCAGTACCATCTGCGTCTGATCATCTTCGGCTCGATCCCCGTATGTGAGTATAAGACGTAGGGCATGCGAGTTCAATGCCTCTTTCCCATCCCCTGGGTGATTTTTGGTGGGGTGTCCTTTCATTTGTACCATCCTGTCTTTTCCTTTCGTGACTAGTCACAATGTCTCTGTCCCCTCTTGCTATTGGTCTTATTGCTGGTCTCGGTGGCGCGAGCCTGCTGTTCCTTGGTGCGCATCATGCTGTTCGCCATCTGGAGATACAGCTTCCTGAACTATAGCAGCCATCCTTTTGACGGTCCTACAACGACGCAAGAGCTCCGCCACGAACAGTACTTCACCAGCGGGCATCGAAGGAGGCACCGTCGTGCCGCCCACGGTGCCATCCGTCGTTCCACTCAATGTCGCTCAGCAAACTCCGCGGTTAACAGCCAAGGCCCAAGAGGTTCTCGCCCTCTCGCCCTCATCGATACCCGGAAGTCCATACACGCCCTCCTCCCCTCCTCCCATTTACCAGGCACACAAGATGAGCGACTCGTATAGCAGCTTGGACAAGAAAACGCTGCCCATATCTCCTCCCACCATTGTGACGAACCTCTCACGCTACTCTGGCGTTGTCTCCTCGCCGTTCGGAATACCTTTGAGCCCTATCCTCGCGAGCCCTAATCCCCGCACGGCGAGCTACAGCTCAAAGGTGTCAAGCACGATCCCGTCACTTCGTCCAAGTGTTGCCGCCGAACTTTCAGGGTCCTGGCTACCGCGATACATGACCGTATGCGCGACCTTCACGCCCAGGGCAGAGGACGAGATGCTCATCACTCTCGGCGAGAATCTGCGCCTTTTGGAGATATTCGAGGATCAGTGGTGTCTGGTGCAGCGAGTGGGGAAACTCGAAGGGGAACTCGGCGTTGTCCCGACGTTTTGCTTGGCAGATCCTCTACCAGTGAAGGATTCCAAGGCAAGACTGCAGGTACCTCAGCCGCCCTTTCTTGGAAGTGGCCATCCTCGAGCGACGTGAACGCCTCATGCGGCGGTTGTGCTATCTAGCGCAACCAGTTTCGTCAGCACTCTCCTAGGATACGCCTTGAAGAACGGCTATTTCGCCTGGTGAGCCGATGTCACGCTATTCCCCATTCCATACTCAACCTCAGAGTAGTGTTCTTTGACATTTGAGGCCAAAGTCAAACTTCTTCCTTTGACGTCTTGTACCACCTCGACCGTCTTTACGATTGTACAATCCGACCCAGCGCCACCTTTTCTTCCCTTATCGGCCTGGGTACTGTCTTTGGATGTATTTATTGTAGCCGCAGACTACCTGTGTACGCCTAGCTCCCAGCCGAATCCCATGAGTGATGTTGAACTGTTTGGCGGGGCTGGCGCAACGGAACCCGTAGTCCAGATCGAACGCGGTGATTATGTATTGAGTAGCAAGGCAAACAACGAGTAAGGTAACGTAAGGCAGGGAAAGACTCGTGCTACAGTCCTTCACTCATCCTCGGTCCACCGTGCCTTTCGCTTGTACCTCGCTTGGTCCCGGAGCCACTGTAGTCTGGATGAGTATCGTGCGGGCAGCTCGTCTGAATAGAGAACGCACCTGTCGGTAGTCTTTCAATGAACCTATCTTCTCACCTAGAAGGCCACGTCAGGCTAGAGAGCAAGTGCGAGTCGAAGAAGGCGCACCATAGAAGTCCGGTACAGGGTTTGTGGCACTCTGCGAGGTGGGATCCACTCTATTCTTCACAATGTGTGCATGGAATTGGCGATCCCGAGCTTCTATCAATGACATGGTACGCCTGTGAGTAGTGCGCCAGAGTTGAGATCCAGCTATGGGCCCTATGAGGTAACCAAGGCCTGTGTGTGGTCATAAGGTGGGCAGACTAATGTAATATAACCTGTCTACGCACCCATGCTGGCGAATGTTGCCCCGCCAAAGAAAATCATAGGGTCAACACCAAAAATAGGCTTTGTTGGATCCATTTCGAGAGAGCCGAAGTAACTCGCGCCTCCTACGAGGCCCGCAAGTACGCAGGGCACGGTCATAGCCTTCAAAATACGCGCAGTCAGTTGATGAGGCATATGTAGCATCATGTATCACGTACCATTTCCCATTTACGCTTCTTCTTTCGGATAGACAAGTAATCCGGCCATGACAGCGTTTCGGGCGCCTCCGCCGCGGAGGTTGATGCGAAGCGAGCACCAGTGACTGCGGTGCGCCGGGTGGCTACAAGACGAGCACCATGCAGACGCAGTGGTTGCGAGAGTTCGTGATACACCTGTCGCGACATACGCGCGAAGTTCGGAGACAGGTGAGATGGAAGTGGGGAAGGACGTGATGTGCGCGTCAAGCGCTTGAGCGCGCGCGCTGACCGGGCCTCTCCGGACCGATATGCCGAAGTCGACCAATATTGCCTCAACCAGTGCGGGAGGTGTTTACGTAGTCACTTCGTAGATTCTATTTTCGCAGAACATTATGGCTATGAGATCGACGCCGTGAGATTCACTTCGGATCCACTGGGACAAAAAGTCTATAGTCTGTGATACTACAAATTCATACAGATATTTTACAATACTTTTCATTATCGCGTGAGAGGTCATACTTCTTCCTGGGGTGCTTTCTCCGGTACACCCATCGGAAGATCCGGGGCAAACCTTGACCTTGAACGCAACTTAGGGCCATACCTGATGAGAATGAACGGGATAGGAATCATGAGAGCCGCAAAGCATCCTAGCAGTGTGCATGCCCAGCGAGGGTTCATCGCCTGGAACATCTGGCGCGCAAAAAGAGGAAAAACGGCGCCGAATATAGATCGGACGATCGTGTTTGCGGAGAGCGCAGAGGCGGCGGCGAACAAGTACGTGTCCACTACGCATGATCAGGACAACAATCGAGCACGACGCTACTTCGGAGCTCACCGATGTAGTTGAATAGCGTAAAGAATATCCTGAAAGTCCTTTAGCAAAACGGAGAGACAGACGTGCATATCAAGACTCACAAGAGGATGCTAAAACCGAGTAACCCACCCATCATCATTGGTGCCCAGTAACTAATCCAGCTATAAGAAAGCCAGCCGAACGCGAAAAACGATATCGCGAGAAGGGGTGCAGCTATGAGCGTCGATTCCAGCCGCTTCTCAGGCGGGACTGGATTTGGTGCGTAGTGGTCGACGTATCGCACATAACGGGGATTGAAGAAGATCAGATACTGTAGGACGGGTTAGCGAAACTGAATCGTGTGACAGATTGAGAGCCGCACAATGAAACATCCGAGAACGCCTCCGATGAAGATCGGTAGGAACATTAATCTAAAAAGAGCGTGTCATTGGCAGGATGATTGCACGCAGAGGAGGAGCCTACCCGGACACCCCGGGATTGAGACCGTGACCCTCAGTGAAGACTAGACTCCCTATTAATCGAAGTGAAGGGCGGTCGTATAAGCATCACGCACCTATCGGATAAGCTTCAAATAGCAGGTAGACACAACCATACACGAACTGAAACGTGTAATCCGTCAGTACGGAGCAAACCCACACGGCGTGGGATTACATACACTCATGTAGACGGTCAATGCCTGGAGGATGGGCTCCTTAGCCAACATCTCGAAGGGAGTGCCGAGCACTTTCTTTACGCGATGAGAGAAGGTTTGTTTATCCGCCTGAAGTGGCGAATAGTATCGCGAGTCGCCGGTTTCTTTCCGCAAACGGTGCGCCTTACGAGTAAGTAGGATAGGCCTACATTCACCATGAGTGATCGGAACATCGGCCATACGTTGATTATGGCAAGAACTCACGCGTAGGTCTCCTTCAATGTAAGCACGATGAGGGCCAAACAGACGCCAGCGAAGAGAGTGAGAACCCAGAAGATCCATCTCCAATCAGTGCCGGACTGGGCAATCCACCTATAGAGGTGTAAACCGATGGATACATGCAGTACCTAGAGGAGTGCACCTACCCGGAAACAGTGGGGCCAAGCGCAGGGCCAGCAAAGCTGATGTCTCTTTAGTATGTGCTTCGTTTGAACATCTTGCCTAGCTCACTCACGGTGCGACAGAGAACACTAAACCCCATTAGAAGATTTACTCACTGAAAGAGCGATGACAGACTTACTTGTCATTGCCTTTCCGCGAGTTTTTGCATCCCATAGATCGCTGACAATGGCACTGCGTATAGCTTAGTCATCGTCGAGGTTAAAAGAACGCGGTATACGACGCACCCGCTGACGGTCAAGGGAGCCGAGGCGAACAGGCCGCCAAGTAAGCGGAACACGATGAGCGAGCCAGTGTTGGGACTAAGCGCGCATCCAACTTGAAAGCCCTGATTCACTCGTAAACGAAGTTATAATCAAGGCGGACGAAAACACTCACGGTGTAGAAAAGAAACGATATGATCAGAATTGGCCGCCGACCAACACGCTCACTGGGGAAGATCAGACCGTTGATCGCGTGCATTAATGATAGCTACGCACCTTACAGGCCCCCACACAATTGGGCCAACGCAATACCCAGCGACAAAAACTGCGATTATAAGCGACCCAACCTCCATACCGAATCCCAAGTCTTGACCGATCATGGTTACTATCTCGGATGGTGCTGAGCTAGCGAAAGTACTACAGCGTAGCGTTAGCCAACCGCAGTAGTGACGTGGATATGTGACGCACGCATTCAAGACGAGGAGGCCACCTAACGAGGTAAGATACCAGCGGCTTGACCGGCTCCAAGTCTGTCATTGAGTGAGTCTTAGAAGGCGAACATATGGTATACAGGTATGCACCTTCGGATTGTACGCATCCTGGTCATCAAACTCTACCAACCAAGGATCCTTTTCCTCCCTTGACAAAGTCCGAGGCTGATCGTCTCGAACTCCATCTCCCGCTTCAACGAGGGTACGGTTGTCCGATGAATCACGGACAGACGCGGATGCAGACGGGGCTATGCTCATCGACATCTTACAGAGCTACAGTCAAGACGAAGTGAGAAACGCAAGCCTTGAGCCACGGCGTCCGGGTATATGAGGCCCCCACCGCGAAGCTGAGCAAGGACCCACGGCGAGAACGACACGGGATGCGTCATGCCCTGTTGGAGACAGTGGTCGGCCCAATTTTGTGCTCAACGAATCATCTAGGTCTCAGCAGAACCCCTGCTCCACCTGCAAAGTCAGCCTGCCCATATATATCCGGACCGCCACTGGAGTCGCCACGACTCGGCCAAAGGGCAGTATAGGACTGTACACACCCTGACATAACGACGATATTGACCTATAGAGCCCGTCATATTTCTCTTGCGAGAAAGTTCTGACGGCGGGAGGTAGACCTCAGCAAGTTGAATATTGGGCCGCCGATACTAAGCGGCGATTATGCAGCGTGGAGCTATATCACAGATCATGTGCCCTTCTCCCAGAGCTGAGAGCCATCTGGATCGCCCTCCTCATTCGCACAAGATGGCACGTCGAAGCGCTGAATCCCTCTGGTCGCGTAAGCTGGCGTCATCGCAATGTAAGAGTATAGCAGCACGACTGTAACGTATTTGTGCGTCAGGCCATGACAGAGAGAAGTGAAGAGCTGGCACGGATGACGGACCGAATCAACGCGCCACGCGATGAGCATGCGACGCGGCGCGCGGCGCGCACGGTGCACACAAACTTGTTCTCTCTCCCTCTGCACGAACATCACCTCTCAGTAGAGGCGAGTCGATAAGCGTATGCGACGGCGCAAGGATGTACTCTTTTTGGACTCAAGTGACAACAACCCAAGTACTCCTAGCAACTTGGGACACGAATGGCGCGTGAGCCACCACCATCATCGCGCTCAGCATGGCCGGGCTGAAATCACTGTCATCTAGGACGTGAGGGTCGCCATCACGGCTCAGGTTCTTCACATGAAGGCATCGTCTCGGCGGCGATGTCGGTCTATGTGTACCCTTATCTCACAATCCACCTGTACCGAGGGCGCAAAGGCGTGCCCACGGGAGATATGATACCCAATCTTAGTGATCGTTCAGTACTTGACCCTGCTGGACTGGCGCTTACGAGCGCTACGAATCTGCGGCCGGCTTTGCGCGCTAAGCGTTAAGCCGTGAGCGCCCGTTCTGTCCACACAGGCCTCCCAGAGTGCAAGCGCGCCGACCTGACTTCCGTCGACCGCTGTCCTGGTTGCTACTATCTGCGGAAAGATGTTCTCTGGTGCGTCCTACAAACCTAGATCGGGCACAGACTTGGATCATGAAGCCAGTGCGCCCATGGCGGTATACAATTGTCAATACGCCGGCAAGATGTCTCCCTGATGGTTGATCTGGCCGGTGACTTACCGGTGACTTAGATTGTCTGTTGATCCAACTCGGTTCCAGGCACGTCCGGCGCTTTGCCACAGCTGGAGGGCCACATACTCCCAGTCCACCTTCACCCCCAAGGTGGGTTTCTCATTATTGAATCCACACCCCATCTCTTATCATGCCCCGAATAACCTTTCATCATTTACCTCTCGATGCTCATGACGTCTCGGCCTATATCACCAATGTTGCGTCGCAGTTGAGGCCGTTGAGGATGCGTCATACTGGTCGTACACCTGTGACCGCTCAATCAATGCATGATCGGCCGTAAAAGAGCATATTCCCGTCGTCATTCTCCTGCATTCTGAGCATGAGGCTTGGAGTATACATTCTAGAGATATCCAGGCTCTACTCCGTGCTTCTGAGCCAGGGCTGCGAAAGCCGAAGACGCTGTTGAGGTATGACGTCCGCAGCGACGGCATCTGCGCTTTGTCGGGTTTGTAGTGGACCCACCTGCTCTGCGCGCAAATGCAAGTGGCTCAGGAACCGCGAGAAAAAGGTACTGCGGACTATCTGGAAGTGCTCTTCGGGGAGTGCTCGGCGAGCGAAAGTCTCAGCAAGGCTGACGATTCCGTCGGTGTACGGATACCGGATCGAGAACGCGTTCGCTTTGAACTCGATCTGCGCGAATATGCAAGGCCACACTGTACGTGCAGGGACAAAATTGACGAAGGACTCTTACCGATACTCGGCAGTGCGCTCCGTGCGACTCTACATCAGAGGAGCGTGCCCAGGACTCCAAAGTATGCATACCTGCGTCGGTCCGCGTCCGCGTCCGCCGCTTACACGATACATTCAATACGTCTTTCTTCGTCTTCCGAGGAAGACGGGAGGCAGCGGTCTGCAGTGGCGTACGAAGAGCTGACAAGGCGCGCTAATCAGCGGTGCAGCTTCTCTCTATGAACCCAAACTCCGAGTATAGACACGCAACAGATGAGGCAACATTTGCACAAGACCCAGCTCAGTAGACCAATGCTTACTGATCTACCTGTCCTAGGACCGATAGTGAGCGGGGACCCCTTCTCGGGCTTAGAGAAGGCTTACATAGATGAGTGCTCTCGATCGCGCAGGCGTTAGCGTACAAGGCCAAGCTCTGATCCCAAAAGTTATCGGATACGAAGAGTAGTAAGCTGCCTGCGAGAGCGTGAGACAACACAGACGCAACCTTGTTATCGCACAACGCGGTTATCTCGGTAGAGGCGCTTGGATGGAATACGTGTCCGAAAGCCGAGAGCAGATGCAAGCCGAAGAAAGCACGAAGCGCGCATGCGCCACTCGATGTGGCATCTCTGGCGCCAGGCGAAGCTGTCAATCCACCATGCGTAGACCCACACGGCGCAAAGACGCGTATTCCGCTTGCCGCTCGGTGGTTCTCGGATGTCCAACCTCTGTAGACCCACGCGCCCGCCCTCGTGCCACACCGCGCGACGGCGGGAAATCCGGGCTCGGCTGGACACCGTACCATCGCCGCGAACGTTCGACGTTAGACCTCTTGTCGTGCGATGCGCGGGCGCCGTGTAGAGACGCTACATGGATTGGCGTACTTGGGCCGACGTGGCAGGTACACATGCGCAACCGCGGCCAAAACGCCGCTGAGATGTCAATGTGCACGAGCACAGTCACAATGGCCAATTTAATCCGGGACCCGTGCGGTGCAACCTCTTACACAGATGAGATATAGGAATTGAGTTAGAGCCGGTACGTTGCCACCGGCGCAGCGGTTTCCGCCCGGAATTGACTGATCATGACTTTGTAGCAGTGCGGTGCTTTGTGGCGACTGAGCGGAAGCTAGACGGAAGACCGGACGCGCTTTCCGTTTATCGTCTCGACGGCATGTCACCCGCCAAGTTCGGGAGACAGCGCCGGTGGCCGCGCGCTGCGAGGATGGCACGGCGGCTGCGTGCCGACCAAGACCGTGTGCGCCAGCATCAGGCGCCCTCGGGCAACGGACTATCAGCGCGATACATGACCTGAGGTTCGCCGGGCCATCTCACACGGAAAAGGGACGTTCAGAATCAAAAGAAAGAAATGCGTTGTCATTAATCTGGTGGCACACGTTGTACAGATAACAGGCGGTTTTCATTGCAATGGAATAACAGATGTACAGATTGTGGTGGGAGAATGCGTGGGTGTGGGGCATCAGATACCTATCGTACTGAATGGAGAAAGCGAAGAAAGCGACATGGGGCAAAGCAAGAAAGACTACAGAGCATGAGTACATGGACACGAGCACAGGCTCAGTGCGTGCGAGGCGTTCCGGCGATCGCGGGTTGCCTGCTAGAGCTATGCGTGCGAAGCGCGGCGCTCATGAAGCGCCAATGGGCGCCTGTGTCAGACTACTGCTGAGTCGACTGCGGCTGTGCGGCTGTAGCAAAAGCCGGGAAGGGGGGACGTGCGCCCCAAGAGGCGCGAGCGACGAGGTGTTACGCAGCCGCAGCGCGCGGATGGGTGTGGTGGGGTCTCGGCAGGTGCAAACTACGGAGCAGTTTGGAGACCGAATGTGAATGAGAGTGCGAATGCAAGTGCTTGTGTGCGATGGTCGCAGACGCGTCGATCGAGCCCTCGCGAGAGTGCAGACGGCTTGAGGACGCAACGTCGACCTCCATGGCATCCTCGGCATACGTGGGTGGTGTGCGTGGAGAGAGGCTGGCGAGGCTGGACGAGGGAGAGTGGTGGAGTGTGGGCATCGGGCTCGACATGGTCGAGCTGGTGGCGGTGGACGGCAGGGGAAGGGGTGTCATTGGTGCCACTGCCGAGTGGTGAAGCTCAGGCATGAGGCGAGAGAGCTCGGCGTGATGTGCGAGAACGTCCTCTTCTGAGATGGAGAGCTCCCAGTCGAGGACAGAGAGGAACTCGCGCTCGATGCGTCCAATGTCACGCTTGCCGAAGATGCCGGTGCACATCGCCCAGTGGATGTTTTTGAGGCTGCTGTCGTTGGTGTACTATGCGCGGAGTCAGATAGAGCTCTAAGGACAGAAGGGGACAAAAGGACATACCTTGGACGCAACGATCAAGGCACCGAGAAAGACCCGTTCATTTGCCCACTCCTCGAGAGCGATGTGGAGGTGAGGGCGAGCACGGTCGAGGTAGGCGAGGGTGGTCAGTATGACCGGCATCTCGACCTCGGCGCGTGTCAAGACATTGCGAACGAGGTCTCCAAAGGCAACATCGTGAGCGCGGCGCTTGAGCGCGCGACCGCGAGGGGCGGAGCGGCCGAGGGCTGCGTCCACGGTGTCCTCGACAGCATCGATGAGATAGTCTGTGGATGATAGTTAGGAAATGTTGAGATGCGGTGGCCAGGTGCGAACTTACCAATGACAGGACGAGTTACTGGTTGTTCGACGAGCTCAAGGAGAGCAGGTGAGTGTGTGGAAGCGTCGACTAGCGACGCCTTGTGGACCGAGGATGTGGAGGTCGAGGCGATCATCGCAAACTAGAGACAATACTTGCGGTTGTCCGATATATTCGGAAGAGCGGATGGGTAGCTGGGGATCCCGCATTTCCGCGCCGTTTATTATATAGCCTGAAGCACGGAACGAGTGAGAGAGGCGCGGACCTGACGGCGCGAGTCAAGCCTGTCATTCGCCCGGCGCCTCGGCTCCATCAGCCACTCCTGAAAATTCGGCCCTTTTCCGTCCTCCCCGAACCGTCTTTAATTTGTGCCCGTGTCACACCGCGCCGAACGCTACCGGAGCGACCATCTCCGCCATTCGCTCTCCCTACCTGAGGTCGGCGGCGAGCCTCGGACTGTACTACTCCTGCTGCAGAGCGCCAGGCTCTGAACATTCGTCGCCCTCGGCAACGTGCTCCTCATCGCATGTACCGTAACCGTGAGCGATCCTTCAGGTAAAGATCTCAGGTCGGTTACACGCGCTGACTGTGGTCAACTAATTGGCCGTTTTCGAGACGTGTCCTACATCGGCTCATTCTCGCACGCGCGCGGTGCGTAACACCTTTGTCATGATTTACGAATCGTTCCGTCCGTTCTTTCTTTGAACAGCCTGTTACATCGCAACCCCGACATCCACCGTATCTGCACCCAGCATCGACCCACGGATGACGCTCATCGAGAGAGTCTGAGTAGCGCTCCACCGCCCGTGCCGAGGTCGAGTTGAGCCACACCAGTCCCGATGAATCGTGCCCGATTCGTTACTGCTGCGGCGTCACCGAGGGAAGTTAAATCGAGCCGCGAGATAATCTAATCGCATCTGATGGCGTTCCTCGCGCCCCTTTCCCCGCATTTCGTGACAACACCCGCCAACCACGATGTTGCTGCATTGCCTTAGACGCCTATAGCTGTAATAGCAGCCCTTCATCCGGGGACATCGCTCACACATTGCATACAAGGATTTGCACAGGCGAGCAGGACGCACGTAAACGACGCCGTAACCAACCGCGATCTCTGTTCTGCATGGACGCCCTTCCAGCATCGAACACTACTTTTGCATCGCTCTCATGCCGTCCAACTGGACGTGAGCGTGTACAGCTGAATGGAAGGTTAGCCAGTCACCGTTGCGCATGTAGATCAAGACTCCATCATTGCGCATATTACGCTGGGCACGGCGCTCTTGACTGGCCGAGCTGCTGCTTCGGGCTTGCATAAACGGCGCGCAGAACGTGCGAACGCGCCTATCGGACTCGCAGAACGCAGCGAGGACCGCCGTTACTCGCCTACAGCGACGTCACCGCCAATCTTAATCGCTCACCTGGATCGCCTCGACTCTCGAACCGCCGTAGATAACGTCGACGTGGGTGACTTGCCGGCGGCTAAGCAACTATACGCTCTCGCGCAGGCGCGCAGTCTCGCACGCGCCGCTGACCGCCGCCAACTGACGCACTCTCTACTCGTTTGGTCTGTCTTGCGTGCGCAGCTGCTACAATTGCCACTGAGACCAGCGCGCCGAGCTACACCCTGTAGTTTGCCATGGATGGTGCACGACTGCGCGCCCGTCTTGTCGTCGCTCGGCGAGACGCCGCGCGCGCTGCGGGCGCTCTTCGCGTCCCCACTCGCCACCGCCCCCGAGCACGTCCGATGGCTTCCCGAACCTGGCAGCTGCTGGATTCCGATGCTATACTTCTTGGCTTCTTTGTAGCCCTTCTCTTCTCTTCGCGAATGTACCCCGCATTTTCAGTAGTTTCATTAGAGACTAGTAAACATGCATTTGTGACATGGAAGCTTCCGCGATGGCCGGAAATGCAGCCTACAAACGCCACTCGTCAATCAGGCAATCTGCCGGCTTTGTAGCCCTTCCTGGAATAAGCATGCTTGTTCTACAGCTTTGGCTGCCAGAGATAGATTGCCACTGTGACAGGCTTCCTTTGTCTATGCGCGACGTAAAACCGTGTTCACCATAATCATCAGTAGCGCATTCTGTTGCCCGTTAGCGGCGATGTTCCGCGCAATCCGGACGCCGTCTCACTCGCGTACTGGTATCAGCATCGCATCCTCTTCTATCGGCGACCTACTGCTTCGCCACTCAGAACAGGCTTAAGCGCAGACTAGGCGGATCCAGAATACGAACTACACGGGCTACACGCCGCATGTGAATAGCCCGGGCAGGCCGCGCGACTTCTCGAATATACCGTCTCAAGAGCGTGCGCCCGACGGAATGAATGAATGCACATGAATACCCAGCATCGAGAACAAGCACACGGTGGGCGAGATCCTGATATACATACTGATTATCATCTATAATCGCGGCGCCGACGGTAGTCGATCCGCGCGGCGGCCTCGCGCCCGCGCGCCTTCGTCGCTGTCAATAGCAGCCTGCGGCACCCGAGGGCCGTCGGGTGGCCGCTGCAGCGTAGGTTGGCCGACCGAGTTCAGCATTTGTACATCTGTATCAGAGCCACTGGCGGTCCGGAGCGGTCTCGCCGCCCCAGTCTAGGATGGTGACCTGTAGTATACAAGCGAGCAGGTAATGAGGAGGGCGTCCACCCGGATCCCGCCGGAACGCCCCATGCGCGTCGTGGAAGACCCTCCGTATCCTACTATCCGACGTTGGGGCGGCGCGACAATGAACGACGCGGTCACACGGCGGCGAGCGCGCCGAGGTTAGAGAAGCACGGCACGAGCCGAGTCGACGTCCCGAGTACGGACCCACCGGAGGTAACGTAGACGCTGAGGTCGGAGGCGACGGAGTTGTGCCGGAGGATGGGCGCCCAGGGGTGTCCTCGTGCCGAGGTCGATGGGTGGATATGGGTCCCCGTGTTACCAGAGGGGACACGGTTTAGCACGCAGTCGGTGACAAAGAAAATTTCTCTTGTCGGGATCGACAAGCGGTCCGGAAGAACATGCCGCCCCCGTCGTGAGTCCGTCAGCGAATACCGAGCTCGCGCGGACGTGCCGCCGCTGTTGGTTGCGAGTGAGTCAAGCCGCCGGGAGCCTCGGAGAACTGCATAGCGGATGATGCGTCATCGTCGCAGTTCTAATCCTATCGTCATATAGATCCTTCGCGCGTATGCAAGAACAATGCACGGTGCAACGCTGGCGTCATCCCTTCGGCGAAGAGACCTTCCCCGTAACCCACAGAACACAGTGCATGATGCGTGATGGCCGGTAAATTGCCCATCAAGGAGGGAGAGATGAAAGCCTCGGGGTGCGCTCGGACTCGCCGAGACGGAAAGTAGATCGTATGAGACAGGCGTGCTCGCCGCGGGCGCCCCGAGCACTTACCCTGAATCGTATCTGAATCTGGTCTGAGGTGGCGATGTACCTCCAGAACAGACACGCACTATCCGAGTCCCACGCAAGCATCCGGCAAACGACTCAAGGGAACTCACCCGCCTCGTAGTAATGAGTTCGCAGCACAACATCCGGCCCATCGAGACCACAGAACGCGCAGTCAGCGATCTGATAAGCGCCCAACAAGTAATATACAATACATGCAATCGCCTTGGGACTGACTCCAGTGGCCGTATCTCCGCGCTGCGAGTATATTGGACGGCGGTATTGCCGCCCGTAGGTGCGAGACCAGGTGGGTCGCTCTTCCGCTACCACACCCACTATCAACCGTCCTCCAAATCCACATTGTCCTCGTCCTCGTCCTGATGGGTTCAAGAGTGGTACCATCGAATATCCGAAAGGTGACTGATAGACACTAAATATTTGATGGCGCACGCCTCCAAGAAAAGCGATCGCAGTGAAGGTGGAAAGCGGCTTCCGGCGTCAAGAGCTGTCAAGAGCTGTCGTGCGGGCATAGTCGCCCCGGTAAAAGCTGCACTCGCAACGCCTGCGGCGCTCCATGGCGGTGCAGTGTATGGTTACGAGTTAGCTGATGACGGCTCGCCCTCGCCGAGTTTCTTATTCCTGCTGCCTTTAGGGCGACCACGGCGTTTCGCGGATGGCGCACCGTTGAGCGAGGCCTCATCGGCGGTTCGTTTCGCGGCGCTTTCGGCTAGACGCTCCTGTAGGTATCTGTACATCAAGGAGGAGCCGATCAGTCGCTGAGATTCAGATAAAGATGAATGTTGAAGGGACCGTACTGTTGGGACTTCTCGTCCAGTAGAGACTGCAGAGATTGTAAAGGCGGGTGGCCGAGCTCCTCGCGTAGTTTGTCGACGTCGGTCTTCGCTGCAATGTACTCGCCATCCTTGATCGTGTCGATGCGTTTACGAAGCTCAGAGCACCTATCATGCTTCGCTTTGGGCGGTCATGATGCGGGGAGGGCGGCAAACACGCACTCGTCCTCGATCTGCAGGGCCTTCATATCCATCTTGAAGGCAGCTCAGTACGGAGATGTTGGTCAAATGCTGGAGGTACGTACCTTGTCCCGGTCTGCGTTGACCTAGCACGTGCGGATATTAGTAAGAGTTGAAGTAGCCCGAAGCATAACGAATAGCGGGACTCCGCCCATGCTACACATGACTGCCACGATTATGCATGTGTGCGCTAACACGGAAGCGAAGTATCCATAAACGATACGGCAGTCACGGGCGTCGATGGAGGATCGTATGTGGACTTACTCACCTCGACCAAGCATGCCAGCAGCCGTGCGCGCTCACTATCCAGTCTAGAAGCACGTGTTAGAAATCATGTATCCAACACAAGACCAATCCAGAGCGATGCTGTCGTAAGACCAGACTAAGCACGCACTTGTTCTTCTGCTCTTTTACGTCTTGGATCTCCTGCTCTTTAGCATCCAGTGACGCGTGAGCGGCTAAGATATGCGCTGTATGGATTTGAAGTGCTAAAGCATTTTTCCTACATGGACCGTCAGACAATGCGTATATCGGGGCCGAAGGCGCGATTCAGATTGACTCCACGCGCACTTGAGTTCTGCGTTGCGCGCGAGTTGCACGAGACTCTTTGTCCAGTCTGCCTGCGACTTGCCGTCGCCATTCATGACCGAGGAGGATGTCATAGAAGAAGCGCGTAATCCAGATATGTGACGGGAATGACAGACTAAGGGTGGGCCTGCCGGCTGTGGCACCTTTTCCAGACGCGATCGTGAAGGTTGGAGTCAAATGCGATAATTGCACGTGCCGTCGGGAATGAAGGATCGTACTGTCACGGCGCTTACCTGACGGGCCCACCGGCCGGGAGTTTTCTGAGTGGCTCGCAAGTCAACAAAGCACCCCTGCGTAATCTTCGAGGCGCCGACGCCGCGCGCGTCTCTTCTTCCGTGCCTCTGACACGACTCAGTCAGCGCATTAGCCGTCCACTCCTTTCCGTTTCACAGATAAAATCAGTTTGTGCATAAATGGATTCGTCACCTCCGTCGATCCCACCCATCCGCTCCTCGAAAGTAAGATGATTGCCTCTACCTCCACTTCGGTACACAAGGCTTCTCTCGTCGACCCCTCGACGCACTCGCCTGTCCTGCTCGAGCTTGTCGAGCAACCAATCACCCGTCCCGTAGTCGGTAAGTCCAACCTTCTCCCATATCAGTCCAATGCCACAGTAGACTGATCGCTCTCCCCAGATTATCTCGTCAAACATGTTGAGGAGGTCGTTGACTACGCAATGGACCGCCCTTCCAAGCGCGGACGCAGCTTGAAGCGCAACGATGACTTCCACACGCTCGTGAAGAATGTCCTCTACCGGGCTGAAGTCGAGCTACCCACTGTACTGGTCGCCCTCGCATACCTCGACCGTGCACGGCCACATCTCCAAATTGCTTTGGAGGAGTGGGCCAACGAACGTGTATTCCTCGGTGCTTTAGTCGTCGCGTCTAAGGTTTGTGATCCTGTCTCTCAATGTCTTAAAGCGCCATGTGCTGACTCTACCCCTAGTACACCAACGATAGCACGCTGAAGAACGTGCACTGGGCCATGTGCACTGGTATCTTCGGAAAGCGCGATATTGGCCGGATCGAGCGCGAGTTCCTTGCCGTACTTGACTGGGAGCTCTCGATCTCCGAGGCAGATGTGCTTGCCCACCACGCTCAGCTGTCTGAGCTCATGCCCGAGCTCCACCACGCGACTGCCGCGACGGCTGCACCCCTGCCTTCGCCGAGCGCTTCGGCCTCCAGCTCTACATCCTCGAGCCCATGCCCGGCGCTTCAGCACTCGCCTGCCTCCACCGCCGCGAGCTTCTCGCCACGCACGCCTCATACCCTTGTCGACGAGATTCAGGTGCAATTCCCTGAATCCAGTGGCTCTTCCACCAGTGGCACTTCGTCTGAAGAGGTCGCGAAGGCGCAGCCACCCTCATCGCACAAGCACGCACGCTCGAACTCGCTCAAGTGCTTGTTCCATAACTTGCTGCACCCTCACCATCACCACTCTCGCGCACCAGAAGTCACGGCATAGGCCTGACACGCGCTCGCGTCCTCACCAGTCGCTCAGTCACACATTGGGATGCCCCTCAACGGCACAGCCGCCAGACCCACCAGTTGGTCACACCGCGCAAACGCCCGGCGCCGCGCCCCACGCGCAATACATGGTGTCTTCATCAGACGGCCTCACGCGCCCGGCCTTGCACTGCACTTTCGTTCACTAGCATTGTCATCCTTGTTTCTCCCACATCTTCATTCTCGCATCGCATCGCTCTATGCCACCATCAATCATTTTTTCACCTGGTTCCTCTATTATTGCATATACCTCGCATTGATTTCTAATCACCTCCTGACTGTGATCCGCATTGTTGTTCGCTTACGACCTCATGAATAAACTGTTGTTGTATCACCTAAACCCTTGCGTGATCTCGAAAGCAACCGTCAGCGAAGAACGTTCCATCCCGCTTCGCTGCGCGGGTTTGTGTGTACGCCATCAACCATCTTACGGCGCTATCTCACTGGTCGACCAGCATGGCACCAGACTGCCCGATGAATTTTCGGAAGTGCGACCGATTACCGTCAGCCTTACCAAGCCTTGTCAGCTTGCATTCCAGTTAGAGGCCCAAGGCGTCTTCGTCCCGTAAAGACGGTAGATGTCAAATGCAAATCGATGATTAAAGTATGTACATCAAGGAGTAAGACTCGCGATCCAGACCGCACGGCGGTCATTGGATCCTGAGGCTTACGGCCTACATTAGACAAGCACGCGTAAGCTAAAAGTACAAGGATGGAGGCGACAAGATCCCGAGGTAAAACATCGTAAGGCTACAGTGTGTGTGGAGGTATTGCGTGGCGAGTCAAATGAAAGCGGAGAGCAGATTTCAGAGGGCGATAGCGAATGTCCTGCAACGTCAAGAGTATCGTTCTAGTTCAAGAATGCCTTGGCGGCTATGCGTGATGGTGTCGTGGAGGAGTTGAGGCATGCGCGCTGCGCATCGCTCAGAAAGCGGTCGGGCTTGACTTGAATACGGGCGTCCGCTGGACCTCAGGCTCTGCCGTACCGCTCGAAAAGAGGCTACCCATGCTGTCCGGTCGTGACGCAGGAGCCCGTGGAGGGCTCGGAGCGCGTGGGCTGGGAACACGGGGGATGGATGGGCGAGTCTCGCTCGTGGGCCGCGATGCATATCGTGGGAGAGACTCAACTGGGCGAGTAAGGATGAAGCCTGTTCAGCAGGATGAGATGTCAGCGCCTATTCTGTCACATAGAATGCGAGCATCGTGCTTACCCTTGAGACCCGCAGCCTTCTCACCGGGGCGGCCAAAGCCGTAACCCTTCTCACCAAACTCGTTGGGCGATGCTGCGCGAGCGGCTGCGCCACCGAAAAGCGAGGAGCGGAAGGTGCCGCCAGTCGAGTGTGAAGGGAGGCCCTTTTTCTCCTCGCGCCAGGACGTGATGCTACGGAGGTCCTTCGCGTGTTGACGCCAGATGAGGCCGCAAAGCATGTTTGCGCATCCGATGCAGAACAAGAAGAAGCCGGACACGAGCGTGAAGTCATCACAGTGGTGAGAAAGCACGCTGGCGCCAATACTGAAACAAAGGACAGGTCAGTATAAGGGAGCAAAAGCTTGAGTGATTAGAGACGCACAGAGCCTGGAAGATTCCCAAAGCGCCGAGACCGAACTCCGTGCCCAAGACGGGGAAGTAACGGTCAAAGTACTTCATCGGCCAGCCAACTTCCGACAACAGCAGGATGATGACCTCTAGAATAATGAGAAGGTGGTTGACAATCGCCCAGAAGACGCCGGCGGCCTGATTGGGAACGTCGCTGCCTCTGTATGCTCGTTAGCCTTTGTGGCAACAAAGTGAAAGAACTGCGAACGCACTCTATGTAGTCGCAGTCGAGCATATCCTGGTCGGAGTGGCCGGAAAGGAAGGCGTTGACAGCGCGAACATCGGTCGTGATCACGAAGATACTGGAGGAGAACACCAAGAGGAGGGACACGATGCTGATGAGGCGGATGGCGTTCAAAAGAGAGAACGTGAAGAGCTTGTAGTTGAACTTCATGACGGTAACGATGCGGGGAGGACAATCAAGATGGCGGGTTCGTTGGTTAGGGTGCGCGAGTAAGATGGCTCAAAGGAAGCTCAAAGGAAAGGCGTGCCAGCACAAGAAGGAGAAAGCAGACGAGAAACCCGGATCTGGTCGTAGAGAGCGTGAGGTGGTTAGAGGGGGGTGAGGACGGAGTCAGTTCCACATCGACCCTCTATATACCGACAGCTTCATTTGTGGACCACAACCACGCTGGACAAAAGGTCTGATGGGCCCAGTTCGCGCGTGCATGGCTCAGTACAAGGCGTGGCTTAAGCGTCGAAGTTCAAAGCGAGAACCACCATTGTTCAGCGTGGGAGCCGATGCGGGCCACGTGTCCGGACATCAACATTGCCCCTGCCAGGCCAGCGGGTAGTCAGTGCTTGTTCCCCATTGAGTTCCCTCTTTATTATCTCGCTTGTACTCGGTGAGAAGGTCTGGATTGCGTACGTATGAGCAAGGTGGTCAGAGAATGTACAGATCGATCGAGGGCTGTACCATGCCTACGAACAAACAACGACTACCAGGGTAAGAGACAATGGCATGGGAACCGAAGGAGTATATATGCGGATAAGGAAAGCGTGTATGCGAGGGGAAAAGCAGTATGTGATGTGATGTAACAGTTGAGAAGAGGGAGGAAGTACAAAACCATAGCAAGTATTCGACAGCAGAGCGGATTCAACAATGTACTATGAGAGCACCCGGCGTAAAACCCTAAGACTGTAACGGGAAAGAAATGTACAGAGAGTCGAGTGCGTACGGCTCATCAAGCTTGAAGGTCCATGTAAGCTAGTTGACCACATGTAGTGATCTGCGAGGTTCGGAAGATAGCTGGGAGGTGCTGTCTGCGACTGGAGGGGACAAGGTGGGCGTCGGATCTGCGGTCCCTGGATACGTTCCAAAGTAATCATTCGCCGGAGGCGAGGAAGGTAACTGAACGCTCAACGCGGCGACTGAAGCCCGCGAAGTTCGACGTTCGCGCCATGGCGACGGCGGGGCACTGGACTGCGATACTGCTGACATGGGACGAGCGCCAAAGTCGCGATCAAAATGGTAGCCGCCGGGCGTCACAGGTTGTTGCGGGGAGCCTCCTCTTGACAATGGTGTCGATGGTGTAGGGCTAGCCGGATGGGACCGCGGCTGCGTCTGCATCCCAGGTGCAGAGTCCGCCATCGCGTCCATAGTCACAGAAGCCGAACGAGACAAGAGCAGAGCAGAAGAGTGTCCAATGCTTGTGGCCGGCGGTGTCAACGGAGGTGTCGTTGCGGTGCCGCCCACGATCCCATAATGATACGGTTGCGGCGAGATGGATACGGGGCGAGATGGCCTCCTGCGATATGTCGGTTTCTCATTAGCCTCCTCCTCTGACCAAATGGCGTCTGCTCGTTTCCTAAATCGTTGTCTGAACGAGACGTAAGTTTGTGTTCAACGAAGAAATAACGTGGACGTACACGATGCATGCTACCAAGCCAGCCAGTGCAAGAAGTCCGACGAATCCGCCTACAGTTCCACCCGCGATCGCAGCAACAGGCGATCCAGAATGAGACGAACCGCTAGATTGAGATCCAGATGCACTGTTCGTCCCAGATGTGTCCGTGCCGACGGTCGCCGTTGCAGGATGAGATGTCACGATTGTCGTGTAGAGAATGATCGTTGAGCCGCCCTGTAGGGCGGTCCCAATCGCAGAGGTGACGTCCTCAACCACCATGGAGGTTGATCTAAGAGACATAGAGCTTGCGGAGGTAGAAGACGGCGTTGTGGTCGCAGGGGGCGTTGCTGGTGCAGGCAACGGACTGCTTCCGCCTCCGGGCCGAATTGTCGAAGTCGATGATGTGGTGGACAATGGATCGGATGAAGTCGTTGAAGGGCAGGGTGCAAAGAGCGTCAGAGTTGGGGTGACTTCGGTCTCGAGCTCCGTTATCAAGAGCGGCACAGTCAGTGTCTTGACCTGGTCTGCGAAATAAGTCAGGCGTATTGTTCACTTGTACTGGAGACATGCGTACCCGGTCCCGAGGTCGGCGCGAGTATTGTCGTAGTTCCCGCACATGCATCTCCATCCGATGAGACGCACGTCGGGAACGGTACATTGGTGGCCGCGCCGGGGACGGTCAGTAGCTGGAGTGAGAAAGTGGTGATAACGTTGGTAGAGACGACGGTAGCATATTGTGTCTCGGTCGGAGAAGGGTCGCACATCTACGTCGGCGCACAGGGCAGAGCGTCGAGGATAAGCAGTCGAGAGTGGACCCCCACTCCGCCGGACACGGTCGTCAGAGAACGAGCACGATAAGGTGCTGAACCAAGTAGTGAGCCTGCCGGCTGAGAAGGAAGTTCGTCTCAAGATAGCGCTCCACCCGCTTCGCGCGCGCACGTACCGCCGTAGTCGTGCCCTTTCCGAACCGCGATTCTCACGTGCATTTCATTATGCGCGCCTCTCACAGAGATCCCGAAATCATGGTGCTGTAATGTCTAATAAATTGCTGAGAAGAACCTGGGTATAACACGGACGCAGCCAGTGGCTTACAGTACACTAGGGATACGACATCAGCAAGGGGGCGATAATTTTCCGAAATCAGAGACGAAGCAGCCTAGCGTAGAGATGTGGGGAAGCCATGCAAGCCATGAAGAGTGCGTCGTCAGGTATACCAAAATGAACCGTAGAAAGATGGGGAGCATTGAGAGTGGAAGACAGAAACGTAAGATACCAACGAAAAGAATGAGTGATCCACACAAATGAAATCCTGGAGACAAGATCTATCATGCCTCGACGGGAGGGGATTCCTTCCGTATCAGGCTGATTCGCCTTGCCTTCTTCGCCTCCTTATCCTTCTTCGGTGTCGAGCCGACGCGCGACACATGTTGCTGCAACTGCTCTCCATTGATCTCCTCCTCCCAGACTCCGCCCGCGTCTTCCCCGTCGTGACTTCGCCCACGCTCATCCGCGTGCACTGCTTCAAGTTGCACAGCGGTGGCACCCTCTGCCTTTTCTGGGTCTGTAGTATCGGGGGTGTCCGCAGTGTGCTCTGTGTCACACTGTACCTCACCCACCACTACGGCAGCGGGCGTCGGCGGCTTGGGCGAGACGCGCCGCCACAAGTTTTTACTCTTTACGAGCACGTAACGGCCGAAGACCTCGAAAGGGTCCTCGACGAGTGGACCCTGATGATGGGGCTCGTCCGTGGGTGAGCTCTCGGCATCATTCCAGTCGGGCGGCAGCTGCCCGCGCCGAGCAGCGATCATGCGAGAGCGAGCGGCGACACCGAGTTTGACGTTGGACTTCCGTCGTCGAGGCTCGATGTGGGGCAGTGGTGCGAACTTTATGTTCTGTAACGCCGCTGGAGACGGCGGTCGTGTGGGTAAAGACGAGGAGGAGCGCATTGTGTGTATCTCGTGCGAGACCGTGGGCAATGACGAGTCGTCTTCCGTAGAAGTGGATGACGAGCGCGAGGATGAGGCTGTTGGCCCGGCGTAGGACGCCCAGTGTTTGATTATCGGTTTAAGCTTTGGAGGTACTGGCGGGGCGGCAATGTCGGCCATGGTTAGGCTTGCCCAAGGAGGCGCAGAGAGAGACAGTGATGGCCGCGAGAAAAAAGAGAGCGACAGTCAACGTCGGTCAAGAATAAATATCCAGAGTACGGCCTGACGCCAGACTGATGGTGGAGGTTGGGAGAAGAGACGTCGGTCAGGGCGAGCTTGGCAATGCACAGCAGCCGATTGATCCCAATTATTTAGGTTTTTGATTGACATGTGAGATCCACATGGACCTCTACTTGGGGAATCTGTGGCGACGCTTCTCTCGACACAACCTCCATGTCCTAGGTACCATGGCTCCGTACTGGCACTGCGCAACATGCACCGCAGACAGCTTCTGCATGGGTACCATGAGTACCACTCAGAATGACCCTTTCGCTATTGAAAACTTGCTTCCTGCCGGCTGTCTCGTCTTCCCTGTACACAATATACCCGAACACTGGTCAGCTCAGGACGATCGTTGGCACGATAGTCGTCACATCAACTTGACCAATCATATTGTGCAACAGTCAGACGAACTTTCTTGGCTACATCTCAAGTACTTGGACAAACATGACTTTCTACGGGTTCATTGTCGCCTCGGACTTAGCGGAGAGATGCTATATCTTCGCGTGTTCTTAGTGCCGTTCGATCTTCCGAACGTGCGAGGTCGTCTACAGAGTCACCGCAGAGATCAGGCAGTGCTCAAAGACGCCTGTCGTTACCTCAGAGCGACCTTGCCGCAGCTACGTCAAGACCGTGGTGGTTGGGATGCAGACGACTCGATGCGGCCTTCGGGAAGTACATACAAGACCTTCCTCGACACGAATCTGGTAAATATCGTCAATTCGACACCCGAGCTATAGCTGACTGTCTCTAGGATATGCGCACAATGGCTGATATATATTCTGACCTCGAGTTCTCGGGACCCCCTTCGAGTACTTATACTCCTTCATCTCTGGATGAGCTAGCCTCTCGCATTCATGCTGGCTGGAATGCTGAGGGTTTGACATCGCCACTGTACAACTATCAGTGCGAGACTGTTGCCGCCATGCTCCTTCGAGAACGGGCAGATGTCACGATACCCGATCCTCTATACACGTGTGTGACCGGTATAGATGGCGCACGAGTCTACCTGCAACCTTCGACCATGGAGCTCCTGCGCGAGCGGCCCACAGTCGCACAACCTCGAGGCGGTATTCTTTGCGAGGAGCTGGGTAGGTCTGCTTCAGATATTGTATGGTCGTACGCTAAGCTAGCTTAGGCACTGGCAAGACGGTAATGGTTCTTGCTCTTGTATTATCCACTATCGACCAGCTCCCCAAACCTGAACAATCCATCTACACCCCGACCATCCTTACACCTATCTCTTTTCGACACTTCCGCGATGACGAGGATCGTGCAAGTCGTGAACGTGCTCGATGGAAGAAGAGCACTGGAGAGTTTCCTTCTCTCGTGGAGATCCTCCATCATTACCTGCGCGTGAACCCGGAGAAGACGCGCTCCCGCCTACGAGACCTCCTTTCCGAAGATAACCCCGGCCTTCTGGACTCGATCGAGCGTAATGTGCCGTACTACCTCCATTACAACGACGAGGCGGAGCGCGCGCGGTCATCGCGAGGCGGTAGGACGGTGGCAAGCCCAAGAGTCATATATCTCACGTCTGCGACCCTCATCGTCGTCCCGCCAAACCTTGTTGCGCAATGGGTGTCGGAGATTCATAAGCATGTCAGTAGCGACATACGGGTTTTGGTCATCCGGCAACACGATGATCTTCCGCCGGCGCTATCGCTTGCCACAGAGTTCGATGTGAGTACCTCTCTCACTTGTTCCGACCATCTCGGTGAAAACATCGTTTAGATCGTCCTTACAAGCCACACACGTACGCCTCAATATGATGTTGCAGTCGTGCCTTCCCTGACTCTTAGGTAGGCTTGGCGAAGGAGCGCGATGGGTTCAACGTCGACAGGCTGCACACATGGAAACTGTGTACTTGCCCTGCACCTGCGCGCTCGCCCCGCGCGCCCCTTTGCAACTGTTCTCCGGCTAAGGGCGTTTCCATACTCGCGCAGATACGCTGGAAACGTGTCGTTGTCGATGAAGGTCACGGTCAAGGAGTCCCCGATACATCCTTCAGCGCTGTTTGCGCGAAACTGAATGCCGAACGCCGCTGGATCATGTCCGGCACGCCGACGCGAACTCTGCTCGGACTCAACCTGGGTTCTAGTACATATGAGGATCTGCAGCTTCTGTACCCGGATAGCGAAGAGAACACGCCTGCGAGCTCCCCATCGGGGCAGACGTTGCAGCTGTCCGATGAAAGCGAGTCGCCTTCAAGCATCCGGTTCCCTGTCTCGGACAATGCTCCTCCTCACACCCTGGATGGTCCGTCTTGGTCTATGTTTACGTTCTACATCTCACTGACCCAGACGTCGCTCAGCCATGAGCGCCAAGCCGAGTGATGGGCCGACGTCCATAACTGTCTTCCGCAAAATTTGGGACAAGTACTCTCGCGAGGATCTGCGCAGGCTACATGTCATGATGTCAAACTTCTTACGCGATCCGCGCTTCTTGGCGGATTCACATATATTCAGAACGCATGTTCTGCAAGCACTCTTTACACCTACAGGACCGCTTCCCGGTGCGATAAAGGTGCTAGAGCAACTGATGACTAGCTTCATGATTCGTCATAGGTGAGCAGAGGGGAAGGCGTCGCTTTCAACGGTTGTACACGAGCTAATGCTGAATACAGGATTCAGGACGTCGAGAAGGACATCGAGCTGCCTTCGTTAACTGAAGAGACGGTCGTACTCGACATGGACCCTCTCGTGCGCACATCATACAATGCCATGCTTGCCGCGATCACATTCAACGCCATCGATTCGGAACGCACAGACAAGGATTACATGTTCCACGCAGCCGTACGCGCTCATTCTAGTTTCTGTAGATGCAATACACTCACATCTCAGTCAGAATGTCGCCAGTGTACGTGAAGTCATCAGCAACATGTCGCAGTATGTTCCTGAATGGGCGGCTCAGACGCCACACTCTGACTTCTCGGCGTAGATTGATGTTCTGGCGCGTCGACGACAATATGTACAACGTCGAGGAACTGTACCGCGCTTGCGAGCCAACTCTTCAACGCGCCACAGAACGTGGTGTATCCGCTGCGGACATGGAACTGTTGAAGCAAGCCGTCTTTCATGTGTACGCTCAAATCTCAGAAGTTGGTGCTTCAAGTTGCTCACACGCTTTTCAGTCGGAGGGCGCATGCGGATAGAATATGGAAAGCAGTCCAGACACAGACTATCCCAGAGATGCCTTACACAGTAGACGGGATACCTCCATCCGTTCTTTCCTCATGGGTTGAGATCAAACGCTCCATCCGTGTCCTCCCGGAGGACCGCGCCCGCGGAATCATGTTCCCTTACCGTCTTTCGAAGCTCGCGGAGATCGTCAGCGCCCGACCGCTCATGTCAATACCCCGTCTCATCGAGGAGGGTAAGGCACAGGAACAGGAGGATGCCCTTCGTCTGCACATCTTCCAAGCCCAAGTCGCCTCCCGCAAGAAGGCAAAAGGCCATAAGACTGCCGATCGCGAGGCAGTGAAGGCTCACCAGAGTGCCCTCGCAACGGAGGCTCCTGCGCGCTTGCGTGAGCTTGAGCGCGAACGTGAATTAGCTCGAGAACGGAGCTTCGGCGAAGAAGCGACGGATGCACAGACAATGGTGGCTACGATTGCCAACGCATCCTCTGTGGCTAGCACAGAGCTGCTTCGCAAGAGTGCTCTGAGCAGAGCCCGCATTCTTCACTCCAAATCGGCGAAACTTAACTTCATTCTGAACGAGGTAGTGTCATTGCCTGATGCAAACGAGCCCCATTTCACTCACACGCTCTCAGGTTGCCAAATATGGCCAAGGCGACAAGTTCCTGATATTCTCCAAGTCGCCGCTTACGCTCGCACACATCTCGGACGCCCTGACCCTCGCTCGCATCAAGTTCATCTCATTCACCAATGACCTGAAGCTCGAGACGCGCCAGCAAGCTGTCACGACCTTCGAAACGTCCGATACTTTCCGTGTCTTCCTCATGGACCTCAAGCTGGGATCCCACGGCTTGAACTTGGTCTCTGCATCTCGTGTCATCTTCTGCGAGCCGGTGTGGCATGCAGATGTCGAGGCCCAGGCCATAAAGCGTGTACATCGTATCGGTCAGAAGAAGCCTATCATCGGTAAGCTGACTGCCACGTGCACCAGCGTCAAGACTCAAAGTCATTGCAGTCAAAACTTTGGTCATGCGTGGCACTCCCGAGGAGCTTGTCGTTTCACGACGCACCGAATTGAAACGGATGAACCAGAGTCAAAGTCTCGATTCTGCCGACGATGTTGGAATACGAGACTTCATTGAGGTGAGCCTGTGACCATGATATTGGGAATAGCTACTGATACACGACCTTCCTCAGCGCCCGAGATTCTTGCCTGACTCTGAGTTCAAACCCCAAGACGTGAACATATCCCTCCTGGATCTCGGAGATATAGACTCTCAACTTGAAGAGTTCGAGGACCGCCAAGTACCCTCGCTTCTCGATGAACTCAAAGCGGCGACCTCCAGTCAGCACATCGATCCTCTGATCACACAATCCACCAAGTCCAGCGGAGTTTCCTACTACTCTGACGACCATTCCCGTGTTGAGCAAATACAAGCTGGTCGCAAACACTCTAGAGAGGCGTCGTCACATGAAGATGAAACACCACCGAAGAAGCGCCGCGTGATGTTCGCGTAGTGTTGTTGTATGTCTGCTCCAGATCAGTCTGTCTGACTAGTGTATACGTGCTGTTGTATACGTGCTCCTTATCCCTGTTTTCGTTCCTGATGTATCCTTCTTACGCATCTCGTCACTTTCTTGTATTGTAGTCATCTGTATCTCGCTATGTATTCTACACTTGCTGCTCGGCATATGCAACTCGTTCCGTCCGGACTATAGGCGGCCCCACTCTATCCATGGTCGGCCGACGCGATCGCCACATCCCACGTGAGCGCGTTCCCGGCTTGCAGCTTGCCTCGCGTCTGCCAGCGGCTTAGCGCGCGTCCACCACTGCACCTCTACCTCACAGACAATTCACTACCAGACACTTGCCCTCTCCAGTCATTCGCCATGTCTGTGATTAGGCCCTTTCGCGCGACCGATCAGTTCAAGTTCAACAGTGTGTTCGTTAGCTGTCTATAGTTATGACTAGATCGTTTTGCTGAAGCCTGTCATGCTGGCAGGAACCTTGATATCTGGACGGAAACCGTGTGTAGTTTATGAAAATGGAAGACTTAGCGTCTGAACTGGACTGTGCAGTATGGGATCCCGTTCTACCTCTCGTACCTCGCGCGTTGGCCAGACATGTGCTCCGTACAGGAGACTTCGGACGGCAAGATGATGGGTTATGGTGCGTGCTCCGCCTACACATTCCTACTGTAGCTGATATCACTGTTAGTCATCGGCAAGGCAGAAGGTCTGGGTCAGGAATGGCACGGACACGTTACGGCGATCACCGTCGCACCCGAATACCGCCGCCTGGGCCTCGCCAATGGGATGATGAAGTTCCTCGAGCGCGTCTCTGACGATGTATATCACGGTTACTTCGTCGACCTATACGTGCGATGTGAGAACCTGGTTGCGATAGCGATGTATGAAGGGTTCGGGTACAGCGTCTATAGGCGAGTGAAGGAGTACTATGGCAGTTTGGGACGAGGCGCAGGAGGGGCAGACGAGGAGGATGCGTTTGGTGAGTCTAGTATTTGCCGTGCGTCGCGACGGAGAGCTCATTCGTGCCCTTAGACATGCGGAAACCATTATCAAGAGATCCTGGCCGCCGGTCTGTACGACCAAATGGCAGATCCATGCTCGTCAGTCGACACGAGGTTTCATGATGTTCCTGTACTTCTATGTCTGCTTTATACATCCCTACTTACTGCTCGGTTGCCCATTCAACCGATTCTCGACTACACAGAAGCATGCAAGGCTTGCAGTGGCATGTCGCTCTCCATTGCTTTCGGTGATGTTCACGAGCACGGTGAAATGATGCATGAAATGGCGATGAGATGCCGTTCAATACCAAGTCCAGTAGCAGCCTAGAGCCGCGAGAGAGGTACGCCTATAGTACAAATGGGGGCGGACGATATGAAGGGGTCGATAGGCGGGAAATAAGGAAGGAAAGGGGTGTGGTAGGAGACTAGCAATGACAACAAGATAAATAACGCAAACAAGAGATACAGCAAGCAAGCGGTTGAAGCAGAGAACCCCGACAATGGATGATCGATGGAGCAGGAGCAGGACAAAGTGCGATTCAGAAAGAGGACAAATGCGAGCATATCACGAAGCAGTAGGCTAATGGACCACACACAAGCGCTCTACGCGCCATCTACCTCCTCGTCGATCTCCGTCGGCCGTCGGGTCTTCCGCTTCGTCGTGAGCGGCCGCCGTATGCTCTGCACGAAGCGAGAGCCACGACTCCGTTTACGTGCGGGCCCAGCAAGTGCAGACGAGCTGCTTAGATGGCTCTGTATACGACGCATCTCCACGCCACCCTCTTCTGCACTGAAGCCGAACCCACGACTTGCACCGCGAACGCCTGTGCTCATGTCGATCTGTGAGCCCATCGTTTGTGTACGCGTGATGGGCGCCATGGTCGCCGACGAGCGACGCTGTGTCATCTCGTGCGAGTTGACCTCGTGGGCCGTCATCGATGAACGACGTTGCTCCTCGAGGTGCTCCTCCCTGAGCGCCGCCTCGGTATCAAAGGCCATGCGCGGGTTCATCCTGTTGTTCCAGCGCAGAACGTCGATGTCTGTTGGAGCGAAGAGGAAGGTCGTCGCCTTGAAGAGGTAGCGCGGCAAGAGGGCGAGTATGACCGTCAGAATCACCACGAACCAGAAGTTCGCAGAGCCGAAGATGTCCACGTTATCGCCGTAGATCTGACTGTAGGCCGTCTGAGGCGAGATGGCCGAGTAAATAGCCTAGAAGATGCGCGTGTCAGATAGAACTCGACATTGAACAGACATGAATGTACGCACCTGCCACAGTAAGATAAGCGTCGGTCCAAGCGATATCGCGAACACGATCCACCACGTCCACGTATTGGTGTTGAGGCCATTGAAGAGGTTGGCGGCGAGGGCGGCAGCGATGACAACCACGGTGCCGCTCTCGTATTGGAACACCGAGAACCCATCCGTGCGCGCCGTCACGGTCTCATAGGCGTAGAACCCGAAGAAGAACACGATGGCGGACTGAACGATGCCCTCGGCCATGAACATCAGGAACAACCTGGTGTTGAACCAATGACGCTCGCGACCATAGCGGTAGAGTTCGGGAACGGCCATGAGCACGCGCTCGTCGATGAGACGGTCGAAGATACCGATGCCGATGACGGGCGCGATGGTCCAGAAGGAGTTCCAGAAGAGCAGGAAGGTGTAGTCGAAGTAGCTACGTAGATCATTAGCAACGCTCAACACATCAGGTGAAGGAAGGACACTCACTATGCAGACGACCAGCCACAGTAGATCTGGAACCACCAAAGGGCGCCGATGCAGATCAAGTTCTTGTAGAAGAAGTTGGTGATCATGTTGCCGTTGCGGTAGTAGGACCAGTGACCGTGGACGAGCAACAAGCGCTTGAGGAAGCGGAACTGAGGGATGGCGTAGTCGGACGAGTTGACGGCCTGAAGACCTTCTTCGCCGGAAATACCGACACCGACATCCGCGGCCTGGATCATGCTCACGTCGTTCGCGCCGTCGCCGATGGCGAGGGTCATGGTGCCGGGGATGCCATCCTTGACGAGCTTGACCACGAGCGCCTTCTGCTTGGGGGATACACGACAGCAGACGACCGACTGGCAGAGGGTGCCGAGACGCAGAAGCAGGTGCTTGTGCTCCGCGTCCGCAAGGGCCTAGATTGAAGGTCAGCTCTGTCGTGGTGCGACTGTCGATGGTGCCACTTACGTGCTCGAGAGCAAAACCGTCGATAACTAAGACATATCCACCTGGCTTCTGACCATTATCATCACCAACAAGATCGCGCACGTCGTGGCTCATCCTGCGGCCCTGCATTGACGGACGGCCACCGTTGCCCAAGCGTGCAGCGTCGACCTTGGGGTCCTCCCAGATGCCTGAGTCGGGGAAATACTCGTGCGCGGCGCGAAGCATCTGCTCGTAGACACCGATCTTGCCACCTCGGATGATGACGATATTCGCGTCTGGTGCGATGAGGTTCGTGCTGTGACCGATGGCAATGGCCGTCTCGAGTTTGTCACCGGTGAGTACCCAGACCTTGATACCGGCCGTCTTGAGATCCGCGATAGTCTCGGGCACACCATCCTGAAGACGATCCTCGATACCGGTGGCGCCGAGAAGCTTGAGGTCTTGCTCGATGGCAGAAGAAACGGCTTCAACACGGTCCTCGCGGTTCTCGAGCGTGGCACTAGCGTCCAGGTACTCCTCGTTCCAGCGCATGTAGTCCGACTCTGAGATTGTGCGGTAGGCGAGCGTGAGCGTGCGCAAACCGGAGCTCGCGAACTCGTCCAAGTGCATCTCCGTCTCGCGCTTCAGTCCGTCGTCGCCAGCGTGCAACCGCTCGAAGATCACGTTATCCGCACCCTTAGCGAAAAGCAGCACGGGACCAACATCCTGGTCGTTGGCGTCGATTGCACGAAGGAGGACGCTCATGCGCTTACGCGCCGATGTGAAGTCGAGGATGTTGAGCAGCCGGAAGCGCGCGGGTTCCGCCGTGAACGGCGTACGGATGTACAGCACGTCGCGGTCACGACCGCGGAACTCGAAGCCGATATCCGCAGCGGCCTGCACAAGCGCGGCCTCGTCAGGAGACTGCGCCTTGTACTCGACTTGGTGCGTCATGGGGTCCACAGCCGCGATGACAGTATGGCAGAGAGCAAGGACCGTCCAGAACATCTCGACCCGGCGGCGATCGAAGGTACCAGTATCGGCCGTTGCGACACGGTCGATGTCTGCGCTGAGAGCGGGCGAGGAGAAGCGCTGGAGGACACCTCCTGAGAGCTTGACGCCGTGTGCCTCCCAGGGCTTGGGCAACGTGTGCATCGGGTTCGGGCTACCGGTGTTCGGGTCTCCTGAGGTCGAAGCGGTGGAGGGTGGGTTGGACTCCACTTCCTTCAACTTCGCCGCAGCAAGGGCCTCCTCGTCGAGTTGAGACTCCGCATCCGTGTACACAACACCGCCCACAGATGCGCGGCGGAACACCATGGCGTTCTGCGTGAGCGTGCCCGTCTTGTCTGAGAAAATGTACTCGATCTGGCCAAGATCATCAGAGAGCACGAAGTTGCGCGCTAACGTTGGCGTATCGTTCTTGGCGTAGTACATCTCCCGATCAAGATAGATGAAAGCCGCTTGCGCCGTACGGACAACCTCGATGGAGATGTACAGCGAGATAGGGACGATATTCTGGAACCTGTGCACTTGTCAGGGGCTAATTGAAAGTAGGGATATGAAGAGAACGTACGTGATAAGCGCGAAGACCCAAGTGATGACTCCGTTGATGCTGGGATTATCGTCGCCTTGATTGTCTGCGTACAGCCACGGTGCATTGCGTGGGTAGAATCGATGCTCGAGCACAGCGTCAACGATAGCGCAGACGGTGGCCATGACGGCAAGTAAGACGAGGTTCGCAGTGACCATGGGATCCATCTGGCGCTCTACGCGACCGCGCTTCGACGGGGTGCCGCCGGCATTGAGAACGAGCTTCGTGTCGTAGCCAGTGTACATGACGATGCCAATGACCCAATCCGTGTTGCGGATGATCGTGCCACGAAGGAGAACCTGGTTGAGATCGACAGCATGGCGGGTACCGTCCTTGGTGACGACCGCGGCGTTGAGCTTGTGCATGAGC